CGTGGACAGAGGATATGTCTTAACCTAACCCTTTGTGCGGGACAGGGAACTCTGCTCACCTTGATGGTCTGCAGCAGAACAACAAATAATCCTGAAACACATAAATGAGTCAAAGAAAATCATTTTACCTGACAGTTATTAAGGTTTCTTCCTTGTTTCCAAGCAGCAAGCTCTGGTCTTCAGAAATCAAGCCAATGCAGGAGTGCTAAAAACTGCAGTTCCCTGAGTGTCCACTTGAGGCTGTCTGCTGAGGTGCTAGAAACCACAAACACAAGCTAAAACACAGACGTATTTTAAAGTGAAATTTGACAGTAAAGACCACACACCCCAAGGATTACCTCTTATGATAATGTGAAGTGGGACAAAAGACTTTACAATGTAAGTTGTGCTTTCTGAGTGTTTTTTGTAAAACATGTTACTGCGACTAATTTTTAAAAACATAGTGAGAAGTCAAATGTTAAGAGGCTGAAAGGACAGGCCACTGTTTGCTCCAAAAAACACAACAACAAAAAGCTAAAGGTTTGTTGGTAATCAGTTTTTCCCCCCTGAAGGTCTTACCACTATTTATAGGTCACATTTACAAAATGTAAATACTTGTAAGTGTATAAATCACTTTAATAAGTTGATTTGCAGTTGTTGGCACACAAAATTCATGATTTCAGGAGGGGTTTAGGCTTTGAATTTTTACTTGAATCACACCCTCATAACTTCCCATGAATAACTGGCGAATAAAGGCTCTCATGTTTGGGTCCAAATGGCGGTTTAAGCCCCCCAGTGCTGCTTGCTGTCCCAGCACACAGTCATCCCCTAAAAATGATCAGAATCAGGGCGTCAGGTTTCACCCAGACATGAGTCAGGGATGAAGAGGGACAGTGAGCGGGCTGGACCGGAGGGGGGGACACACCACTTTCCCAGGCTTTTGACAAGCCCAACAGCTGAGACGCCCCCACCCCTAACACCCACACAGCCACTGCTCCCACACACAGATGTATGCATGCGTGTACTGTATCTGTGTGTGTGTGACTGTGTGTGTGTGTGCCGAAGACTGTGTGTGTGTGTGTTGATGCTCTGATGTTGTGCCAATGAGGGAGTGTTGTGTAATGAGAAAGAGGCAGAGAGCGGAGAGATGATGATGTTTTTCTTCCCATCAGCGGCAGATGATGAGAGTGGAACAGCAGCTGTGCTCTCTTCCTCTCTCTCTGTTCACATCTCTGTTTTCACACCGACATGATTCTTTCTTCGCATAAAATACGAAATATGAAAATAAAAGTATCACTAACTTAAAGGTATCTGCTGAACTGAGCAGGTTTTTATCATTTATATCATCCATACACTGATGAAGTACAATCTAATATTGATGTGACAAGTGGAAGTTCATTCATACAGTCACATGTGCTTTACATAGATAAAACAGAGTCAACACAGTCCTCAGATATTGGAAACAATCACTTTTAGTGTCTTTAAGAAGGGGGATAATCAGTCAAGTGTCTGACTGAATAAGTACAATATGTTTATAACACATTTTCAAAACATTTCAAAGTGCATTAGTGTTTTTATAATACAATCAACATGTCAACACTGGCAGACCTGGTTCTGACACTGTTTCACTGTTTTAGAATTATGAAATTAGTGCTTGTGTGGTTTTTCAATGGCTTCAATGGATATATATACAGTATATATATATATATATATATATATATATATATATATATATACATACATACAACTTAAAAACTTCTAGGGCTGCAGGGTTAGAGCAGTACAGACTGTTTGAGGTTACTATGATAATTATTTTAGCCGTGCATTCACAGACAACTACATTTTTTTACAAAGCTGTTGGTATAGACTGCATCTGTGAGAAATTCTAAAGCATCACACCACTGTGCTCTTTTATTGTAAAAGAAGGAAATGCAGATTTAATTTTTGCAAAGGAGGGATCAAAATGTGAGCTCTGACATACAAACATCCATTATCAAAGCTTCATCAATCATGCAAATTCTTTAAGAGCCTGACATGAATGAGAGGCCATCAGAAACAATCTAGCATTTCAACAGAGATGAGAGCTGCTGCTTTGAATGGATGTGCATTGTGTGTTTGGATCATTGATTCACAAATTCTCTCAAGGCAGAGATTCTTGCATCAGATTTGATTTAAAGCACATTTTCTGCAACTTTATTGAATCAACTGGATGTACAATTTTCCTCTGAGCCCTGATAGATCTCTTTAAAGGAGGTGATGGAGTGTTCTGGTCCAGACCTAACCTATGAGACAAAAGCCCCAAAGATTAAGAACAGAGACGAATACACCCACAGAAAAAAATACCAAGATCACTGAAGAGCTTCAGCTTCAGAGTGTAAAATATTTGATGACTGCTTTGGCATCTAAAGTGATGTATTCATTGCATAAAATAGGATCGAATAAACACTAAAACAGATGAAAGGGCATCATTTCAAACAAGAGGAGCTCTCAAAGTGTTGTCTGAGCTGTAATACTGAACAATGTTTTCCTTTGGCAGCGAAGAAGACAGAAATCTCAGCTGAAGATGTTGGAGATGTTGCAATCGTGAGGAACTTGTTGAGACAGATACAGAACTCAGCTTTCAAAATTACTTGGGTAATTTTGAAGTGAGCTACATATCATTAGTAATTATAATAGCCACAGTTGGAGCCAATCAGCTCAGCCCCTTCAATGAAAAACTGTTGAGAAACCTGCATGAAAGCTAGGTTACAGTCTCTATAGATGAGGGCAGTCAAAGGTCACTTACTGCTTCGGAAATGAACCACACACCCCCATCATTCATGAGTGTATTTTAGCTGTGTTTTCTGAACCAGGTCATCACTATTAAGTTGTCTTTCTTGAATATTACACTTGGCATCATACAGGGCTGTAATGTGGCGATAAATTGCATAGTTTCAAGCGCTCTTTAACATCAGGAGCTGTGGGCTGCTTCTGTCACCTGGTTCTGCACAAAACTAAAACGGGTTAATTAAAGTCATAATTTTCTAATTCATGAAGTGAGAACCAAACCAAAGATGCTCACTTTAAAATGACTATGAAATCTTTGCTTGTTAAGATAGAGCCAGATTGAATCGACAACTTTGATTTCTTAAATGTTAATGCCGCTAAGTGTGAATAAAAAGTCAGAATCTGAAAGTGTTTGCCTTACTGGCTGATAAATTTGAGTTCTTAACAGCTATTAAATCATACGGTTTTCTTATATGAATGTGTTTTAAGGCTTAAGACTCTGGAGTATTTATCTAATGCCAGTTTATTCAGATTGAATGCTTTCACATGAAGTACAATCAGCTCATCCGGTCTCTGATATACGACTTGTAAACTTTGACATTTTTGCATCTCGGGTTGGTGTTATTATCAGCCAGCAAAAGAAGCTGTTCGCAAAAGAGAAAGCTGAAAGTTTTTTTAAGTTTTCAAAGTTTAACACCAGCTCTTGCATCTGAAAAAGTTAATCTACCCAAGGTCTTTTTCCCCACATGCTTTTATTGTTTTTTATTAAAAACTATGTCTTTCTGTTGGTTTACTAAAGGTTCACAAGACATATAGGAGCAAAAAATGCAATCTGCCTGTTTAAAATGTACAATATTAACATGCCTGTTAAAATGATTTGCCTACTGTAGTTTAGAGCTTTAGTATCTACTGATCTAATGCATGTGTTCATTTTGAGATTGTCACAGTCATGTGTAATCTGTTACTGGGAAGACTTGATGTGATTGTAACAACAAGACAGTGTAAAATAGAGGACACTGTAACACTTCAGTGCTAAGTGGGTGAGAATTATGAACGCCTGTGGAAGTTTAATCTAATATAGTGAATAAAAGGCAGCCAGACACACTGGGCTTAACTGCCATGAGGTTGGAAAACACATCTGTATGGCCCCTCTGGTTGTAAATGTCTTCACGTCTGAGTCAGTCTCCTCTGGTTCCTGTGATTTTATTGTGATTACTGCCCCACAGCTGCTCACACAGAGGTACTGCAGCTATACGCTCAGACCCCCTGCAGATACTCTGAATAACCTCAGTGGATACTCTGTCTTTGTCTTCTTCATAGACACACAAACACACAAACACACACATACACACAGCACGGAAATATTAAATCTGTGCTGCTCTCTAGTGGTTGGTGAAAGAAGCACAAGAGCGGCTGCAGAAAATATGCTGCACAGAGACGTTTGCACCCTCTAATGTCACAAAACTTTTTCACAAACTTACAACTGATCACAAAATTCTGAAATGATGGAAATATCTCAGATAATATCATCACCAAAGTTACACTGAATTAAAAGATTTTAACATTTTGTCTGAACTATAATTTTTATGAAATATTTTGAATACGCTTCTTTAATCTCACTTAAATAATGTGTTCATAAGTTTTATGAATATCTATAAATATTGATGCTTTACATTTCTTGAACCTTTACTTCTATTTTAACTGCTGAGCCAGTTGACCCCATGTGTGCTTTTATTTGCTGATTTCTCACTGACCCTCAAAACTATTCTTTCAGATCTCTTGGCTGTGAAGTTTGGCAGCCAAACTGGAGTGAAATAACCTAAAGGGTGGTCATCAGATGATCCGATACCATTTAAGGTAGGTGTTTAAAACACTTGAACTGTTTGACATTGTTAAAAATATGATCTGGTAGAAATGTCCCCTTCCAGCTCTACATCCTCTGTGTCTCCTTGAGCCCCAGCAGGAGCATCAGCATCCTGTCCTCCAATAAATACTCAGTTTGTCCAGAAAAGTTACATAACTGTAGGAACAAGCTACACGAAATAAAGCAAATGCTTTCAGCATGCTTTCTGCTGTTTCACACAATCACAAGCTTTTAGTGTAGATGCTTTTTTAGTGCCAGATCAATTATTTAACTCTGAGATTATTTTCTGGCCTCTGCAATGCAGACTAGGTTTCTGATTGGGCTGTTTCTGCATCATGTGATCTAGAAGGAGGGAGTGGGAGCGCCGTATCACCTCCTCCAACATCTACCTTTACAGTTACCCAGAAGCAGCTGTGCATGAAACAGACACAGCTCCATCAGGCCATCTCCAAGCTCCACCATGAGCAGCGTAGTCATCGGCCGCACCTCAACAACCACCCGGGTGAGTGTCTGCTGTGGACTGATTAAAAGGAGATCTGAATTGCATGAATCTGATGCCCATGTCAAGAGCTGAAACATATTCAGAGATGTGAAAGAGGGAGGATCTCAGCAGCCAAAGACTTTTTTTATTTTACATCTTCTCCTGTAAAACCTTGTTATTTTTCTCATTCCCGAGGCTCAGCTGTTTCTGTTCAGTCTCAGTGAGGTAACAAGATGATATAATCCATCTTTGTCATCATCAGCACGATGAAAATAGAGTCTTCAATTATTGAGTGGTTGGGGATTTTCTAGTCTGTGTGCTCCAGTGGGGTAGGAGAGGGGAGAGAGAGTGTGTACTTCCATGCACGAGGACAGCACAGAGGTTGATTCTAATGTTATTACACAACTGAATTTATAACTAATGCGTTTACGACCTTAAAGCACCAACTTCTGTGTAGTTTTGGCTTCTTATCATTTAGACTAGTTAAACATCAATTTTTCACTCCTGCACTCAACATGTTGCACATGGACAGTCCTGCACACCTGTGTGCCCCATAACATCTTTCTTTAATTCTAGTGTTTTTGTGGTTAGATGTTAAAGGCTGTGTCAGCAGAGAGGCTCATTTGCGGAAGTAGCAAAGTATCATGCAGAGACTTGGTGTCTCCACCTTTTTTTGTCAGGCGGAGTTCCTAGCAGATGAAGGCAGTGAAAATCAATGCATATTGAATTACAGTATAAACAAGTGCTTGCAATAAAACACCTCCATCTACAGCAGTTTTCAACCTGATCTGTCTGTTTGGGTTGATGTCAGTGGTGCATTTACAGGAATGTCACTTTGGGGAGAAAAAAAGGCACCAAGCCTACAAGTTTGAGGGGTCCACAAAGAAGAAGCAAAGAATGGCTGTTGGAGAAGATGGAGGCCTTTCTTTTTGTGCAAGGCCTCTGAAGGTCATGCACATCAAAGACCTTAAACTTTGTTTTTGGCAAAGCTGTAATGAGGACAGCACTAGATCCCCACTTTGGACACACATGGTGGTCTGCATGACTGTGGTTGAATGCTGAAGTAACAGCCACGTAAGTATGAGCACTAACAAGTGAAGTGAATGTCTGAGATGAGCTCTTTGCAGTGGCATATGTCAGTGAGTGGGATACAGCCAGCAAGTCTTTAAAGTTAAGGTGTTGGAAGCAGGAAAATGGGTGAATGTGATAAAGATTAAACTTTAATGGGGAGATGACGGTCAGAGCCTCTCCAGCTGCAGCTCCTCCTGTGTGGTTTTCCTTGTTTAAAGGGTGTCAGTACCTATTCAAAGTAGGAGAGGATCATTGGAGACCAAGGCTTGCTAATACAGGTGGAGAGCAGAGGCTGGCCTATGTGGTTAAATCCAACAGAGGAACTGCTGGAGTTCAATGAACACATGAGCGTCAGATTTGAACCAGGATATTGGAAGAGGTTGGCCTGGAGGATCATGGCGGCATTGGTTGGTCTGAAAATCCCTCTGATCTTAAACCAATTGTAGATATGTCTGATCCATGGTGGCCCCTCACAAGATCCTTTAAGTCAAGGGATCTGCTGCTAATATCTTGACTGCAGATAATGGCGTCCATGTCTCATCAGGTCAGGGCTGTATTAGAGAGTGACGTCTACTGATGCTCACAGTATTTTGGCCGACTTGTGTTTATTGTTACAACAGCTATCCATGTCACTACAGTGCAAGAAGAGGCCACCGTGTCCACCTCAGACACTCTCATAGTCAACTCATGTTGGTTTAGAGCAGCAAACAAACTGGACGATAAATCATACAAAGTTTCTGCAATTTAAAGTACAATTTGAAAATCAATAGATAATAAGCAGTCTGGTTAACAAACTGAGAGAACCAACAGAATGATTAGCCTTAAAATAACTTACAAACTGTTCAAAGGTTTAAAACTTCAGGAGCATTTAGTGTCCAGAAAATTTCAGAGCAATTGACTATCTTTTCGTCCAGTCATGCTCAGAGACTGAGTTTTGACCTGCATTTATAGCTCTCAGATGAAGTGAACTTCACAGTTCTCCTCTCCTCATGCTTACTCTGCTAAAGCTTGAGGACGTGTGGTTTTGCAGTGGGATACTCAAAAGGAAGATGCTCAGAGTCCTGTCCATTTAGTTTTGTCCAATCAGCAGTTGGTCTGAGTTACTGTTTGCCAGATTCGGGCTCTGCAGGAGGTACACCAGATTTCTGACAGACTTTAGAGCATGCTCTTGAAAGCAGTGAGAAGAAATCTGCACGGAAAATGAGTTAAGTTTGATACTTACTCAACCACGACATTCAGACAATCTGGCATTCACTACAGAGAGGAACACCTTTTTCCCCCTCTTGTTTCAAACATGTTCAACCCTGCTCTTTCTGTTCTTTTTTCAAAATGGAAACATATGGGATTTGTTCACTTTTGCATTTACCCTAGTGGAAATAGGAATAACTGCAATTGGCTCCCTTTTTTGTAACACTGTAGTTTGCTGCTTGTTCTCATGTCCAGTGCACCGAAAAAGGTTGGAAAATAAGTTTGAATCTTTTGAAGCAAAAGTAGATCAATAGACATCTGTAGTAAGATGCTGCAGATGTTTTATCAGTCTGTGGTGTCTACAGTGTTCTGTTCTACGCTGCAGTCTGCTGGGGAGGAGGCATCAAACACAAAGATGCAAGTTGTCTGAACAAACTGGTGAAAAAGGCTGGCTCTGTGGTTGGACTCAAGCTGGACTCAGTGGAGGAGGTGGTGGAGAGATCTACACTGAGGAAGGTGGAGACTATTCTAAAGAACATGGATCACCCACTTCACAACACCTTGATGGACCAAAGGGCCAATGGTGGTGGACGGATCCTCTCTCTTCACTGCAGGACAGAAAGATTCAGAAGATCTTTTGTACCAACAACCATCAGACTTAATAGTAGATGACTGTTACGGACATATTATGTGAGACAACAGACAATTGAATTTCCCTTTAGGGATCAATAAAGTTCTTATTATTATTATTTCTAGAAAAAACTCCAAGGCACTTTCTGAATAATATTAAAATGCCTTTATTTTAATGGCATGGTCATGTAGACCTTAAAAGCAAACTTCGGTACGTTTTGGCACCAAGCCTTCATCAGGAAGTAAGATTTTACTTCCTGATAAAAGCCGAAACGTGTCAAAGTTTGCTTTTATTATATAGTTTGCCTATTTTAATATTATTCAGAGAGTGCCTTAGAGTTTTTTCTCTTTTATGACTTTGTGAATCCCATTCCAAAGAACACCTCAGACAAACTCTTTGTTGAGTCCAGTTAGCACTCCTTTCCGTCTGTCCTTTGAGTTTGAATCCTGTTTGGGATAAGTTTGAAAACCTGATAAATTCAGCCTTAGTTCAGCAGTGCCGCGCAGTTTAAATCCAGTCTGCATTTATCACCAGGATTCAGAAACATGTTTATGCTTCCAGTGGTTTTAAGGACAAACTTTGCAGTACAGAAAATAAAAAAATCCACTTTGTTTTGGAAAAATGAAGCTTTTCATCAGGATTTTTCCAGACAGAAGAGTCTTGTTCACAGCACATGTGAATGAGAGTGTATTCAGATTTTCCATGATGCCTAAGAGAGCTCCATGTCGATGCAACTTTTCTAAATTTTTAAACAATGAAACTAAAGTGAGTGAAGAGCAAAATGAAATATAAATGCAGGGTGTTCTCTGCTCCTCTCGTAATCATATTTAAGCAGTCCCCAAACAATACCAGGACATTTACAGAGCCTGATGACGTACCTACTGAACACCAGCAGTAACCAGCAGGACAAATTCAATGAGGCACCCAGTTAGAGAACGAGACAACCACACAGCATGTCTTCACTTTTGAATGAACAACAGTGAGGAGCGGTGTATGATTGACTTCCTTTTTCGTTTTGAACACTTTTAAGGCTGCGTTGGTTACTTAAGCTCTTGCACTCTCTCTCTTTTTTTTCCTGATACTTTCTCACAAAAACTGCAGAATCTTTTATTTATTTTGGACTGTCAAACCATCTTGTCTTTCAGTTCAACCCTGAGCCAATACTGCTTTGCCCCCCCTACGTGAATTTTCCTCATGCATGCCACAAACCCACAGATGTCTGCCCAGGCACCTAGTATGTGAGTACAGCCCCTGCACCATTTGAAACAGCTGTGCACGATTGCATGTTCACTTTTTAATCTCCACAGCCCAAAAAATAAAACACATCACTACTACTTCACTAACCCGTTTATTATTTAGTGTCTGTACTCTAAATAATGCAGACAGTAGAGACAGCAGAGACATTATAGCTTACAAACCCATCATTAAAAAAGCCTTGATGATTGACCAGCAGAGCAGCAGAGGAATTCGTCACCACGGGTCTTTGTTGTGACCAGATTTTACTTTCTTATTGACCTCCAGATGCCCAAACCCGGGGGCAGCGGAGGAGCACCACCTGGGAGTCGAGAGAGCAGCGGGATATGTCGAAGCAGCAGCATCAGCAGCGGTTCAGGTGGAAAGATCATGTCCCTGTCGTCTATGAGCGAGAGTGTGAACAGCGGCCTGAGCTGCTTCCTGTCAGAACAAGCTCTGGAGCAGGAAGAACGTCAACAACGCAGCAGCCATTTAGCAGAGTATCAGCGCCTCAGAGAGGTCAGAGCAGCCGCTCAGCTCAAAAACCTGGAGGATTTCCTCAGGATGAACCATGTTTCACTCAGGGACACCATGTCTTACTCCACAGGCATGAGCTACAGGTAGTATGATCACATCTCACACATGCAAACACATTTTCATGTAGTCAGGTGGTGCAAAATCAACCCTTTAGAAGAGGAAATTTGTGCTCTAGATGTTCGTAACATTCACTGATTATGCACAATAGTAAAACTTGGTTATACAGATTTTATCACGTTTTGTGTCTATTATCACAACAAATCATAGAAAAGCTCTTATTCTGATAATTGATAAATCTGTTTCCAGTGTTAAACCTTGAGCAGTGCTGGAAGCATCTTTAGTTATTCATTTACTTGTCTAACATAGTTTATAGATGCCCTGTATGTATGTATCTGGTAAGACAACTGAAACCTAATTGACCCTTTGCACAAATTCAGTCGTCCGAATCTGAATCCAAAGTGGAACAGAGTTTTGTTAAAGGCACTTTGAGGAGTTTTAAACTGGCTGATAAACTAGTATTTATACCTTATGCTTCTATACGACCTTCAAAAGCAAACAAGACTATCGGCAATCAGACAGATAGATTCCCTGCTGTAATGTAAAATACCTGAAATCACTGTGACAGGAGGGTTTTAGACCAGAAGATTGGCTGCAGCCTGAAGAAAAAGCATTTTTTTACTCTCAGTGTGTGCCTGAAAGACTATAAGACACTACTTGCACTTTCATTGGACAAGGGATAATAAGAGGTATCATTTTGTCCGCATGGGGTGCCAAAACAGGAACAAATAAATGTTACTAACAGCAGCTTTAAGGACCTGGTTTTGGATTTTTCAAAAATCCCCCAAAATAAAAATATGTGAACCTGCCAGTTTTTCTATTTTTGAGTGTAAGGACTTTTAATCCCATTGAGACTCATCTTCTCATATAAAGATCAAATTAAATTAAAAAATAAAATTCTTATTTGATCAAGTGATTCAAATGCTTGTTTTTCCTTTTTTTTTTTTTTTTTTTTTTTGTTGACAGAAATTTGGGCAAATCCGGTCTGAGGGTGTCCTGTCTGGGATTGGGTGAGTTTGGCATATTATCAGAACATCAATGAAACCAAAAATATCAAGGGAAGGATAAAGAAACGACTAAATCAAATTAGCACTGTGCAAACTCAAGTCAACTTTCACAAGCACACCGCACACATACTTTTTCTCACAAAAATACTTTCTTGTTCTTCTTCAATCAGCATCTCTGACCACAGAGGTTTCAGTCAGCTGTGGGAGAAATCTTTGTGAAGCAAAATCACTGAAAAATAAACCTTTCTTAAAAATCTTTATTTCACCAAACATGAGGATCTGGAGGCAAAAATACTCGACCCATTAAACTGTCAGGCTGCATCACTTTATTTCTCTAAAAGCCCCTCAGTGCAGTCCACTGTCAGCAGGAGATCCCATCTGAAAACACTTAAAACAATGATACAGCGATGATGAAAATTTAACTGCAGATAAAACAGAGGACATCTAAAAAGGAGGTATTTGAGTACACCTTAAAAATTTACTGAACCTCAACTAAAGGTCTCCATTAACTAAGAGCACCTGGCGTGAACTAAAGACATAAATAAACAGATAAGTTTTAATATTTCTAAATCATCTGATATCACAAAAGATGTGCAAATTATTATATTGACATTAATTTGTCTTGGTATAAGTCCCAGATTAAGTCTGTAAGTAAGGCTGTTTTGTTTTTATTTTCAGGTACATGGGTCACTTTTGGAGGTCAGATATCTGAAGAGGTAAGAGAGAACATCTGAACACTTTTATTATCTCATTTCAAGTAAAAAAAAAATTAAAAAAATTATTCAATATCTACTCGTCATGATATGAGATGAGAAATTTATTCAGAGGACACCACCAAAACTTTTTTGTCTGAAAGTTGGAAATAGAAATAAGAAGCAGCAGCTTTCAGTTTTAGCACTTCAGTTCTTGTTCTTTTGTTTTAAGGTGGCAGAGGAGCTTGTGACTTTGGCGTATGAGAGCGGGATCAATCTGTTCGACACGGCTGAAGTCTACACCGCTGGAAGGTGAGAAACATATTACTTTAAAGCTAAAGACCAAGACTGAACACACTTTTCATTTATGTCCCACATAAAAATGCTCTGTCTCTGCGATTTACACATTTTCACTTCATGTCCGGTGTGTCACAGTTTTAACTTGAGTCCCTCTCTCTCTCGATGGGATTGTTGTTGATACTAAGAGTAAAGGAAAAAAGGCCTTGACTCCAACATGATATTATTGTTTTACTGCTGGTACTTATGCTCTCAACCTGAGACTGTAAAAACTGATGAAATGTATAAAACTTCATCACTATTTCAAACTAGTTCTCTTTCTGTCTCTTTCTCCAGGGCTGAAATTGTCTTGGGACGCATCATAAAGAAGAAAGGATGGAGGTAAAGTTTTCCTGAGATGTTGTCTTTGGTCCTTTGTGTCTCCTTCACTGTTGAAGTGTTAAACTGTGGTGTTTGCACCATCATCTGCTTGTTAGTGATCTTCTCTTCACTCCTAATGCTCATGCTTCCCCCTGCTGTAAATCCTCCCTACTATGACAATGTAAATAAAGGCTGCTTATAGTTAAAGTTTTGCATATAAAATAACCTGTTTGCCATCATTTACAATGTTTTATATATTTTATTCAATAGGAAAAACACAGCTCAGGAGCTGATGTAATATTCATGTTGTGTTGCTTTTGTTCCTGGAGAAGAGAAAAGTGTTTTTATAAAAGGAAAACAAAGGAGAAGAGATTTTGATCAGATAATAATCTGTACAGAGGAAATATTAAAGAAACATTTGAAATGGAAATGAGGGACTTTCAGACAATCACAAATGAGCAGTTTAGAGTTTAAGCACAATGTCAGTAAATGTGTTAAAAACGACACTGCAGACTTAAAGGGTAGAAAGAGAGAGAGGTGCTCTTTTTACATGAAGCAGGAGACACCAGTGCAGGTGAACACAGAGTGAAAGGATGTGATTTTAATTCCTTCACTCCTGTGGATCATCGTGGGGGGGCCTGTGTTAAGTTTTTGTTCATCATTTCAGTCTTGATTTTTTTTTTCCTTTTTACTTTAATGTAAAATATTGTGAAGATAGCATGTAATCTGACTGCAAACAGAAATAAATATGCGGCATTGAGTATCCCGCCAAACCTTTGAGAGAGACTCAGATGTGGTGGATAAATCACACTATTTTCTGCTGTTGGATTGTTTGCAGCTCTCACTTTTGGCCCTTACCCTGATGAAGACCTTCATGACCAAAGCGGCTTTTTATTGATTTATTGATCTTCCTCAGTATCTCTGACTTTTAATGAAAAAAATAAATAATGCCAAAGTCTGATTTATATATATTTTTCTCCTACATGCAGACGTTCCAGTTTGGTCATCACAACCAAAATCTTCTGGGGTGGAAAGTCAGTATTTGTGATCTTTCTATCTCTGCCTGTTTCTCACATACTATTATTGTACAGAGTAAAAATCTTTCTGGGTTATTCAGAGGGCACAGTATTAAAGATATGTACCAAATTTGAGATGAACTTTGACCTCATAAATACATTTTTTTTGTTGTTTTTCAGAGCAGAAATGGAAAGAGGATTGTCTAGAAAACACATAATTGAAGGTAATTTTGTCGTGGCACTGTTTAAAAAAACTGCATTTTGTTGTGTTATCATACATTTCTATGAATCATGTTTATAATTTAAATATATATTTTTTACAACATAGGTCTACGAGCATCTCTAGAAAGACTTCAGCTGGATTATATAGACGTGGTTTTTGCAAATCGACCAGATCCAAGCACACCGATAGAAGGTGGGAGTTTGTTTTTAACATCAGATCACACTCTTACTTAAAAACCTTAAAACCAGAATTTCCTATCATTGTTTGGTTGTCCTCATCTTATTAGAGCTTTCTCTTTCCCCTTTTTTGACACTGTTCAGTCTAAAACTCCTGACCTGAAGCTGATTTTGTTGTTGTTGTTGTTGTTAGAGACGGTGAGGGCCATGACCCATGTGATCAATCAGGGGATGGCCATGTACTGGGGGACATCTCGATGGACCTCCATGGAGATAATGGTGAGCTCATGCATACATCTCAAATCAGTCTGCAGATGTTTCTTTTTGCCAAGATCCAAAAAAGTACAAGAAATCTAGACAAATATATTTAGGTTATAATGGTCTATTGGTGGCCAAGTTTCCATCAGTTTGTGTGCATCCTTGTTCACCACATTTAGCTCTGTTTAAGGATTTCCTTCTTGAAACAGTTAATGTATGCACATTGGATTCTGCAGGTTTTTATTTGGATTGTGTCAGAAAAATTAGGACGTGCAAAAACTTTGATAGGGCTCAACTGTTCAGTAACTCTTCCTAATGTTTGCTGCAGGAGGCCTACTCAGTGGCGCGACAGTTTAACCAGATCCCGCCCATCTGCGAACAGGCCGAGTATCACATGTTTCAGAGGGAGAAGGTGGAAATCCAGCTCCCTGATCTCTTTCATAAGATAGGTAAGCAACTGTGTGAGTCTCAGTGAAAAAATCCATGTGATTTATATTCACACATGCTCTCTACTTATTAAAACTTCCTAGAATTTTCAGAGAGAGCGTGTACGTGTGAGCCCTGACTTTACCAGGAATTTTTACAAGCAGCTCCCACATTAAACTTCTGAGAAAAGTCATATGAGGGAATGCAGAAAATCAAAGAAGTATTCACTCTCACAAAAGTGCTCTGAACTTGTGTACTTTTCTGCTAATGCACTGATACTGTGGATTCGTCCCGTCATGCAAAGAGCATCAGTATAAAAGCCATAACTGTCATGCTGCTTTGCTGCCATCTTTAACATTACACTGGTGCCACTGTGCACCATGTATTACCTCTTTTGCTTCGACCCATCCAACATTCACACACTAAAGGACAAGAGTTACATGGGAAACTTTTTTTAGATTTCAGCAGCAGGCCATCCTGAAATTGGAAATGTTCATTGTGCATCTGCTTTTAAGAGCTTTAGATACTGGTGAGCATTTTAATGGCCTTGATTCTTTTGTGAGTCCTCAGATTCTCTTTTGAATGACTCTATAAATATATGAGTTTGGATCCTCATAATGACCTCTCAGTTCTCCACTGTAATTAAACTTTAAATTTAAAAAGCTACAGACCATCAGCTTTTAACCATTAACAATGTGCATATTTTTGTCCGTTTCTGTGCACGCAGGTATTGGAGCCATGACCTGGTCTCCTCTTGCATGTGGCATCATCTCAGGGAAGTATAACAATGGGATCCCTCCTAATTCACGAGCCTCACTTAAGGTAATATTTTTCCACCTCTTATGGTCCCTCACATGTCGGGTTTTTTATCATTTACCCCGTCATTCTTTTCCTACAGATTTATGAAGTCCTGGCTGTCAGAGAGCTCCTGCTTTAATGGTCTGAAATGTTTACTGCTGCAGCTGTCTAGGCTCCGACCTCCTCACTTTCTGCTGGTTAAATTTAGATTCAGAAACTGAGAAATGATGAGATAAAATCTTGAACCACATATAAAGGATCTGTGGTAGGGCTGAATATATGAGTGCAGAAGTGGTGCATGGCAATGACAGAGCAGAAACTGAGAAACGAAAACCTGCTGCACTGGTAATTGAAGGGCACACGTGGAGAATGAAATCAGTGCAGCTAGAATTGCTTGCTTGAACTAGCTTGCAGACATTGCTTCCTTTTGAGAGCGGGGACACGTAAAATCTAGTCTCCCAATCTAAAACTAGTTATTTGACCCTAATATCTGGATTCCAGTTATCATCTGTGATTGCAAGAGTTGAATTGTCCTTTGTTGGTAGAAGAAGAGCCAAAAACTTAAAAGACTAAAGATGAAAAATGTATGCATAGGCGATAAAATGTCTTTAATTTTAGGATTTACACTTTGTATTTTGGGGCAAAACTCAAAGTTGTGAATGTGAGAGACAAAACTCTGATTTGCGAGTTAAAATAAGGTAATCTGTGAGATTCTTTTAAGAAATTTACATGAAGATGTTTAAAATTCATTGAGATTAAAGTTTCAAATTCACCTAAAAACTCTTGGTGCAGTATGTTTTCTTTTCTTTTAAAATGCTCATCTTCTCCTTGCAGAGTCTTAATTTTGTAAAATTAGTTTTTTAAATTTGCTTCAAAAATTTTCAACTCTCATCTGTAAAACTGAGCCCCTTTTCTTGGAATATAACTCCTTTGTTCCAACTTGATTACGTTCTAATTTTTTCATTGTCTCTGGCACCAGGCACCATTATGACAAACGCAGCTGAATGTTATATCAAGATATGTTTGTGTTTATCTTGGACGAATTTAGGCTTAACCACATTCCTGTCTCGTGTTTGATTTATTCCTCTCTTTTTAATCTGCAGGGTTATCAGTGGATGAAGGATAAGATCCTGAGTGAGGAGGGTCACCGTCAGCAGGTGAAGCTAAAAGAACTGCAGGCGGTCGCTGAGAGACTTGGTTGCACTCTGCCACAGCTGGCTATCGGTAAAACACGACCTTCATTTCATGCCCTCTTTATGTCTTTTTCTGCCACCCTTTGCAGGAATACTTTATTTCTTTATTTCAACTTTATTTCCGTTGTGCCAACCTGTTACTTAAGGAGGTTGTAAAGATACGTTTAAATCTTAAAAACGCATTACCCAGCATGCAGTGTGTTTGACTTGAATGATGGTTTGTTTCTGTGCTGTGGACTTCCTTTAGCTTGGTGTCTGAGGAATGACACGGTGAACTCCGTCCTGCTGGGAGCTTCAAAGGTTGAACAGCTGCTGGAGAATATTAAAGCAATACAGGTCAGGGAATGGACCGAACCAAACTGATCACAATTCAATCATCACTGCCAACATTATACACATCAGTTTACTCTATAAGCTGCTGTCACAACCGAGTTTCATTGATCCTGACTTTATTTATATTAGGTTTATTGCATACTGCACAAACATGTTGAAATCTGCACCTCAAATAGAAGCTGGTTTTGTAGAGTGTTTGTAATAAGGTAAATAAATCGAGTCATTCTGTCTTTCTCTCTTTTCTCCTGCAGGTTCTTCCGAAGTTAACGCTCTCCATTATAACTGAGGTGGATAACCTTTTGGGGAACAAACCCTTCAGTAAAAAGGACTGCAGAGCCTAGGAGCACCTGTGATGAACCATCACACCATCCTCTGTTCTTGAATAAGAAGCCTGTGAATGAGAGACAGCAACACACATGGGCATTAAAGCAATGTTTTAAGAGTGCAGCTAATATCTAATATCATATAATCTGTTTCTGAGAGGCACAGAAGAAACAAAGTAGATGTTTCAGCCCTCCAGTCCACTCTCTTGATCACATCTACACCTGATACCACAGTATATCCTAACCTCTCAATTTGCAGTGTACTTGATCTGTAAGTCCAAACATCCCACAAATAAAATAAGGATAAATAGTTAATTAAAAAAAAACATTTTTCTGAGCTGAGATACTAAAGCACCAAAGAAACTAGCTAAATCCTCAGACTGACCTATACTTCTCTGCCACATATTAAAGCTACAAGAACCTCACTTTGAGCCGACATGCTCCTCCCAAAGAGGGAAACTGAAACTGGCCATGCACCAAACCACTGTGCACACGCTGTGGTGCATTATTATCTCGTAGTTGCACTGAACAGTAATAAATTTTGTTTATCATCCGAAACCACAACAAGGATGACATCCTATAGGCTAAAAAGACATCAGTGATTACCAAAACTCTGATGACCATTTTTTGTTGTTGTTAAGATCAGTGTTAACTTTGTAACTTATCTGCAGGAGTGTGCTGCAGCTACAAATCCTCACCATCTCTGTGCATCTATCCCATTTTTGATGTTTTTTTTCCGAAACACACCACTGACAAACACACAACCAGGTACTGTGATGATGCAGCTGCTGCTGACTTTAACAGCTCTCTGTCAAAACCCTGATTTATCCTAGTTTGGTAATATGCTAAAGACAATGTTAAATTAGACATTTCCATCCTGCAGCTCATAATTGAGTCAGAATCAACCTCAAATCCAGCCAAAAACACGGCAGAAGCTGTTCAAATGTGCTGTTTTTCTTCAGATCAACTAAAATGATCCTGATTTGAGTTTCTGATAAGACCCGTGTCTACATGCATCTAAATAAAACCAAGTCTAATGTGCCAAAAATAGCAGAAATATCCCCTCTGGTCTGCTCATGTTGTCAATAAACACAGCTGTACAGTTACTACACACTTCTTACATAATGCTCCACAGCACGTCCCTGCATCAGAAATAACACACTTCCTCTCTAGTGTTTAGGACTTTCTTTTATTTTAGTCAACCCCTCCTCTCAACTGGAGCAACTATCTCTCTGAACGAGGTGTTAACATGAGGCGTTTTTATCCTGATCAGGCTGTTGTCCAAATTTTAGACGTCCGCATTAACACGTTAGCGTGTGAGGAGCAAAAACTGGTCCACTCGGAAGCATTGCACCCAAACTATAAAAAAAACAAATGGGTGTAAAACTCTGCCCGCACACTTCCTGCTACATTTCTAACTTTTGACTCAATAATCTGGTTTCACTCACAGCTGCTTAAAGTGCAAAAAAAGCCTAACAAAATAGAAAAGCAACACAGCCAAGTCAGTTGGTGTGAATGCAGAGAAACAAACACTTCAGCTCACAGCTGTAAAGACGATGCAAATTAAACGCACAATTTTCGACTAAAGTTTGTCTTCGTATATCAAACCAGGATTCTTCTCTGTTTGCAGGTTGTTGCCTCTGCAAGTTGCACACATGCATGTTACATGTGTGTGCAATTTTACACAAAATGCACCAGAATTAATGAGCACAAAATACCATGACTGCATTAGCCTTTCTGTTTTAAAGTTGCAGGTATGCTTAAACAGTGGAAGAGTTAGCTAAAATCAATGTTCCCATAAAACAACCTGGATACAACTCAGATCATTTCACCTGCTTCATCACAGTGACATTTACTCTGTTGTTTTAGGCCAGATATGATATGACTAACTTTGATGTACAGATTTTTCTGTTAGACTTTTAATAAAACTTCTCCAACAGACTTCCTCTTAAACTCTTTCATTTTCCTAAAGTCTTTATAACAATATCAATATAACCAACATGCTGAGACCAGACATAGAATTTGAAGCACTCTTTCATTTGTGAAGGAGTACGTCTGTTCCTGTTTGGCTGCTTCGTCTTAGTATGAAAGAACAAACAAACATGGATGCAAGTAGCATAATGGCGGTATGTGCTTAGAAAGCTACGATTGAGCTGTGTTAAATACTTGATTCTGATTGGTCAAAAAAGTGTAGAAATAATTCCTTATCTGATCAGGCACATCTTATCAAAAGAATCTGAAAATATGACTGATAGATTTAAAGTCCTTCATGGATTTTTGGAGGGTATAATGTCTTACTGGACTTGGACTTGGGACTTGGAGGACCTTTGCAGTCGCAGCCGTAGGGGTGGTGAACGTTGGGATTTATAAGAAGTTTTTACCTCAGTGTTACTTATGAACAGTTAGCAGATTGACACTCTAAAAAGGTTCACATCTCTGTTTATGGATTTAAATTTTGGATTAGCTGTGCCTTTCTTAGATTGGTCTGTGCTGATGTTTGAGACCTCTGACTTTCTCTGTTTACATAGATCTGGTATAGACATAGATTACCATAAAGAGGAATAGATTTTCACATTAACACATCTGTGTCATGTGACATAAAAAAAAATAATTAGGACTGGGACTTCACGGAAACCCATCCATTTCATTTATTAACACTCCTACTCGTCTGTTTCCTCAAAGAAATGCAAAATTTGAAGTAAGAAAAGCTGACATCCAATAAAAGTATTTACAAATTGTTAGCACTGAGAATTTCTAGAACATTTCTGGAGATCAGAACAGGATACATGCAATTTTGCGTTAAGAGACAGCCGCATTGAACAACTAACATAACATACAATCAACAGAACATACACCAACCTATATAATAGATACTAACTCGCAACCTTTACATGAACTTCCACTGGGGTGAAAATAGAAATGTAGGCCATCGAGATATAATTCACAGTAACAGCGGCCTGTGGGTTGTGATTGGTGTGTTCTGATATGTACCCGAGGATGACAGAGAGACGACAGGGCTGTGTTAGCAGGAAGGATACATTTAGGTAAAAAAACATACACTGAACTTTTATTGGGGTACACAGATTACTTTATGTCAACCATTTGGCTATGTGCACTGAGAAACAGAAAGATGAAGGAAAGATGTCAAATATTAGAGAGTTGCATTTTTAAATGACAGTTCTTACTAAAAATGACATTCAGCTTCTTCTCTACGTCTTTTACAGAGTCTAAATAATCTCATCACAAAACAGCATTATGCTAATACTTTGATATATTATCATGGATATCAAAACATTTCCAAACAGAGGTACTCTGAGTTTGCATTGAATCAGAAGTCACAATTTGGATTTGGAGACTTTAAAAATATACGGCCCCCCCTGACAGATGTGTCCACTCTTGTCCAAAGAAACATGTCTATATTAAAGATTATAGAACAAAGGAATCAAATCACAGCATTAAGTGCCCGAGCCTGAAGTCGGCGGGTAGTAGAGCGTAATGCACAGAAGTAAAACTGCTTCAGACCAAAACAAGTTCTTTTTTCCTCAAGCAAGTTGGAACATCTCTTTTCTTTTCGTGGGTTACATTGATTTAAACACCAAACAAAATCTCTGTCCTTTAAAACATGGAAAACTTCAAAGCCACAGTGTCTGCAGATACTGGCACAGCTCAGTAAATAAAACTATTTGAGGCTGAAAAGTGCCCGGTGATTGGAAACAGCAGCATGAACCGAAAATAAACTGGTTTCCCTGTGACTCAGATCCCACTGACCAAGTGTGTAATGAGGCTAAAATAAACACATTAGGATGCAGATTTGTAAATATTGAAACAGTGTTGTGAGATTTCTTGCCTGAAGTGAAATAATTCAAATGAACAGTTATACATTTCAGTTATTCACGTCCCCAGACGTTATCATCACAATTTGCTTTGGTCTGAACACCTTCAGGGGTGAGGAGGTCAGGGTGGGAAGGCATGTGAGTGTCCAACATTGATACACCAGAGTGAACACGTTTCATATCATCCACATGAATCACATTTTTTAGGACAAATCAAACACAAGTTGCTGTGTTTGTGTTTCATAACACAAGAGTTAGACGTATGTCACTGAGTAACAAGGCTGTATTCCTGAACCACAAAATAACTACAGAGAGATGAAGCTGAACCATCTTCATACTGCGGTCGATCTGTTGTCCAGATTATAATTCTGACTGAAAATTATTCAAGAGCAACTGAAAACTTTGGTCAGATCAGACAAAGTTTGAATTGAAAAGAGCAAATTACTGATTGACTGAGCTGAACTACCAATCTGACAGTATGTCACCATATTTTATCCACAGGGTACGATAATCAATGAGCTGTTTTATCACAGACAACTACAGCTGACTTTTAGGTGTGAATTTCGACACTGGTGTGCAATCATTTCTGAAGGTTTTACACTGTCATAGAATTAAAACAAAAAAGCCAAGATGATCTGATTAATGTGAAGCAAACCATTCAAGAAAACTTATCACAGTTTAAAATTTGTCTTAGGTCAGGTGTTTTTTTTTTACACCGCTAATCCTTTTGAGTTCTCCAGTGATTCAAGGCAGGAGGGCAGATTTGCAGCATTGAGTTACAACTGTATGACATCGCCAGACTACTTGATAAACAATCCTGTTTTGATTTGAAGCTGTTCCGACAGAGTAAATATTAGCCTCAGACATCAGCCACTGGGAGAATTCAAGGAGCAACCAGACGTAACACCGTCAACATGTTTGTTTCACTGTTTTGGTTAGCATCACAGACCACACTGAAGACGTCTTTTGTTTTGTTTTTACTTTTTAAGTTTTCTCTTTTCCCCAGACTTTACTTTCTGAATCGCTTTTATAAACCTGAGTACGACTATCTTGAGCTCTGTCTGTAAATGCTTGTAGAGACACAACTGAAAGCAGCTGATTCAATCAACGTTGACATTGGGTGCTTAAATTTGCTGTCAAGTGACTCAATCACAGGAGGTGTGAAAGAACCACAGAGGAGACGTTTGGAAGTTGAACATGTGACTTATTAAATCTTATTTTTATTTATTTTCTGGAGTCTTACCGCACAACACACTACTGTACATATGAGCTGTGATTGTTAACCTTCTTCTTAAAGTTACTTGGTTGATTCAAATGTGATTTTTCCTTTTTAAAGGGGGGAACAAACTTGGACTGAAAGTCAGACAGAGCTTTGAAAACACCAGCAAGTGACTCAGTGTTTGACACATTTAAAAGGTCAAGTGTAACATTGAGCATGGGTAGTGACCGATTGAGTTTTTTTTAAATTGAACTAGAATCACATCTGCTGCTAAAGAGCCATTTTCATAAAACAAAGAATGTGTTAAAACAAAGCAAACACCAAATGATCTCAAAAAGTGACAAAGTTTGAGTCGATAAAAAGACTCTGAAATGTTCAACTCTACAGACGAGGAAATTCTGCAAAGGAGGGGAGGGGGGGGGTCATAAGCTGAGAGATAGAAAAAGCAAAGTTTGAAATCAAGAAGAGTCTTTTCCTTTCCAGAACATACAGATCACTCTCATTGATCGATCCAATCAATCTCAAGTACCTGGAAAAAAGATGAACCAGTTTGGCAAATAGTACAACTCCCACTGGGAGTAACACGTCAGCGTTAAGCGCCTTTCCTGCGTTGAAAATGACTTTAGAGAGAGGGGTGAAGAGTATCATTAGAGTTAACATGTGTGTCAATGAGCTTACATACATGGAACAAGAAATTAAATTCAATACAAGCATGATTCAGGATCCTCCTCCTCCTCCTCCTCGGAGAAATGAGCAGTTTAACATTCAGAATAATGTCAACCTGTTAATGCATCACCTGTTTCTCTTTGCTAACACAGTTCCCAGTCACCTCGCATGCTACTCTTCAGGGTGCCCAGCTGATTTCCTATGACCTTAGTCCTCCTCCAGGAGTCAACACGGTGGCTTTAAGTTCTTTTAGTTCCTTTCAGGCACACTGTTCAGGCACCTCAAACGACACGTCCATGTCACACTCTGTTCTCCATCCAGAGGCACAGCAGCTGTACGCCAACACCCGGAGTCTAAGATCCAGAGTCTTTGCTCCCTCCCGGTGGGCTCCCTCCACTCGTGACCAAATTACGGAGCAGTTTGCGCCGACCCGCCTGGTAGTCCTCCTCGTCTACATTGACCAACAGTTTAATAGCTTCATGGCCCACCGCCTGTTTTAAGGAATCTGTGATGAAGACCCCTTTGAGAGCCTCTAACAAAGATCCGTTAATGTAGTCCCTCCAGAAGGCATCCAGGTAGGTGAGCTCGGAGAACTTGATGTCGCAGATGATGGAGCCCAAGTCTCGGGATTTGAGGATAGTGTTTGCCTGGTTGAAGCGCTCGAACTGTCGCTCCACCGCCTCCTGTTTGTTGGAGAAGACGTTCCCCTGAAGTGCAGACTCGTGCTGGCAGTATTCAGCACGAACACGGAGGCGGATATCTGAAGAGTTAAAAACACAAGCTGAGTGTAAATATTAAAGATGAGCTTGGTTAACAAAGGCCACATATAAAACCAAACGATTTAGTCTGAAATAATATATCTCTAGATTTTGCAGTCTTTAGATGTAGGACCTGATTTTATCTGCGAAAAAAAGGGGTTCGACCGATGAGTTAACATCCTAATCTTGGTTTAATTCTATGGGACACGTCTCCTCTGCTCCAGAATAATCACTGGAATTAGCTTCTCATTAATAACTAGTGGACATGTTTATGAAAGTTTCTTGTTATCTACAGTGGTATGCTCTTCTGTCCCTGCACTCGCTGTGACTGGACTGAGATCTTTTTTCATTCTTCTCTTGGAGACCTGACAGAAAATCCTTTCCCTCTCTGTGCTGTGTTTGTTTTTACCACATGTTTGCTTCTCTCTGCAGTCAGCTGAGGAATGACTTCTCCTCCGTTTGCGGTTCTGTGCAGGGGGTGTCGGCTTTGTTCGGGCAGGGCCGACGTGGGGTCCAGATGGGGAGCAGCAAATGACCGGCTGAGGACCTGCAAAGTGACAAGAGTTGGGATGTTGATTGAGGTTATCCGTCCCACTGGAAAGGGACTTCAGATTGTGGTCCTACTCTTGTCTAAAGCACAGACACCTACCTGATCTTCTATGAGGCACAGTGTCCTTGTTCTGCACTGCTCCTCTGGGAGAAATATAACGAACTGATGTCTCTTCCAGGTATTTGTCGACGGGGTCTGGGCACACTGAAACAATAGATGATACCTGGAGTTAATTTTAAAGCTGCTGATCCCACCCACACAAACAGCACACAGAGTGTAGAAATAATGCTGCATCTGTGCTCGAGGTGAACAACATCACCTTAGTTTGCACACCCTCTACCGTGTTCATGCTTGTGTAGACTAACTGTAAATGACATCAACTCTTAAATCCTGGGCCTTTACAACCTCTAGACCACTCACTACAAATACCATCATGTCTGTGTTCAAACGCAACAGAAGTTTTTGTTCATGTTACAAGACTGTGATAGCACTGTAAAGACGCCTGGTCAACTCTGTGCTTTCATACTGATCCGATATTGGTGTCCAAGTGTAAGATTCAACACTGCAGATGCACGAGAGGCAAACACCCACCCACCCCTGTAATGTTTCAGTAACTACCTATGATGTCAGCAAAGCAGTGGGGATACATGTTCCCACCATCATAGCTCTGTGATAGTTATACTGAAGGTATGCATTAAAGGAGCAGAAAAAGACTACTAGGGGTGCACCTATCTGATATTTGGATCGGATATCGGCTCCGATATTGACAAATTAACTGGATTGGGTATCTGATGAATAATGCCGATCCAGCGTTCCCATCCAGACTTTTTTTTCTTTTAATTAATATCATATCAGTGATTCTGTTCACTCTATATGCTATGTCTGTCTATCTTCTTGCACTAAATGCTTACATGGACATCCCTACTTCTTTTTGCTGTGTGCTAATGTGCAATTTGTTATTTGTTAATAAATAATATTAAGTAAATTTATATCTGTGTTAATGTGTTACCTTTTTTTTAACAAGGCTAATGTCAAGCCTGATGCCTTCACTCACAGAGCAAGTTATACAGTTCATTCATTCCACAGAAGTATTGGATCGGTATTGGATATCAGCCATTACACTCAGCCCAAGTATCGGTATTGAACTGGATTGGAAAAAAATGGATCGGTGCATCTCTAAGGACTACAGCTTTATATTGTTTGGTTTAAGGCAGTGGTTCTCAAGTCTATTCCTCCTGCATGTTTTGGATGTTTCTCTGCTCCAACACACCTGATTCAAATGATCAGCTCGTTATTACGCCATTACAAAGCTTGATAACGAGCTGATCATTTGAATCAGGTGTGTTGGAGCAGGGAAACATCCAAAACATGCAGGACAGTGGGCCTCGAGGACTGGACTTGAGAACCAGTGGTTTAAGGTGACCACAACAATCAGGTGAAAGGAAACACAAAAGGAGGTGGCAGAAGCTGCCTGTGTATTTAAGGTTAACGCTTAAAATGCCACGCAAGGACAGGACTTGGTCAGTTTGTCAGTTTTCTATTTTGAGGTGTATCGCTGTTTTGTAATCAGAAGTTAGAGAAGACACTGCCAAAGCTGCCCCTGAGGAAAAACATTGAATGATGTTACTATAGTGAGGGAGACCCGACCGTAAATGTGCCCAATGATAAATTTATGGGTATTCTGTGCCTGCAAATGTGGTCATTCTGCATGTATAATGTATGGCAGGGCTCTTACTTTTTATCTGAAATTTGAACCTTCATTTTAAAGTTCATACTCTTAACTGTAATGAGCCGCTCAGACTCATAATAATACAGAGTACCAGTGTATCATGCTGCCTGAAGTACGCAGAGGGCGCTCTTATTGTAACCTGACCAATCCATGCACTCTCTAATACACTCATACAGTAATGTTATTCCATGAAAATGGAGGACTGACCAAACAATCACAACACTAAAACACAGCAGAAGCACTGCGTGGAAGTATTTGGGGTTTTTCAACTTTGTACAAAGCAGCGGTCATCATGACAACAAATATACAAGTGTACTAAAGGGCTATTACGTGTACTGTTCCTGACGCAGGTGAGAAACTGCACTATGTCTGTGGACACTATGTCTGTGAAAAGCGAGGGTCACCCCTGTCCGAGTGTTTCCTTAGTAAGATAACTGCTATGTTTGTCTCATAGCGAACATTTCTACATCATGTTTGATACGCGTTCAAATTTGATCTTTTGAAAAAACTCACAGGTCTATTTTGTGATTAGGGTCAAAGGTCAAACATTAACACATTCATCTCTTTTGATCACATGCTGTTTTGGCCCCTTTCAATCACTCCAATGTTGAGCTGCCACACCATCCTGACGCCATCATGATGGAAAATAATAACATGGTACGTTTCGCCTCCAAAACGGCAACAAACCGAGTATTCATGTACAGCTAATCAGACTAATATCAGTAGACCACAGCGACACAAAAGCAGACAAAGTACTGTTTTACATCTAAAAATTATCAGCTACCATGTTAGTAATCAGGCAGATTCCCCTCCCTGAACCGGGGTATGAGGAAAAACAAACAACAACAAAAGTTATTTCATGAACCAGAAATCCCTCCTCAGTTCTAGTCACTCCATACTGTTAATGTTAGTCCAATAAGAGCTTGTTCTGCTCCTCTGATTAAAGCAGGTGAAGACAGCTCTGGTCTCCTATTCTCATCTCAGGAATGTCTTCATCTTTTACTTATCTCTACAGCTGCTGACAACAAAAAAGCAGGGTCTGTGTTTTAAACTTTGTGAAATGTTTTCATCAAGCTGTTACCTTTAAAATATGTACCTGAAGCTGGGTGTGCACATAGAGGCGACTGTCTTATACTCACCAGCCTGTCGTTTCCTGAGGGTGACATAAGGCAAAAGGTCATGGCGGGTGATAATCCTTAAAAGCTGGAGAACATGCCGAAAGTTGGTCTCATCGCAGCGACCCTGGCGCTCTAGAGCCAACAGGAAATCTCTCCCACTCCTGATGCCACCCCGCTCATACTCATCGATCACGTCCACAAACAGGAATGACAGTACTCTGACATCCCGGTGCGTTAGCTGGGCTCCAACTATGTCAAACATTTGGTGGAGTGAGTACAGACCATGGGAGTTATCCACTGCTTCCTCAGGCCATGGCTCGAAGCCACCATCTCTCCTGGATGAGCTGGAGTTCGCACGAGATGCGGAAACGTTTCTATTGGCCGCCTCCCCGCCAGTTGCTACCACACCGGAGCAGCCCGGTCTGCCTGTTAAAGCTCTGTGGTCCACAGACCCAGCAGTCGCACCGCTCTGACTTGAGTCCAGCTGATTGGCCTGCAGGTGAGGTCGGGCCTGCTGAGCGGAGGAGTTCTGGGCTAGCTGAGGAGGAATGACAGCATTGGGGAGCTGCGGCTGCTGTGATGTCATCTCAGGGCCCGTTGGTGATGAGGGACACTTTGATCCCTGCTACCAGGTCTGTCTTTGTCTGCTGCTGCTGCAGATGAGCTGAACACAGAGATAACAAGATCACATATGACTTAACAACCCTTGAACAAAAACTGAAAAGCTGCAGTCACCACTGTTAAAACAATAAGCAAACAGCGTTTGAAAGAGAGAGGCAGACAGGCAAGAGACAGCAGGAAACAGCTGATGAAATCGTCATGAAATGTAGTTATTCGTAAATCCTTCAGGAGGAAGGAAGAAAGTAGCTGAAGGGGATCAAAAAGTGAACCGATCTGCTTTTCCAATTTGATTAATTAATGAGGTAGCAACCTAAGGGATCAGGACAGTGTCAGTAACGTAGTTTAAACCTTTGTGAGAGTTAACTTCATGCAGAAATTTATGTTTTTAAAAGATACGTCAAAGATTTTTTGTTTACTTTACACACACAGCACAAACATAGACACAGATATGGGTAATAAGGGTTTGATTCTTGGACAGCAGAACCTAAATAAGACCAGAGCACAGGAACCCAATACTATTTAAACACATGTATATACATTTTCACCTCAGAAAATCTACAAATATATTTGCTTTTGCCATCAGTTATTGTTTGAAAACAGAAACAATCTGAATAGACCAAAATCAGAACTGGCACGCCAGATCTCCACAAAACCACACATTTCAAAGCAGTCTGCACAGGGTCAACAAAACACTTAAAGAAATGTGTGTCATGCTGAAACAAAACATGACTGGGTATAAAAAAAGCATCGCTAAGAGGCAAGTAAAGATGGGAAGAGGTTCACCACTCTATGCAAGGACTGAATAAGCAAATACTTCACAGTTGTAGAGTAATGTAAAGAAGAAGAAAATAAGGATTCTGATTGTCTACAGTCTATAGTATCATTAAAAACTTAAGAGAATCTGTAGAAATCTCTGGACTAAGGAGGCAGGGTTGAACACTAACTCTGAATGGCCCTGATTTTCAGGCCCTCAGGCAGCATTAAAAACTCTTTAGTATACAATTACACCAGTCTTTTCTGACAGCAGCTTTATCACAAAGATTGGACTGATTTATCTCCATACTGTTTGCTGTTTGTGATTCATTATTAGAAACTTAAAACCTGCATTAGGAACGTTCCACTCTGAAGTGAAAATCATTGCATGGACTCAAAATCACAGGATACACTGTCTGAACACAGATCACTGCTACATTCACAAATTGCAGGTTAAAACTGTACTGCGTTGAGAGGAAACTTGATTTATGTATGGTCTTGAAGTGCTGGCGACCTATCAGGACCCAACCCCATTTACGATGGTCTGAGGCCAAGTGTTAAACTGTCCTGTGGTCTGACAAATCAAAATCTGGCAGATGTTTTTAGTGGAAATAACAGATGTCATGCCCCTTGCATAGCCAGAGGAGCATAGCCATCCAGCTAATCAACACACAGTTGATTAATCAACACACAGTTGCCAGCTGTGATGGTATGGGAATGCATCAGCGCCAACAGCATGGGCAGCTTCCACATCTGTGAAGGCTCCATTAATGCTGAGCTATATCTACAGGTTTAGGAGCAACATCTGCTACCATCCAGACAAAGACTTTTTCGGGATAGACCTTCATATTTCAGCAAGACAATGACAAACCACATTCTGCAGGGATTACGACCGCATGGCTCTGTAGTAGAAGAGTCCTGCTGATAAACTGGCCAGCCTAGTCTCCCTGTTTTCTACCGTTTTCAGAGTGTTGTTGACAGAATATGTGACTTAACACAATAGTAAACATGCCTATCTCCTGGCTCTATTGAAACATGCTGCTGCTATCAATTTTAAATTAGTATTAGTATTGTATCCAATACAAGATATATTTTTTCAACAGTTGTCCTTTTGTCTTACGACTGTTCTCAGCTGAATACAGTGTTTAATTGATTTAAAAACCATAAAATTCTGCTTTTAATAGATATTTTTCATACTGGATCAACCATTTTGGAGCTGAAGTAGTCACATACTGCCTTCCCAGCCTTCACATACTGTAAAGTGAGGGTGTGTGGAGTTTAAACTGTAAATACTGTGACTGTGTTTGTCAGCTCTGCAGTAGGTGAGGCTACATATGACACATTTTCAATGTTATTACAGAAGAAAGGGTGTTTGCTTAAAATGTTTTAGCATTGTTCAAAGTCCTAAGATCCCTTAAATGACTTAAGATGTGGAGAAATAGAGAAATGCTGACATGAGGAGGTCTTAACTTTAGCCATGCCACGTCCACATGATGCAGAAATTCAGATTGAACACTGAATGTCATCCTGTCATCATAAAGCCGTTTGTCTGAGATAAATTAGCTTAAACAACAAACAGTATGGGAATACATTAGTCCAATCTTAGAGATAAAGCTGCTGCAAGTGAACTACATTAGAAAAGACTGGTCTTAGAGTGTAGTGAAGAGACTAAACCTTCAGAAACACATCCAGCTGTTCAGCAGGCAGAAGACGAGCTAACGACAGGCTACAACTGAGCCGGACAGTTAGCTAACATGCTAGCGTTACATCTGCTGCCTCTTTGGTTTTATAACGAGTTTGAGGGGTCAAGTTGAGGTCCAACAACGACAAGACTGGACTGAATATCAAATTATGTTCCGATATTCCTCTCTACATGGCAGTAAATCTGTACATGTCCGCAGATAAACGTTGATTAACAAATATCCTTCATTAGCTTGTGTGTTGTAACATCATCTGTTAGCATTAGCACAGGTACAATGTTATCAAAGCAGAGTACTGTATGTATTAATAGGTTTGTTATTTCACCTCCCGTCTTCTGGTGTTTTCTTAAAAGCCCCACACTTTCTCTGTAGGTGAGCAGCTAACGCACAGTTAGCCTCTCAGAGTCTAAAAGCTCCGCAAAGCCTCTTTCAGGACTGAAAACGCCGATCCGTTTGGTTGAATCTGGTCCACGACGCACTTACTCTATAATAGTAATGTTTACAGGTTCTTAATGTGCGGCTAGACTTCTTTCAATCCAGAAATATGGGTTCGTTTGAAGGTTTTGGTCCTCAGACAGACATCATGGGAAAAACAAGCAGACTCCGTTCTTCAGCTAAAATGAAAGAACATCCGGGTCAGAGTGCAGCAGACTTCCGTGGTCATCCCCAGCTGCCAAGTGTAGAATGAAAACAGTCTTCAGTTTCTGATCCCCAAACAGGGATGTCAGCTTTTTTTGTACTTGGATTTAATGCTCCAGGATGTTATACAGACAATAGATAGAGAGTTTAATTCTGTGAAAATGTGGTTAAACAAAGGAATCTTGTCTAGCTGGTGCAGTGGTCTGGATTTCTCAACATTCCCGTGTTGGAAACCTGATTTTTGGACCACATTTTTTTTTCATGTTGTGATGTTCTGCGATAGTGGGACACTCAAATATTTTAGCTGCACTTGGACACACCCTTTTTCATTGTCAACAGGCCCTCCCTAGGTCTGACCTGTTACTCCCTTTGTTTTAGAAAAAGGCTACTTAAAAAAAAAAAAAAAAAAAAGTTACATAAATCAAGACATTTTTCTTTCTAACTGAAGTTTTAAAGATCTAACAACAGATAAGATAAAGAATTACTAAATGTCCTGTTTTCTCAGGACATGTCCCTTTTTTCACATCCTGTACCGGCTGTCCTGGTTATTTTTTGTAAATAATGAAAAAGTTCTAATTTTCATTGTTTTTTTTTATTGGGCCTCTAGGATGAAGAAGAAAACTAAGGATATAGATATTTTTTGTTTGTTAGTTTTTGTAAGTTTCTGAGAGCTATTTTTACTTAAGTTGGATTGCTAATAGAGCAGAGGTATTTTTCAGTTATTTATTATTTATCTGATACAGAAGATACATTATTTCTATCATCATTCTCACTGAATTATCATTGAATCCTATTTAGTAAAATAAATAACGTGTTTAGCATAAAATAAGAGACCTGGAAACATATCAGAATAAGTTGTTCTTGTCCTCTTAAAAAATAAAATAAAAGAGAAGACAGTTTATAAAAACATCAGGTTTAAAGTAATAGTTACAGACCACGAGAGACTGTGTCTCAAAATATATCAAGTGTATTCATAGTTTATTAAAAGATGGTTTGCAGTGTACACTGTCCGCTCTGTTATCTGGTCCCTTCTCTGAACTGGTCTGGTCTGGTTTCCTCTTCTCTCTTAATAACTTAGAAACAGACAAAATTTAATATGCAACACAGGATACTTAAGTTAGAATGAAGTTGAAGTTAGAATAAAATATATTTACCTTTTTTTTTACATAGTTTGCGATGCAGGCTGCCCCCTCAGCTCCTCTGTGGTCTGCTCTCCTCCAGTTTGGTCTAGGCTTGTTTCATTTCCATGAAAGACAAATAACTTAGGAAGCAAAATAGAATATACTTATAGAATAATGAAACAGTGGAGGAACAACCAATAAAAGAAGTTAGAATTAAATATATTTACCTTTTTTTGAAGAAAGTCTGAGATGCAGGCTGCCCCCTCAGCTCCTCTCTGGTCTGGTCTGGTCTGGTCTGCTATCATCTGATCTAGGCTTGTTTCATTTTTACAATAGACAAATACCCTGTGAGAAAAAAGGAAAGTTAATAGAGAATTTCAGATCCGTGGAGAACAATGTCACAGTTACCAGTAAAATAAGTAAGAAAAAAAAACATTTCCCTCTTTTTGGAAGATAGTTTGTGATGCAGACTGCCCCCTCAGCTCATCTCTGATGTGGATTCATCTGGTCTGGTTTCCTCTCCTCTCTAAAATCAAATGACATATGAAATACAACATGAGTAAATTGACCACAGCGGTGAGCAGAACAGTTTTCTCAGTAAATCCAAAGATAAAAAAGTGAATTACTATTTTTTTGGTTCAAAGTGCTCGCTGTCTCCTCTGGCCATCTCTGATCTGGACTCATTTTCTCTTCCCTGATGAAAACAAATTAAAGATAAATTAAGACAACAGTAAAGACCTTCAACAACCAGGGGAATCATTTGAACATTTCAGACTTTTGATGATAAGAATAATAAAAGTTGTATGTTTTACCTTGGTTTCATGATGGTGCAAAAGTTAGCACTGGTGCCTCACAGCATGAAGGTTCCTGGTCTGAATCCTGGGCTGGACAGGGACTTTTCTGTGCCCTGTCTGTATGTTCTCCCTGTACGTGCATGGGTTTGCTGTGGGTGGTCTGGTTCCTCCTAAGACTTGACATAGTTGGCTCTGGGTCCTTTGCTGCTCACAGGACTGTTTTCTGTTTTACTCTGTGACTGGCTGTCCCTCCTTCTTCACCCCCTGACTTCAGTCCTCTTCTGGACATCTCTGCCAGGTCTCCTCTTCTTAAGATGTTCTTAGTTCAGCCTCTTTTGAACTAGGCTTGCTGCGTGTTTTCTGAAATCAAATTTAGGACATTTAAGTCTAAAAATAGAATTTAATTCTATTCATGCATGACAGTGCAAACTGCACAAATGTGGCATATTTCACTGCATATCCTGTATCTAAAGGCTTTATGTCATACCTGCCAAGTCACCTCTTTGTCCTCTGCCAACCACTCATTCCTCATATTTTTCAGTATTTTTTAGAAAGACTTTTCAAGGACCCGTAGAAACTCTGTGAGTGGTGTTGTGATCTTCTGGAGCTCGTTGTTCAGCCTCTGTCCCTGCCACATTTTACAACACTGCCCAAGTATGTGGACTTTTAAACTTCTCTGAGGACTTGTCCTTGGTGATGATACGGTCGCTGGATTTGGAGATTATCTTCATGACCTGTGTCTTTGCTGTACAGGGAGCCAGACCAAGTTTTGATGCAGCCTGGGAATATCTGTCTTCTCCTTCTTTTATCTCCAAAAGTGTCAAAGTAGAGCTGCACTGTCTGCAGAGTCATGGTAATCCAGCTGCTCCCACATTGTTCACTGGACCTTATTTCTCTTCCTCACAGCAGTTCCTCTCAGGATCCAGTCCAAGACCAGTGGGTGACAGTAGACATACCTGGATGACACCTGCCCTGATGTTAAAGCTCTGGCCGAGTTGAATACTCTATAGATGCTTGTCAGGATCCGACAGCTGAGATCTGCTCCCAACTCAGAATGGGATCAACGGTGATAGTAAAGGAAGGATGGATCTTTGACTTTTTCTGTCCCACAGTTTCCTCTTCTCTCTATGAAGAACAAAGAAGAGAATCAATATATGGGTAATAATTTTATCTGTTTTGATATGAGAGTGAAGGTGTCCTCTTGTCCATTCTTCTCTTGCTGATGAGGGACAATAACAGCTTATGTGTTGACTTTTCTCACACTCAAAATGAACTTTACAAGTTTCCCTCCACATCCAACAGAATTTACTAACATATAAATGTAAGAAAATGAGATACACTATAATATGATATCACTGTAAGATTTTCCACTCACCATATTTTTCTTTGTAGTCTTTGTTTTCTGCAAAGTTGATGGTAAGAATGACTCCATTCTGGAGAAAACTGTCCCGTCTTTTAGTCCATCCACAGCTGAGTTTGTTTCTTTCTTCATTGCTGCCATTTTCCCCTAACCGTCTTTTTTTTCTGCTTGTTTGACCTCTTGTCGGTTGTTGCTCCAGTGGTTTTCTTGGGTTCTTTGTTGGTTGGGTTACAGTTTCTAATTTCTGTCTTTTCAGCCAGCATGATGTCTTCAAATTTGCTCCATCGTTCCTCACAGGTTCTGCCATCAGGTAGACTGTACAAAGTGCCACTGGCCCAGAAATTAAACATCATCATGAAATCCTTTCTTGTTTCTGTGAGAATGGCCCTCAATAATTTGGCGTAGATGCTGCTGGTTTTTATCCATTGCTGTTTTTGACAGTCTTTTTTGTGGGTTTTTCTGTACCCTGTGATTTTCAATGTGAGAGTGCCCTGGTCTGGTTTCATCTCCTCTCTAAAATGAAATGGAAAATAAAATACAACATGAGTAAATTGACCACAGCTGTGAGCAGAACAGTTTTCTCAGTAGATCCAAAGATAAAAAAGTAAATTACTATTATTTTGGCTCAAAGTTCTCGCTGTCTCCTCTGGCCATCTCTGATCTGGACTCATTTTCTCTTCCCTGATGAAAACAAATTAAAGATAAATTAAGACAACAGTAAAGACCTTCAACAACCAGGGGAATCATTTGAACATTTCAGACTTTTGATGATAAGAATAATAAAAGTTGTATGTTTTACCTTGGTGTCATGATGGTGCAGAAGTTAGCACTGGTGCCTCACAGCATGAAGGTTCTTGGTCTGAATCCTGGGCTGGACAGGGACTTTTCTGTGCCCTGTCTGTATGTTCTCCCTGTACGTGCATGGGTTTGCTGTGGGTGATCTGGTTCCTCCTAAGACTTGACATAGTTGGCTCTGGGTCCTTTGCTGCTCACAGGACTGTTTTCTGTTTTACTCTGTGACTGGCTGTCCCTCCTTCTTCACCCCCTGACTTCAGTCCTCATCTGGACATTTCTGCCAGGACTCCTCTTCTTTAGATGTTCTTAGTTCAGCCTCTTTTGAACTAGGCTTGCTGCGTGTTTTCTGAAATCAAATTTAGGACATATAAGTTTAAAAATTAGAGAATTTAATTCTTCTCATGCACAATAGAGCAAACTGCACAAGTGTGGCATATTTCACTACATATCCTGTATCTAAAAGCTTTATGTCATACCTGCCAAGTCACCTCTTTGTCCTCTGCCAACCACTCATTCCTCATATTTTTCAGAAAGACTTTTCAAGGACCCGTAGAAACTCTGTGAGTGGTGTTGTGATCTTCTGGAGCTCGTTGTTCAGCCTCTGTCCCTGCCACAGTGTCCACAACACTGCCCAAGTATGTGGACTTTTACACCTGCTCTGGGGACTTGTCCTTTATGGGTTGCTGGATTTGGAGATTATCTTCATGACCTGCGTCTTTGCTGTACAGGGAGCCAGACCAAGTTTTGATGTAGCCTGACACATAAAGAACAAAGAAGAGAATCAATATATGGGTAATAATTTGATCTGTTTTGATATGAGAGTGAAGGTGTCCTCTTGTCCATTCTTCTCTTGCTGATGAGGGACAATAACAGCTTATGTGTTGACTTTTCTCACACTCAAAATGAACTTTACAAGTTTCCCTCAACATCCAACAGAATTTACTAACATATAAATGTATGAAAATGAGATACACTATAATATGATATCACTGTAAGATTTTCTACTCACCATATTTTTCTTTGTAGTCGTGGTTTCCTGCAAAGTTGATGGTAAGAATGACTCCACTCTGAAGAAAACTGTCCCGTCTTTTAGTTGATCCACAGCTGAGTTTGTTTCTTTCTTCATTGCTGCCATTTTCCTCTTATTGTCTGTTTTTTTCTGCTCATTTGGCCTCTTGTCAGTTGTTGCTCCAGTGGTTTTCTTGGGTTCTTTGTTGGTTGGGTAACAGTTTCTAATTTCTGTTTTTTCAGCCAGCATGATGTCTTCAAATTTGCTCCATCGCTCCTCACAGGTTCTGCCATCAGGTAGACTGTACAAAGTGCCACTGGCCCAGAAATTAAACATCATCATGAAATCCTTCCTTGTTTCTGTGAGAATGGCCCTCAATAATTTGGCGTAGATGCTGCTGGTTTTTATCCATTGCTGTTTTTGACAGTCCTTGTTGTGGGTTTGTCTGTATCCTGTGCTTTTCAATGTGAGAGTGCCCTGGTCTGGTTTCATCTCCTCTCTAAAATGAAATGACAAATAAAATACAACATGAGTAAATTGACCACAGCAGTGAGCAGAACAGTTTTCTCTGTAAATCCAAAGATAAAAAAGTAAATTACTATTTTTTTGGTTCAAAGTGCTCGCTGTCTCCTCTGGCCATCTCTGATCTGGACTCATTTTCTCTTCCCTGATGAAAACAAATTAAAGATAAATTAAGACAACAGTAAAGACCTTCAACAACCAGGGGAATCATTTGAACATTTCAGACTTTTGATGATTAGAATAATAAAAGTTGTATGTTTTACCTTGGTGTCATGATGGTGCAGAAGTTAGCACTGGTGCCTCACAGCATGAAGGTTCCTGGTCTGAATCCTGGGCTGGACAGGGACTTTTCTGTGCCCTGTCTGTATGTTCTCCCTGTACATGCATGGGTTTGCTGTGGGTGGTCTGGTTCCTCCTAAGACTTGACATAGTAGGCTCTGGGTCCTTTGCTGCTCACAGGACTGTTTTCTGTTTTCCTCTGTGACTGGCTGTCCCTCCTTCTTCACCCCCTGACTTCAGTCCTCATCTGGACATTTCTGCCAGGTCTCCTCTTCTTTAGATGTTCTTAGTTCAGCCTCTTTTGAACTAGACTTGCTGCGTGTTTTCTGAAATCAAATTTAGGACATATAAGTTTAAAAATTAGAGAATTTAATTCTTCTCATGCACAACAGAGCAAACTGCACAAGTGTGGCATATTTCACTACATATCCTGTATCTAAAGGCTTTATGTCATACCTGCCAAGTCACCTCTTTGTCCTCTGCCAACCACTCATTCCTCATATTTTTCAGAAAGACTTTTCAAGGACCCGTAGAAACTCTGTGAGTGGTGTTGTGATCTTCTGGAGCTCGTTGTTCAGCCTCTGTCCCTGCCACAGTGTCCACAACACTGCCCAAGTATGTGGACTTTTACACCTGCTCTGGGGACTTGTCCTTTATGGGTTGCTGGATTTGGAGATTATCTTCATGACCTGCGTCTTTGCTGTACAGGGAGCCAGACCAAGTTTTGATGCAGCCTGTCTCTATAAAGAACAAAGAAGAGAATCAATATATGGGTAATAATTTTATCTGTGTTTTGATATGAGAGTGAAGGTGTCCTCTTGTCCATTCTTCTCTTGCTGATGAGGGACAATAACAGCTTATGTGTTGACTTTTCTCACACTCAAAATGAACTTTAGAAGTTTCCCTCCACATTCAACAGAATTTACAAACATATAAATGTAAGAAAATGAGATACACTATAATATGATATCACTGTAAGATTTTCTACTCACCATATTTTTCTTTGTAGTCTTTGTTTCCTGCCAAGTTGATGGTAAGAATGACTCCACTCTGAAGAAAACTGTCCCGTCTTTTAGTTGATCCACAGCTGAGTTTGTTTCTTTCTTCATTGCTGCCATTTTCCTCTTATTGTCTGTTTTTTTTTTGCTCATTTGGCCTCTTGTCAGCTGTTGCTCCAGTGGTTTTCTTGGGTTCCTTGTTGGTGGGGTTACAGTTTCTATTTTCTGTCTTTTCAGCCAGCATGTTGTCTTCTTATTTGCTCCATCCCTCAGGTGCTTGTGGGTTGTCTGCATCCGTTGCTTGTCAATGTGAGAGTCTGTCTTTTTTAGAGTGTGCCTTGTCAGAGGAGATTTCCTGTCACTTTGGGGTCAGCCATTAGAGTGTTTCTGTCTCTGTGTTGTTGCAGAGAGCTCGTCTCTGAGAAGTGAGTCCAAGAGCTCCTGCAGGTTCACCGTGTCCCACACACAGGCGGCTCCAAGAAAGAAAGAAAAGTGCAAGACGCACAAAAAAACACACCGACCTGTGGGCTTCATCCACGGTGACTTAACTATCTATTTTCAATATTTACAAGTCCACAGGGAGCCCAGGTGCAAGACGCTACCAGGGGCTCCAGAGGCCCCGCCAGACGCAAGGGCCGACTGTGACACAGACACAGTCACACTCTGATTGGTCTTCTCTTTGGCTGAGGCTGGCAGCTGCCCTCCCCATCCTGGTCCTCCTCTTCATGGCCCCTCTTCCTCTTCTTTGGTCTCTCAACACAGCGGGTGGACGCAGCTGTGAAGCGACAGAGGACGGACATCAGGCACTGTCCGTTTTCTGAATAGTCAGTGATCCTCCAGCGGTTGGTGACGACAGACTGATGAGAATCAAAGACGGTGGAGATCACTCTTTTTGTCTTCCTCCCGTCTACCATCAGGGAATGAACTCGGGTCCAGGGGTCACCCAGAGTCCTCAGCTCCACCCTCTCAGGAAGGGGTTGGTTCATCAGGGTGGTGCGGGAAGTATAACCTGCCAGTGGCACCATCATTCCTGGTGGAGCTGCCTGTGAGGGGTGTCTGGAGTTCTCCTTGTCCTCCTCCCTCCTAAACGGTGCAGATTCCTGCCTGAAGAAAGTGGGTCCTCTGAAGTGGATCACAGGGAAGTCCCCAGAGCCTGTGATGAGGTTGTGATACAGGCTCATCACGGTTTCTTTCAAGGACACCACTCTAACTCTCTCCACGGGACGATTCCTCAGGTTGGTGACATACATCTGAAGGGTTCCTCGTGGCACAGGCAGAAACTCTGGACAGAAAGAGGAGAAGAGAAAAACATGAAACAAACGCTCAGGATGACAATGACAGGACTTCTTAAAGACCAGAAAAATAAGCCAGAGTAGCTGCTGGACTCTGATTTCAAAATTCAAATGATTGAAGACAGAAGAACACAAAGACTCTGATACTGAAAGATGATTCAAGTTCATCAAGTTCAAGTGTCAGTAATACATGAAACACTTATTCTCCAAACACTGAAACCACATTCAAAGATGTCAATGCTACTTTCACAGTGAAAATAAAGTTTGACTGGATTTTTGTTTTAACTGTCATTTAATATGATGAAAGTTGCTCAAACCTTTTGAACTGACTTTACTGACGAGTGCAAGACACATTTTAAAATCTAAATGTACCAAAGACTGTGGAGATGATGGTCCAGTTTAAGACTGTGTAGTTTCATGACACTCAATTCAACAAGCTCATCTATTTCATGCCAACTCTGTCATCCTTTTTTATCATACAATAGACATGGTATATTCAACCATTACAGAGTGACCATAATAACATTTTAACAGCTTGTAACAATATTATGTTTAGTTTTACTAAACAAATATGCCAACATTTGAGTCTGAAAATCCTTCAATTGTGTTCAATGAAAAAAATATTGTGATGAGGATTCTTCATTATTGAAAAAGTGCATTTCTTTGTCATCAATTTCTTATATTTTGGAGATTTATAAATCTATTGGATAAGTGTTGTGTGACCTTAATATAATGCTATTTCCTTGATATTATTTGTGATACAACATTTCTATGGTAAAAGGTATGCTTGTTCCCAGTTAACATGAATGAAAACGCTATTTCAGAAAGATTTCCTCTCAGGTTTAATTCTCTTTCGTTCACACAAGATACTACCGATGAGTCTGTTGTGGCATTTCTTGTTCATTAGCGCAGTTAAATGTTCATTAGGTGAGTTAAAGCCTCGGGAACTGCCCTCATTACAGAGTTGAATTATTTGCTGCTTAATGATTTGTAATGAAGGAATTGTTCATATGTAGATGACCAGCCATGATAACTCTGTCATTCACACTCACAGCAGGCCCGGGCTCTGACGTCAGACGTATGTCTCCGATAGGTGTAATATTTGACGTCGTCTCCATGGCGCGGGAGAAACATACAACTTTTAGCATTTTTTTAAACGATGGAACGATAATGGAACCGGCGCCATCTTTGCCCATTACTTTCAATGTTAAAACATTTCAACCAAGTAAAAAACAATTTTTGCTCAAACACTAATATTCATATTTTTACTCATGTTACTCCTATTACCGTCGGTGCACATTACATTTATCAATATTTAAAGACCGTATAAGTCGAAAAAAACATGAATCTATTTCTGTCAAAAAATAGGCCTATTACATTAAACATTTGATCAAAGTTGTCCTTTTTTTCTGCAAAAATTATGAGATAATTCGATGTTTTAAACGGATAAATATCCAAATCAATATTATTCAAGTCTTTCCCCAGAGTTTAATGTCATAAAAGACAGAGAAAAAAATTTTTTTATCAAGTTTTACCATAGTCATCGGGCAGTCGGATGATGCAGATGGAGAGAAGGAACTTCTCTCTGCCAGATGCGAGTAAAGCCATAACTTGTCGTTTGATACTGCAGTCCGAAAGTAACTTCTAAGTGTTAGTTGAAGCTCTTTTCGTCGTTCGAAGTTGACAGTTGCCAATAAATCGATCTCGTCCGACAGATGAAAGTTTTCACGTGCGGATTTGAGCGCTCTAGTTTGGAACTGAATTGGAATTTTAGGAACATCATCATCATCATCTTCATCACCATGGTAAAGACCAGCGTGTGAACAATAATAGATTTAAAATAACACCATTTTACCGCAATACAAAAAATATACTGCAGTTAAACTAATGTGAAGTAATTCCAGGCTATATAAATTACATCAAATAAAAAAGGTATACAGGCCACCACACAAAAATAGGTGATGAGAAGTCTCAGAGATGTCTTCAAAATGTTTTTCTCCACAAGGAGACCTTCTCAAAAGGATCAATAAAGTTCAATCTAATCTAATCTAATCTAATCTACAAACTGGACTAAATGAAAACCATATTCACTTGAATTATCTAGCATGGCTCATCTTTGACTATTTTTGACTTCCAAACTGTTTCCCCTCTTTTACTGTGTTTTTGCTGTCTATACAATAAATAGTAGCCTTACAAAAAGGCTCATTACCTTCGTAAAAATATGTGGCCTAAAAACTGTGAACTACAAATATTGAAGCTTTTTATGATTTTATTGTTTCTTTTATTATTCTGTTGTTGTATTGAGTGGGGGTACATTTCTAGATACACATGTGGTGGACCAAATGCCCGTATTGATTTTTTGTAGACTATCCTGCATGTACAGCCAGGCGAAAAAAATATTCGTTTGTGCGTCTATATTTATTAAATAAATGATATTTCCTATCTAAAAATTATTTTAAGACGAGGATCACTTTTCACCGCTTCCCCGGATTTTCTTTTTCTTCAGGTCATCAATCCTTTGTCGGTTTTGTGTCTTGGGTAAAGCGCAGTGCATGAAACTTAGCGCGTCCGCCTCGGCCCGCAGACAGCCAGCTCCGCATAGTTTAACATTTGCACATTACACAAACATAAAGGCTGATAACTCAGGTCTTTGTGATCCTTGGAATTAATAAACTGGAGATCATTTCTTTAGTGTGCATTTTTACTGAAATGACGCCTCAGTATCTGTTTTAATTTGACGCACAGCCAGAGCCGGATTAACCATGAGGCATAGTGAGGCTGAAGCCTCAGGGCGTTTGGCTATGGGGGGCCACTCAGCCCGAGCAGAAGCCGCTATGACGCTGATGAGCTGCGCCCGGTGTGAGGAGGATTAGGCTGTATTGGGACAGAGGAAAAAGTGCCTAGAAAGTGAATCTCGTTCCACTTCAGTGGGGCAACATAAACTGTGATTCATAAAATAGCTCTATTGATAGTTAGTACTAAAAAAAAATATCTACTCATGCCATCCAGTCGATTTTTAGTAATCAGTGTTTCGGTATCGAACTATTTCCTTTCTGCGGCGCAGTGATACTTGCACACGCGCAATCGAATATGCAGAGGGGTGAAGCGATTTTTGTCACGTGGACCAATAGGAGCCGAGTCTCGTTGCCATAGTATCAGAAATACACAAACATGGCGACGAACGCGTTTACCAGCGAGACAAGCGAGGAGGAAGAAAAGAAAAGGAACAAAAGAAAACAGCCTTCAAAAGTGCATCAAAAAGGAACGAAACGATGCTATATGCATCTATCATCTGTCCAGAGTGAAGACGTTCTCGACTTTACGAGGACACGTTGGGAAACTTACAGAACTAGTATTAGAAAGTGGCTTTCTCTACAGGGTGAGACAAAAGACCAGCCAGAAATGTACATATGTGTGAGTAACACAAAAAACGATTATATGGTACTGCTGTTTTTGCTTGTAGAAACTGCTATGTTGATTCTGGCAAAACAAAATCTTTCTCAAATGTCATAAATACATCTACCTAACATCTGAAACAGTTATTGGTGCCTTAGAATACGCATAAGTGAATTCAGATTATGAAATGTAGCAAATTTCTTGAAGAAAACGTCTCAACTCAAGTGATTTGCACCCAGCACAATGAAATATATACAGTATATTTAGCTAAAAGCTTATGTTTCATACATAAAAATGACACAACCTACTGTGTAATAAAAGCAATAAAATATAAACAGCACATCATGGCCCTAAATGGCTGAAAGTCAGTCAAATTGCTACCACGCTCCCCAAAATTGGAATAATGGAAAAAATGTAACAAGACAAAAATAAATGCACAAAAGGACTGAATTAATTCAAAATATAGTATAAAACATTTATTCAAGTATCACAGTGTCAAAACCTCTGACATTTATCAGTCCCTACAGAATACGAAAATAAAGATCAAAACACAAACGCAGACAAATGTAGAACAAATATAAAAATAATAAAAATCTCAGTGTAGCAATCCTTTAAAAAACAAATTGTATAACCATAACAGGCCTTCATATCACGCCTTAAACTTTTATTTATAATGCTTGCTATATACTTATAATTTAAAATGCCTGAGGTTTTCTACAGTAAAAAAGTGAACTGTACACCAGCCTCTGTGCTTTCCTTGAAGACTTTTTCACTACCTCTTGTTGAATTGAGTTCAGACACACAGTTGTATTAACCCAGTGGTTTGGCTAGAGGTGGTGGCTAGTGGAACCATTGAATAACCACCCATAACTGCAGTAATTTCCACAAAATGACCAATAAAAACTGCCAATTTTTTGCGCGCGCGGGACAGAGGGGGGCCATTAGGTTTGCTTAGCCTCAGGGGCCACAGAAGGTTTAATCCGGGCCTGCGCACAGCATATCTGAGGGTTTGACTGTGAAACAAGAATGAGACACTTTTTCTGTGTGTAGAAACAGAGAATGTCTTGAATAAATATACTTCTCAGCTAACTTAGACAAATAATATCTATACACAATGAAACTTTAGATCGATACAAGTCCATTGATAACTGAACACTTTTGAGGAGCAGTAAAATGCGCATAACTCAGCCAGTAGAGACCATATGAGAGGGGAAAATGTATATATTGCATAAATGGCAAACATAACTCAAATGTTGATTTGTCTTCTTCTCTGTGTGCCCCTCTACAAGCAGGCAAGCAAACAGATAGGCTGACTGAGAGAGAGAGAGAGAGAGAGAGAGAGACTCACGAATATAGAAGAGCCTGAGAAACAAAACAATAAAAGTCTGTGTGAAAAAAAGTATTTAGAGAATGAAGAAATGTAGTAAAATAATGGTCACATAAGCACTTAATCATCTATGAATTAAAAGTGAACATGTACAGACTGAGTCAATTAATCTGGTTATGCAATATTTCTAAAGAAAACTTCATAAATGCAATAAATTTAAAATCTCATCAAAAAGCATGTATTTTATTGGATTAATTTTTATTGGATGACTGATCTAAACATCAGATTAATGATGGTTGTTTTCATGGTTGTTTCTGTTACAGGTTTCACAGCTAAGTTTTACAGTAACAATTGATTTTCGGCTCAGTGCCTCTAAATCTGAAAAACACAGTCAAAAAGTTCAGAAGATGGAGACCCAATCCATTCATTTTCCTTCCCGAATTTGCTCTTTATCACGGAACCAAAAACACACATAAAACCATATCAAACTTTCCTCTATGCAAGAATATCTCTGTTTGAATGTCCACAGTGAGAGTGTCCATATGTTTCTTTAATGAAGTCTACTTCATACGGTTTCTCCCCTGTTTAACATTCATTAAATACCCTATTAAAGGCAGAATGAAACTTTTCAAAAGTTAATACTGAGTTTTTATACTGTTTAATACTGTTTTAATCCACTGCTTTGCTTCATGCTAACACTGAACTCAACTATCGGAGGATGTTCGTGTTTTAATCAAAGACTGTATATGGTTATAATCTGCACAGGTTGTAGGATCGCTTCCCGCACCGAGAGGCGGCGCTATTTCGAGCTCTTTCTAAGTCCATATAACTCGCTCAAGTCACTTCAAACTCACGGTATGTTTAGTTTGTCATTGTTTAGATGTAGGGTATAACTTTGTGGATTTCGCAGTGTACAAACCTGAAAAACACAGCAGAAAAGTTCAGAAGATGGACCCGAGTCAATATTTTCCATCCCGAGTTTGCTCTGAGGAGGGGGCGGTCCCTCCAGAAAGTCATCCGGGCACAACGCACCCTGGCTCATTAATTCCCCTCTCCATTCTCCTCATGAACTAAAGTTCCTTCCCACCTCAAACGTGCGTAAAATAAACACTTACGTTTTCAGTGAGTATTGAAAATGTCTTTACATTTAATGTGTACCACATTTCCTTTTCAAATTCAGGAGCAGACACTATTGTCTCCTCTGATCATTATTGGTTCCTGTTCTGGTCCCATCTGGTTTAGACATGACTCTTGTTACATCCGTGTTTCCTGCTTTATTCTGGAGCCTTCTGTGGTGGCCTCTGGTGAATCACCCGATTGTCTGCGCCTGAGGTCACTTAACTGGAGTCTCTTTTTCAGCAGTGCCTATGAGCTGCTCACTCTCACCTCACCTGTCAGCAGCTGCAGCCTGTGAGGGTCATATTTTTTGACACCATCAGGCTGGCTTTACTGGAGGAAAAGCTGACACAGGAGCTGGTGGAGGTTCCTCTTGTGTCCTGGATCATTGACTATCTGACTGTCAGACCACAGTTTGTATATTTACAACACTGTGTGTCAGACAGAGTGGTCAGCAACACCGGGGCTCTGCAGGAAACAGTCCTGTCTCCCCTCATCTTCACCTTCTACACCACAGACTTCAACCACAACAGTCCTGCCACCTTCAGAAGTTCCCCGATGACTCTGCTGTAGTTGGATGCATCAGGAACAGGGACAAGGCTGAATACAGGACTGTGGTGGACAACATTGTCACATTGTGCGAGCAGAACCATCTCCAGCTTGACGCGACAAAAGACCAAGGAACTGATAGTGGATCTGAGAAGGAGGAAGGTACCAGTGACCCCTGTTTCCACCCAGGAGGTCAGTGTGGACATTGTAGTCAGGACCATAAATTGAAAAAGCCTCTTAGAAAACTGCTGCGTAGTAGGCATTTTTGAGGAAAAGCACTTTATGTATTGATTCTGTATGATTTTTTAGTTAATGATTTCTGCTGGTTGCCCAGCTGTAAAAGTTGCTGTTTAGTCATAATTATTGATTAAGTAGCATAATTATTGATTAATGGCCTAACGTTAGGAATGGATATCAATTTCTTATTTGTAAAGAATTTATATATGATTGTTTGGTATCATTAAAGGGGACCTTCTAACCTTTCATTTAAGCCCATGGTTGTATCTTTCTGAAAAACACACACTCTTTAAACCACAAATTACACACATTTTCTCACAATTTTCGCCCAAACTATATAGTTTCTTTGATCCCTGTGGGATCAAAGAATATCAAGGACCCAAAAGCCAACAATCTCATTAAATGGACTTTGAGGATTCAGGAAATGTTTGATATACTTATTCCAGGCTGGTGCAATGGGCCCTGGTTCATCCTGCTGCATGACAATGCAAGGCCTCATGTGTCTGGAGTAGATCAGCAGTTCCTGCATGATGGAGGTATTGATGCTATGGACTGGCCTGCCCGTTCCCTAAACCTGAATCCAATTGAGCACATGTGGGACATCATGTCTTTTTGCACCACAGACTGTCCAGGAGATCACTGATGTTTTCATGCAGGTCCTGGAGGAGATCCCTCAGAAGAACATCCACCACCTCATCAGGAGCATGCCCAGGTGTTGTTGGAAGGTCATACAGGCAGTGAAGGCCAAACTTACTAATGAGCCTCATTTTGACTTGTCCATGGACTGTATATACTATGGACTTCTTGGTGCCGCCTCTCGCCAGAATACAGATTTGAAGCCAAAAAGCTCTCGGTATTTCCGTGATTTTTCTTCATTTCCTGAAACCAGCATTGCGCAGTCGCATTTTACGCATTCGGCTGGAAAGTCACAAGAGTCGCTGTGATGACGCTCGGCTCAAACAGTATATCCCCTGGGTAAGTGACACAATCTTGGTACACCAATAGGCTGTATCAGGTGTCAATCATAGAAAACATGAACCCCCTAATAAAAACGGAGCTGTTCAGAAAAAAGAGGACTTGAGCTCAAACCAGTCTTACAATAACTACATATCAACATCACAAGCAGGGGGGAGAAAAATGTATATTCAGCTAGCCAATAGGCTAGCCCCAGGAGGAGCCAACACTGCCAGGCAGCAGCAGCTAGCTTCCAGGCCAGCCCCAGGAGTAGCTACCACCACCAGGCAGCAGCAGCTAGCCAGCAGGCCAGTCTGTATCTGATAGCTGCCACCAGGCAGTTGGTGGGAGCGTTGTCTTCTACCTTGCCACTCCAAGGCCTCATGCCGCCAAAAACACACTGTTGGCTGAGGAAGCTGGCAAGATAAATCAGTCTCTTGACTTTTTATCTGAAGAAGTTTCTGCTGTGAGGTTGCAGGAGAAAAGCATCATGGGTCTTGTGCAGTAGGTGAAGGCTCAGAAGGACAAACAAATTGCTCACCTGAAAGAAGGGTAATGGATTTTGAGCAATATATGAGGATGAATGACGTGATCATTACCGGTCTCCACATTAAACCTGAATCATGTTCCTGCGCAGTGTCCGTGAAAAACCAGGGGGTGGCTGCAGGACAAGGGGATTGTGTTTAACTGTGACCACATCAAGGCAGAAAACAAGGCAGAAATCTCAGAGTTCATCAACGAACATCTGAAACAAAACACAATGCAGACATAGCCAGGAAAGCACAATACCTGAAGAAACAGAGGAAAATCCAAAGTACATGGACAAGCAACTGTAAAGTATTCATTAAGCTGAATTGTTCACCCGAGCAGGCCAAAGTACTTGTCATCAGAAACATGGAGGAGCTGGATAAACTTCAATAGGCCAATCGTCATCAGCCTGAACTGAGCTAAGGTACCATCCACACACAACCATGGCAGAGAGAACTCACTTATCGTCATCTGCAAACAATATCAAACATTTAATGAGAGAATAATGACCATGATCATCTGGAACTGAGAACATTTGAACTCAGAGAACACAATTCTCAGGATCTGGAACAGAATATAGACCCAGATAATAATATTTTTTCTGTAACATTGACAACAATTGCCTCTACTACAGTCAGGAACAATACAACTGTGATGTTGAATCAAAAGATAGACTATCAATTATCCATTTCAGTCGTAGAAGCCTCGATGCCAACTTCAATAACATTAAGGAATATTTACAGACATTTTCACAGAAATAAGCAAATAGAATATAGGAGACTGAGGTTAAGAAGAAACAATAAACACATTCAAGAATAAATTACTAGCACAGAATTGTGAGGAAATATATCGAGAAAATAATGTGAATAATGCATATGAAAGATTTCTGAGTGTATTTAAGCAATTATATGATAAAAATGGTCAAATTCAAAAATAAAAAAGAAAACTGAAATATAGCAACTGTCCATGGATCACAAAGGGATTGCAAAATGCCTGCAAAAAGAAAAATACACTATACAGAGAACTGATAAGATTGAGAACTATAAAAGGCCAAAATTAAATATAAAATATTTCAAAATAAGCTAACTCATATTTTAAGGAGAAGCAAGAAAGATAATTTTTGTAGAATATTAAAGGATAACAAAAATAATATCAAAGGAATATGGGGAATACTAAACAGTATCATAAGAAATTGTTCTAAAAGAAATGACTATCTGGAGTATTTTATTGACAAGGAAAATGTAACTTATGATAGGAGTGATGTGGCTGATAACTTTAATTCATTCTTTGTGAATACAGGGCCTAACCTTGCAGAAAAAATCCCTGATCCTGGGGCAGTGGAAAAAATATGGATTTTGATAGAGAGAAATCCCAACTTAATGTTTCTCAAAGTGGTGGATGAGCAAGAAATACTGAACATAGTAAAAAACTGTAAAAGCAAAAAGTCAACTGATTGTAATGACATTGATATGACAGTAGTGAAAAAGTAGCCTGGCTGGGCCATCCTGCTGCGTGAATCACTTGCAGTTCCTTCCCACAACAGTCTGGACTTCGGCCCATTGGGAGTGTGTATTCCCAATCAGAAAATTACCGGGCTAATCAGAGACTGTGTAACCATAACTCATGTTTCAAATATTGTTTAAGATTTGGTTTAGATTCAGAAAATGTGCTTAATCCCATTTGGAATGGTGATTCTGGAATTGTCAGGTTTCTCCGATTTGGGGTACAGTGAAGTACTTTGGTCATAGCACCTGTAATTTTCCAGATAGAAAGGTCAGCTTGGACTTAAATTGAAGCTTATAAATGTGGGTAGTTTTCCATATCCATGGTAGGCAGTGAAATGTGTAAGAAAATACTTTAAAATGATCACTTTTGATGACAATTTGTTAGGCAGACAGACATTTTTGGTCTTTTGGGGTATTCAGAGGGTGATATTTGGCAATAGAATAGTAGTAAGCCCCACATTATTATGTATCACAGTTCAATCTCCAATCAAAAAGTTGTCTTAGTGTATTTTGTTATATTCTTGAAGAATTGGGAGAGCACATCATAAGACAGTTGGGAGGTGTACTCTGCGGTGTGCTCATCAGAACAATCATTCAGTAGATCTCACAAACATACGATTACGTATCATTATTATTATTCTGTCTGTTCTTACACCCCAGGTCTGCATAACTTGTCGACTTCTGCTTTCTTTCCAAAATGGGGTGTGTGCAACAGAAACAGGAGAGGGAGGCTTACTGAGTGATGAGAAGAAAGAAAAAACATCTCATACCACTGTTCATACAAGAATACTCAGTATTTTTCCAAAACACTAGCTGCAAGCTGGTACTGTCCTTTTTAAATAATTTTCACCTTTTAGGTCATATCTATGTATCTGAAGGAAGTGTGGTTTTAAACATTGAAAAGTGGTGGTTTGATTGACAGGATGTTTATATTTCTGACACTGAGTGACCAGAGGAGGCAGTTTGCCGATGGCTGCATCTCAAAGCTCTAAAGTGAGACGAACTCCTGTGTCAGACTGAGGGTTACTCTTTTTTTTAATTGATTTTTATTGGTCTTTCTCCTTACTGTCTACTGAGCTCTGTTTCCTCACTGCATATTTGAATGTATGTTTTTTTAAACTCTTTTAACTCCAGAGATGTGACCTTTGATCCAAGTCCAGTGTGCTGCAGCCTCCAATCAGCTTGTGACATTCAACCAGGGGGTGTGTCCTCCTGTTTGGCATAAACTTGAGCCAAAACAGGAAGCTGTCTCTCACAGCTCACTTTAATCCAAGGTAAGACCCAGATTTATTTTGATACTGAAAACATGAACTCTGATAACCATAGGGGTAAATTGGGAAATTTGGGGGGTTAGTTTGGGACATAAATGTCAACATGTTTCAAACACGCGCTCTTCATATGAACAGAGCATATTTGAAAGATTGAGCATGGCAGCAGCGTAGTGCAGCCTCGGTCAGCTGGGCTCAGTTTAGAGGAAACAACATGCTCACAACAGGTTGTTTTGCCTTTCTGCAGTCTATTTCCTGCTAATTTGGGCATTTTAATCTGTGACTGTTGAGCTTCTACTATATGTTCCTGTAAATTTTGGGTTATTGCAGGTTTACTCGTGTTTAGTAAATTGATTTAGAAATTCACTGGATTCGGGATATTCTGCTTGTGCTTGACTTCCTTCCATATGCCGTATAATATCTATTCTATATACAGTCCGTGGTCACAGCACAATGTAGCCTGTTTTATTCATCACAGTCTCCTACTGTGTTTAGTTAACATTTTCTCTCTATTGTTGGCTGTGCTCCACATCTGCAAACAGCCACTCCCTGAAGGTGTGGAACACCTGCACAAGTCAAACAGCTTATCTGCAACAATCTCACTTAATGATCTCCCCAGTCCCACAGTCACTGCGAATCAGAAAGGCTGAAAACAGTCATGTGTTCATTTTTGTGGTCACAGTGTACAACAGAGGTATAAAGTTTTTCCCTGAACTAGAGTTTCATTGACATCAGGGTAAGCCATGACTGAGGTTGACTTTGTGCATGAATTCATGTAGAATAAATTGGGGTCTCTTACAATATGATTCCATTTGTTTCTATTTTTTCAGTTCATGTAGGTGAAATGGGGTAGGATTTGAGAGAAGGACTTTACAGAGTTTGTGTTTCTTCCTAAGAGATTAGATTATTCTTGTGGTTACCCAGGGCTGTATCAGCTTTGAGTGAGATTTGGAGGATTTTCTCTTTTCAGGAAAGGCAACATTATACACGCTAATATTTTGTTGATGAATGTGGTGGAGGCCTTCTGTGGATCAGAAGAGGCCAACACAAGTTCCCAAGAGAACTGTTCAGTTAAGACTTTGAATCTCTTGACAGTGGATGGTTTAATTACTCTACAGATTGATGTATTTGACTCAGTATTACTCAATTTATAGAGGACATGAGGAAAATTAGAAGATGATCTGATGTGACCACACAAAGAATCCTGGAGTTAATTTTTTAATCAAATACATTAGTGAATACATGTCAATCAGTGTGGTGACGCTTTCTGTCACTCTGGTTATTATTATCATTATTACAGTATTACATTTTACAGTGTTCCCTGTGGACAGAGCTCTTACCCTGAGAGAAGAGTAGGAGCTCTGAGAGGTGTGTGGGCTCAGTGTGGATCTGAACAATCCTCTTGTTGGATCAGGATCACTGTGACAGGAGCAGTTGGACTGAAATGGAGGATGAGCAGACAGGTGGAGCTGCAGCCCTTCAGGTGAACTCTTATAAATCTGGTAGTTTATCTGAAGACAACAAACCTGAGTGTCTGGAAAGGTCTGAATGAGTCCTGTGGTGTCTGCTGAGGTTGATGTTAACCCTTTTCTTCTTCAGCAGACTGGTTTACCCAGAAGAGGAGTGGTGAAGGAAGAGTTCGATAGTCCTTCTATGGTGAATACTGAAATTCTCTGCATGCTTAAGACCATTTTTCTTACATTTATGAAGACCCCTGACACTCTTCTCTATGCTCTTACAGGTCAACCATGATCATGAATTCAGCATTGTAATAGAAGGCCAAAAACTTGAAATTAACTGTACAGCTCCTCAAACAGTGATGACAGCAATCAGATCACGCAAAAAATACAAGAAGCAGGGGTGGTCAGATAAACACATCATGATTAAGCAGGGGGTGGGGATGACAGAAAGTGTTATCGCTTCTCATTTTCCCTGTACCTGTCTCAAAGACAAAGTGATTCTGACTATATCAAAATCAACAAAAGCAGTTGAGGAGGAAAGAGATGACCAACCAGTCCTCCCAAAAGACAGCTATTCTGTCTTTTACATTCACAAGGAAGGAGGCAAATACACCAAAAAAAAAAAGCTTTTTAAAAACAGCGATCTCAAAAACTCCGAGTTCATTTGTGTTTATGGAGAAAGAGAATCAACTGTTCAAGAGGCTCTGGAAAGAGACAGTCGCTTTGTTGAATTAGATGACTTTGAATTGACTGACTGTGATGATCCCAAAACAGTTATTCAGTATACAGACAAAGTAAATAACCTGAATGGGAGAAAATTCAAGATAAAGCTTCCAAAAGAATGCAATGACAAAAAAAAAGATGATGGGGTGCCTAAAAAAATAACTCATAAACTTAGAGGACAGCAGAGTGAGGGCAGTGGCCATTCATCTGGAGCATCAGGTGATACCAAACAGGCAGATGATATGAGGGAACTAAAGAAACTAGTGGAGAGTACTGGAATCAGAGTCATCGCAAAGAGTGATGTCAACCATGAGGAGATCATGAAAATGTTGCGTGAGCAGTGCAAAGAGCTGAAAAAACAGGTGGAAGCAAGATATTCTGAAGATTACATTCAGAAAACTCTGAAGAAGGTCAACTTTGGAAAAATTGAACAGTTCTTTCACCAAGTTTACACACTCAGGAAGCTGCTAGAGATGGCAAAGTCTGTTTGTCTGGTGGCAGTTCATGGGGGTTTAGTGGGCACAGGGTTTGTGTTATTTGACAACTTTATCATGACTAACGCACACCTGTTTGTAAATTGCCCACAAGGAGACAGACTGATAGATGTAAATGTGTGTGTTGTCTTTAACTATGAGACTGCAGTAGAGAAAAGCTCTCACTGTCTCGCCAATCAGGCCTTCATCTGCTCTGATAAAGAACTGGACTATGCTTTGCTGAAAGTTCAACCCACAGATCAGTTCAAGATGCCACCAGGGCTCCTGGAGAAACTTGGAGAAGCGCCTGTATGTGGCGGAGTCTGTGTCATTGGTCATCCCAAGGAGGACGTGAAAAAAATAGACCTGACATATGTCATAGAGCCAGAAAATAGACTGCAATATCTTCACCAATACTCCCAAAACTATCCCTTTGTCATGTGCCACATCTCTAAAGCCTATGGGGAGGACTTAAAAGACATATTGAGGTGTGGAAGTGAAGCACAAGAAAGGATTACGTACAACACCTTTATGTATAAGGGCTCATCTGGCTCCCCGGTGTTTGATGCTGAAGGCAGAGTGTGTGGTCTTCACACAAAAGGGTTATACTATGAGAGTGACAAAGTACCAAACAGTGTGATAGAGGTTGCCCAGTCTCTGGAGACTATAGTGAGGGACTTTGTTCCAAAACTCCAAAACGCTCAGCAGTTCATGGCGGAACTAGATAAGGTGGCAGACAAAAACTTCTGTCTGAAAAACATCATTGAGTCTGTTAGAAACATAAAGACAGAGTATCCAGACTCTGATGAAGAAATGCAGCACTAAAATGGAGAGCCTACTGTGAGAACAAACTAGGGTTATATTACTGCTGACATTGACACAGATTTTTTCTTTGGACTTGAGTATCCTGGTTTTGATCCAGATTCTAATGTGGCATTTACAAGCACAGATAAATACTGGTTTTTAATTTTCCTGTATTCATGATAATTACTTTTATCCTGCTTTCTGGATACTGCTCACTATTTGTGCAGGCACCTGCACAAGGTAATAAGGTAATTTTTCACATCCCAAACTGCAGTGAGGTAGAACTAAAACTGTGACCACTGGTGTATTAGTATTATGTGTAAAGCACTTTTAAATGCCGACATTTCCATCAACGGGAGAAGAAAGCCATGGTCTCCCAGCAGCAAAATAGGGTTTCTTCAAACCAGAATACGAGTTCAAACTGGTTCCTGACATCAGAGTATGATATTGTGTACCAACACAAAAACTGGAGACTTAAAAAACAAACAAACAAACAAAAAAAACAATCAAAGCCAGCACACTCAAGTCCAGGTAAACACATTTGGTGAGCACTGAGGGTTGTCAGCCGGGCAGGTCTTATTAGTTAACCATGACCCTTACTTGAACCCTAACTTAAACGGCTGCTGTAAAATTCAAAATGCAGAATGTACTGGTTCACCAGACTCAGACAGTTTTGGGAAAAAATTAAACCAGTGATGATTAAGGACAACTTATTTTCCAGTCTAGTATGTTCAGATGACTGTACTGTTGAAAATCATAGTAAACTGTCCTTGATTTAAAAAGTAGTTTGGATCCAAAAATTGTCATTTCAGGACACAGACAGAAGATGAGGCCATCCTGCAGCCAACACAATTCCTGTGTGTAGCACAGGCGATCTCTCTAACTGCTGCTTTGGGGTCTGATCCAGCTTCAAGACAGCCTTAGCCTGTCAAACTCAATCCATGGTAGACCCCTCTGTTGTTCTCACTGTGTAAATACTGAAAATCATAGTGCTCCACAGTCGTTTAAGTGTGTGAGCCGGACATTTTTTTTCTTTTAGCTGTGGGTAGGTGGGGATTTGGGATTATCTCCATATTTTTGTTGTTCATGATGAATTTTGTTTTGTGTTGACTAATGATATGACCTCTGTAAGCCTGTGCTGGTGTTTAGAAACCAGCCGGGTAACATCAGTACCAGCTCCTTCCTGCAGGTGTGACTGTGTTTGTAAGTGTTTTTGCTGTGATAAAGAAAAATGATCCTGCAAACTTCAGCTGTGTCTATGATGTAACAGATAAAAACAAACTTTTATTGACGCTCAGCCCATGTTCCATCTTAATCATTTTACAATAAAAAATTGTTGTTATAGATTTAAAACAACAACAGTGCTATTATTTTCTGATTTTTTAATGGATTTGTGTTATTGCACAGTTATGTCAGTGAATTTATGTGCCATTGTATATTTGTGTTGTTGTGAGAGAGTCTACACTTTTTTTCACAATCATATAACAGGTAATAAACCTTAAACATACCCTACAAAAAAAATTGTTAGCACATCAAAAATTTACCATGAACTTACCATAATCTAAATACAACCTTACCAAGGTTTTCCTTAATTCTACTCTAAGAAACCAAAAATGTACCATAATCCAGTGTAAAATAAGCAGAAACCTAGTGTAAAAATAGATATACCATGAGCTGTAAATTTACCAAAAACTTATCTTGAATTTTAAACTGAACCAGCCATAAATCTACTGTGAACCTATCATAAGTTTAACCCATAAAGATTTTGTATATCAAGACTGATTAAAATAAAGTTACCATGTCCACACTGTAAATTTACTACAAACTACAAACTGACATAAATTTATGCTTAACCTACCATCCATTTACAAGGAGCCTTTTGTAAATTATCAATACATTCAAAGTGAATCTACCACATATTTGCCATAAATTATGCTCAATTTCCTGTAAATTGACTACAAATTAACAGTGCCAAAAGGTTTAACCCAAACATTTTAATAAACTTCCTATCATGCTGACTTAAATCTGGACAAACCATGATGCCAGAATCAACATTTCAGAAATAAACTTTGTATATTAAACAAAATAAATTATAAAATAAACCCTGTATATTTACAGAGTAATAATAAAAGTAGCACCCGAGAGAGCACCAACAAGCCCGAGCAGTGTCACGCCACCACCTCTGTGGACCACCTCCCCCTTTTGTTCGTCTTGGGGTCCAACATAAGTGATATTATTCTATAGGTTTGGGTCACACAGGGGCATGCTTTAGATTTAGAATTTTTGTAGGGGCGCCATGGAGCCAATATTAGTTGGATCTCCTTTTTTACATTGGAACCCTTTTGTTCGTTTTAGGGTCCAACATAAACGTCATTGATTCCATAGGTTTGGGTCACACACAGGAGTGAGGCTTACATTTTGAAATTTTGTAGGGGGCGCTATATAGCCATTTTTGGTTGGATCTCAATTTTAACATTGGAGCCCTTTAAAAGGATGCCTCAAACTGGACTGCTCTAAGGATTGGTGTATCATTGAATTCAAAGTTTGACTTCAATGAATGGTTCAATGAAAGGTATGTACTGACATTGTTTCACACACACAAAACCACAGAACAAGAGCTGTGCAGAAAGTGTTTAATTCAACATGACTCCTCATGTATAATTCTGCTTTTGGGAGCAGAGGCTTTTCAAAAGGTAAAAAAAACTACAGTTAACCGACATGTTTAAAATTCAATGTTATACACTGATTAATGACAAAATAAGCCCAATATAATTATCAAACAGCATCCATCATGTTACACATATAATTGGCTGTTAGGTATTCGCCCACAGGTAGAACATCTACAGGTTAAGCAGTTCATAGTCGGTAAGGTCAAGACAGTGCAGCTTCAAATTTTCCCTTACAAATTTTATAGTATGGCAGAGTTACTAAATAAACTGTATCATTGCCCTAAAATGCTGTCAGTGAGCATGTAAAAGGCACATTTTGGTATAAAAACAGTGGTAATTGTTTAATGGGAAGGACGAGTCTATAGGGTTACCAGGGTATTTCTAATCAAAGATATCAGCTCTGTTATTGTGATGAGCAGCTTCAAGTAACAATAACTCAAATACCTGGAGATTTGCACCTCAAAACAACTCAGAAAGCATGTCCTCTGAATATGTCTCCTCATCTTTCACCTCTCTGACATAGTGAGATGACCAGTCTCAGCCGTTAGGGGTTCAGAAAAGCAATGCTATCCACTTTTGTAATGAATGTTGGTGTTTAGTTGCTAAACATCCCCAAAAAGTCCCACTTTTTCCAAATATATTATGTTGAAAAAAAAATCCTGTCTTACATTCAGGTTGATGTAGGATTAAGGATTGTGGGAAAATCCTTAGATAGCTAGGAGGCGCATGCATGCTACCCTTCAGGTCACACCTCTTCCACTTAGTAAAACCCACATTTAACTCAGTGGTTAACCATTTAAGCTCCCTAAAGTGGGTCTAGTCCACAGCAGAACCGGTTCTTGTGTGGGTTTGAAGCTGATGCTTGCAGTTATGGAAAGTTCAGTGACTATTCCTGTTACAGTTTCCCTCACTTTTCCTGTGTTTAACTGATTATTTGATGCACACAGTGGTGCAGGAGTGTCATTGGCCAATCAATCAATCAATCAATCAATCAATCAATCAATCAATCAATCAATCAATCAATCAATATTTTGAAATGAAATAACAACTTCAAACCAACCTTCTCAGAAAAGTAAGCACTTGGACATAAATCTGCATAGCTATAATGACAACAAACATCTCTGGTAACATTAAGAAGGCAGGCCTTATGACCTACTCTGCAGACAGCCTGTAGGGGGAGCTCTGAATATTTAGACTTCACAGTCTGTAAACACTTATAGCGTCCATTTTAGTAAATAGTCTCCGGGCTTAACATGTAACTGTGACTGGTGGCAGCAGGTTGTGGTTTGTTGTTTTAATCTCAAGATCGCCTGAAAATCGTTCCCACAAGAAAATAAACTTTTAATTCCCAGATTACTAGAAAAATATGATCTTGACAAAACAACACAGAATTATTTATCGCAGGATGAAGTAGGAGGTGCATGTCTGCATAAGGCTTCTATATATCGGACAATTAGTGCAATCTTACTTCATAACCTGACTCTTCAACCTGGAACATACAAGGAGATCAGATTTAATCTCACTTTATAACATTCATCATGTTTTCAGTCCTTATTTCCCAGAAGATCATCCAGCAGACGCTCACACATGTAGAGGCAGCGAGGGACGTGAAAGAAACCTAAAAACAAGAAGGTGATCGCAACTCTTAACCAACAGCGCAGAATGTAAATTGAACAGGACTGCAAGGACAGACAAAAAAACTATATCAAGCTAATCTTTGTTTTTCTACTCGTGAGGTTGAGAGAAATGTGATTATATGTTATTTTCATCAGACAGTAAAAAATACAGGTCATATTAAACAGAAAAAACATAATAATAACAATATTCATAATAATAGGACAGTTTTATAATACATTTTAAAAGAAAACTAAGGAATATTTTGTAATTGGTAAACAATTGAAGATTATTGGACAGGTTTTTCTGTTGGTTTGGTTTCCGTTTTTCCCTCCACCAAAGTTATGTTCTCACCTTTAAACGGCCCTCCTTTAAAATCCAGAGCTACTTTCCCCTCTCGACTCAGATATCCAAACCACTCACCTCCCTCAGCATCTGGAAACTGTCAAGCACAAGGTCAATTTATCAGGATGACAATACACTGAAGAATACAGAGGGATGTGTTTTTAAAATATGAACATCAAAGGAATATTTCAGTGCATCTGAAGTAAGGCTTCATAAAGCTGCAAGTCCTAGTGATGGTCATTTGTTAACATTAAACACTTCAGAGGTGTAGCATGAGATTTTTCCTCGGGTACGTTTCCCTCAGTAATAACTCACGTGACTGAAGGTGTACTCATAAACTTGAGAGAATCTCTCCAGCAGCTCTGGTCTCTTAGTGTGACTGTAGGCCATCAGGTAGGCGATGAGAGCTTCACAGTGAGGCCACCACAGCTTCATGTTCCACTCCAACTGACCACAAAAATGAACACGCTGATTTCAGACATTATCTACACACAGTTTATCACAGCAACAGCATTAACCCTGACAGAGAAAAAACGAGTGTGTGTATATAGCAGCCTGTCTCACCTGTGTGGGGCAGTGACCGTCCACATCCAGGAAGTAGAGGAGGCCTCCGTGCTCTGTATCCCAACCTGCCTTATACGGAAGCTCCATAAACTTGTTAATGGCGGTCTGCTGGAGCTCCTTGTCCCCTCGCGCCGCACTGAACTGCAGCAGGAACCAGCCGGCCTCCAGAGCGTGGCCTGAGTCAGCACAATCAGCAGGAAAAGGACAACTCAAGCTTCCTCATGCACTTTTTTGGTGTGTATTTGTATGTGTGTGTTTGTGATTGTGGTTACCCGGGTTCTGCAGTCGGCCCTGACAGCCTGGCAGCTCTTTTCCCTCTATTGACACATTCTCTAAAATAGCTGTGCCGTCTCTCTGTGAGGAGTTGCAGAAGAAGAAGAAATGAAACTTCAGGCATCTGTTCTAAAGGGAGGTCACCCCACTTCAATCACACTGACTTTATCCATAATGCTAACTGCAACACCACCATAATCAGCAGCTGACGAATCAAGCTGAATTAGTCATGCAATTTAAAGATCTTAAAAGACAGGCCTCCATTTACACCGAGGGCAGTCTGCTATATGTTCACACACCTGTATGTGTTGCAGAATCTGTTTCACACACCAGCTGCCCAGTTCTCTGTACTTCTGCACCACCTCCTCCCCCCGGTCTTCAGTCAGCTGCTGCACCAGACACAACAGCATCATGGGAACCGCCATGCTGTTGGTGGGAACGTCTCCGGGAAGCTGCGGCCGGCCCAGACTGGACGAGTCCTCCCGAACCCAGAAGATCAGCTGCTCCATCATCTGCTCAGCCTCCAGCTAAGAATCCCACAAAAGAGGAGGAGAGAGTGACGTCTCAGAGTCAGAAAGTTTATGTGACAAAAAAAAAAAAAAAACATGGCCAGATGAAGCCATGATCCAAGTTAACAAAAAAAGGAAGGAAACTAGATTTTCTGTAACTAAATACTTGAAACATCTTTTTTCTGCTTGTGCACCCTCAGCATAAATCCAATCTAAGGGCTCCTGCATTGAGTGAGTCATTTTGAGAAGTTTTTCATCAACTTGGAGTGGTTTGGTTTTCTAGATTTGTTGAAATGGAAACATTTGGCTCAATCCTGCAAAATCACACTCAAAATTGAAATTTTTGGGCAGCAGTCAGAATATCAGAGACAGAAAGTTTGATTCATAGGCAGGGAAATAAGCTTCTGTTCCTTTCCTGTATGTGCTAAATAGTTTTAATGAAGCATGTGTACCTGCAAGTCTTTGTCACCAGTGACTCTGCCCAGCTCATCCATGGCCATGATGTAAAAACACTCACTGAAGATCGTCCTTTGAATTTTCACAGCTTTTCCCTCTCTGGTTAAACAGAAGGCACATTTCCACTGACCGCTGCTGCTGCTGGGTACACGAGCAAACCTTCTGAGGAAGGATCCTCCTGAAATTAGATACAGAACCATATTAACTTCTGGTTATCTGTGATGAGAATACAAAAACACATTTGCTTCTTTAATGGCTTTATTCAGACGTGTGGTAGTTAATATAAGAGCTTTGTTTGAGGATGACATAAACCTTTTAAGAGCTTTCATGTAAACCCAGAAAATAAACATCGGTAAAGCTAAAAGCATCCCTGATATCATCAGCTCCTGAGCAGGAGACAGTTTGCAGGTCAGTGACTTGTTTTGCACTTCACTGTGGATCTCTGAAAGCAAAGAGCAAACACTCTGAGCACCATAATTAATCACAGCAGTTTGCAAACAAAAGCCTGCCATGCTCCATCTGTTGCACAGATGTACAGACGAGTTAGTGTCTACAAACTCAGTGTTTGTTATCCTGATGACAAACATGACATTATGCTCAACCTTGATTTAAGAATAGCTGAGACACAGAGTCAAATATTTAAAGGAAGAGAAGTTAGGGTATTAAAAATGTAAGTGAAAATGGTGCAGAGAAAATAAATCAAATGTTGAAACTGAAAGTGAAAGCTGTTCATGTTTCTCATCTGGTGTCATCAGAACTTCTTTTCCCAACCCTCTGTAAACGTTAGTGAACCCAGCAGACCAGTTTCTGGAGTCTGAAAGTGAAATGTTGTCCCATTCTTGCCTGAAAAAGTCATTGTCTGGATGTCAGCAAATGTTGCTTCTAAACCTTTTTATATTGTTCAGCATTAATGGAGCCTTCACAGATGTGGAAGCTACCCATGACATGGACTCTGATGATTCCCATACCATCAGTGATGCTGGCTTTGGACTGATAACAAGCTCTAATTTTCAGGAAAAAGGATACGCTGTCCATGATTTCCAAAAAGGATATCAGATTTTGACTCCACTGGTGTTTCTGGATCTTTATTCTATGTGGTATAATAATAAAAAATCTTTATTTACATGTTGTCTTTGCACTAGTGTTTTTTTTACATGTGTTTTTGTAGGTCCATGAATGATGTGGCTTGTGTCTTAAATGAAAGCACATCTCGCCCTCACCATCAGCCCTACACTGTGCTCTCTGTCCTTATGCAGCAGGTGTCCCCTTAAACACACTCACACTCACCCGCTTTTGCTGCTTCAAGGATTTCATGCCTGCGGAAACGCTCCATGGTTCTGTAGAGCCGACAGTACGTCCACACCTGAAAGAGAGACAAGTCAAATTATTCACACCTAATGCCCACGTTTCATACAGCTGGTGTCACTGCAGAGCCATACCTGTCTCCCCTGCAGCCAGACGTACTTCAGCTCATCATACACCGTCCCATCTCTCCCCAAGCATGTGAAGAATCCTCTAAGATAGGTAATAGAGATTCAGTGTCATCACCATGGGCATAGACTCAGCTGCGTCTGCAGAGACTTTGCATGCAAATTGATTTCATTTGCATTAAAGAGCAGCTTCCGTACCCATGCACAGTGTCATGAGAGTATTTCAGCCAGAAATCGACCACACTGTCCAGCTCTGTGCGGATCTGCTCTCGCCACTCCTGCAACTTCTGTATTGACATTTTCCCTGTGACCAAAGACATGCAAATTCATTGATGATGCACAGCACAAACTTTAAAGAAGAGTTACTGTCGGCCGACCAAGACACAGGTGAAAAGTTTGAGCTCAGTCTGGTGTTAGCCTTCCTCTCAAGCAGCTGCAATGTGGCTGCTTGTCTGTCAAATCAGCCATACCCTCACTTTACTGTATCATATATCGAGCTGCAGTCATTCCAGGTGAAACCACCAAGCGAGTCAGGAATCTGGGTGTGGTAACAGATTATAGTATATAAAAGGATAAAGGACTCGTGTTCCAGCAGGACCTGAAAACTGGGATATGCATTTATCCTCGGCTGACTCCATTATTGTGAAAGAGAGTCAGGTTTCCAAAAACAGCCAGACTACTGCAGCTGATTTAGAGCGTTTCTGCTAGAGTTCATTCAAGACCATATGCAGAAGTAACTAATAAAAGGTTTGACAGAGCGCAAAATGATTAAAAAAAACACACAGATATAGCTCCTGAAATGCAGAGGTAATTAATAAAATTAATAAAACATATTTTAGCATTGCAAAGGTTTGCACGAAACACACAAATTTCTAGATACGTCAATTTATTTCACAAACCCAAAAGTATTTATGAAACCCAAGAACCTTTAAAAAATACAAAATAGTGAAGACTGGGGTAAGATGAACCATTTTTCATATTTCAGATCACTACATCAAGGCAATCATAGTTTTGTCTCTAACTAGTATATCTGCATATATTTCAAGATGTTGTGCATCCCTGCAAACCAACAAAATGAGTGTAAACATAACATTCTTGATAATATAGCATGCAAAAAAAAAGGTTTCCTATGCTCAACTTACCCCGTGTATGGAGGTAAGTTGAGCATAGGAGCGGGGTAAGTTGAGTCATATCCCTCACCTAACAGTCACTTCTTCACATTCATGTGTATTTTTGTTTATTATTATTGCATATAACTGCTAAAAAGCTGTTTTGTAAAAAGCCATTTTAACATGAGAATGCCTTTAGGTAATTCAGAACATTCACAGCTGTAGTTTTGAAAAGAAAAAGTAAAACATTTCAACAATCTGAACTGAAACTCCGATCCTCTCATCAGACTCCTTTACTTTCTACATTGTGCCACTGGCTCATCTTACCCCAGAACTACTATTATGACTTTATTAGTCCTCTTAGAAAAAATGGTGGATTTTTATGCTAGGTTTTTGACCTCATGTTGTAGCTCATAGATACCACAATTGATGTATACAACAAATTTAAAATGATCTTTTTTGGTCTAACCACAATTCTAATCAAACTTATGACAGACTAAATTCATTTTCAAGAGTGAAATATTTTTTTTCTTTTTGGAAATAAATGCCTAACCCCTTCACCCATGTGCTTCTAACCTTCACAGACTCAATGAATTGATGCCCATCTCCTAAATATTTGGTCACATGATCAATTTCTTTTACCACAAAGCAGTTTATATGGCAGTTGTTTTGGCATTTCTTTGAATGTTTTTTAATGGTCATGATTTATTTTTGCAGCTGCTAACTTCTTTGGGGCAAGTGTACTTTTGCAGCCTGCCCCAAGTGGACACTGGAGGAACTGTGGTTTCAGCACTCGTGCACTTGAACATCCGGGGTTGGTGTCGGGGTCTGTGCTGATTTCACTCTTTTTTTTTTGCCATAGATTAAAATTTTCAGACCAAAAAAGTGCTTTATTTTTAACAGTGTTGTGTCATTTATTTGGTATCTATGCCAGGAAATATGAAAGAATAAAGCGTATGCAGTTTAAATCACTTAGTTTCAAACTGTACCTCCTTTAATCTCTTATCGAGCAATACGAGTTAATACTCTAATAGGCTACTAAAGTCTGGGTGAATCATCTCCTCGCTGCGTTAGCTCAGTGCATCTCCGACAGAAATCAATACCCGGCTACCAGGCCAGTTTGATGGTTTTCACCATAGACTGTATACAGTCTATGGTTTTCACACATGTCTAATCTCTTGTTCGTTGGTGGTTAAACCACCAGTAAAGCAAACTTGCTGTCGGTACGTGTTCAGTCCTATAACAATGCATCAGTCTCGTCTCTCTCTCTCTAATCCTTATGTTTGTTTTAACCAGCAGAGCTATAACAGAGTAGACGGATGTTGAAAACAAATAAAAATGTGTTTACCTTCAGGTCCCGGTTCTCCTCTCACCGTGCAGCAGCAGCAGCAGCAGCAGCAGAGAGCGTCCCTGGTAGCTGTGCTCACTCTGCAGCTACTGTCTGTGCAGACGCAGCAGTCATGTGACCACAGCTCAGCTGATGTGTGTAAGTGTGTTCGTCCACGCACGTGTATGTTTGTGTGTCAGTGTGTGAGGTTATTTTAGAGGATGTAGGAAGTGAATTAAAGCAGCTTGTTGAAGTAGCTCTAGGCGTCCTTCACTATATCAGTACTGAGGAATGTGCACACGAAGCACTAAGAGTCGATTACTGACTCAGGATTTTATCAGATCCTGCAGGACAGAGGTCAGGATGAACAATGAGCGACAGTGTTTTGCCTGGTAAAAACGATTCGACAGTATTATAGTAAGACACAAACACAGCGACCAACATCTACAAACTCACTTGATATTTAACTGGATTCTTTTGAAAATAAGAGTGATTGAATAACTTTTAGAAGCTTTTATTTTGAAACAGTTTTGTTTCTCTCAACGGTTCCTCTGCTTTCTCTTGATTTGGTCCTGTTCATGTTTGAGTAGTGTTTTTAATTGAATTGTTTATTTATCCATTACAAAAATGTCACCCTGCCTTAGAATGTGGTGCCCAACGTGAATCTTTTAAGGCCATTTTTCCAGCAAACTTTTTACGTTGAAATTGAATGAAGAAAGAGTGGATTTCATCATCTACGGTTCATAAAATCATAAAAAAGATTCAGAGAATCTGGAGAAATCTCTGTACAAAAAGGACAAGGACCAACAGCTATACATTTATTCTTATTTTTATTTATTCATCTATTGATCCATGAAGTTATCATTTATTTTTAATGGAAGATTTGGCTTTCTTTTTCTTTTTGGGTGTGGGTAGTAGAAGTATTGCAGACCTGAGGCACTACAGAGCAGCTTTGCTTTGTTATTGTGTAAAATACCATCTTTAATTTCAATTAGGGAAAACAAATAAAGAAGTATAAATGAAAAGCTGCACTGGCCATGTTATTAAATTGTATGTTTTTACATCCATAGTCTATCACTCCTGCCTCTGTGCAGTTATTGCTCTGGCTATTTAATATTGATTTTCTTACAGTTGCTTGAATCATTTTAATACTATGCTCCCTTTAATACTATACTTCTCATATCCTGCTCTGTGGTATTTTCTTTCCCCCCTAAAACAAATACAGTCTTTTGAATTAGCTGAATTTGATGTTTGAATGCTTGAAGAATTCCTGCAGTATCTGTGAAAGACCAGTAGATGGAGGCATTGAAAAATCTTCTTGAACAGCATTTGGGCTTTCTCTCTGACGTCTCTTTTCACCAATCAAACAGGCAAGATTGAGATGATAACCCCAGAAGTCTGCCTAATAATCAACAGCACCATAGCAGCGTAATGGATCAGCCTGACTCTTAAAAAAGGTCAGAAAAGGAATGAATTTCCTAAGAAAGGCTTTGACTTGAGTTTGAATGTGACAAAAAAGGTGAAGAAACCACTCCCTTTTACTGTTTGTACCCAGTTTCTATAACTTTGCGCCACATTGCTGTAATGTGTGACAAAATGTACCTAACTCACTCACTCACCTGAGGAGAGTTTTCTTTATTACATCATATTCAGTCATGCCAGGCAGAGATAAAGTCACACAGAGTAGATGGTTTTGAGAATTTCATCAACACAGAGTCTTGATTCATGAGGAAGTTGCAGCCAAATATATCCGCATATGAAAAAGCTCCTTTAAACTGTATTATGTATGTAATGTTGTCCTGAGAGAAATGTGAGGAATGCATTTATTAAACTGTTTCTGAGGAAGAAACAGTGTCCATTCTCCAAATAATGGCCAGATATCTGAAGTTTCCCTCTGTTTAACCTCAGGTTTATCGGTTGTTGCGACAGCAGAAGTCTTGCAGTAATATATTCATGTAGTAATACTGTAATACTGACTCAACGGGGGGAAATCTTTTCTTACACTTTCTTCCTGAGGTGTTCACTAACTGACACATAAAAGAGTTGAGACATGTTTATTTAGCCAACATTAAGATCTGACACTCAGATATTCAAACACCCTGTAGCTGACTGGCGGACATTTAAGGACATTTAACACCTGATTTCATCTCATAAACAGGATAAAAGCTGAACTCAAATTAGGCCGATAGCTCATTCCTTTTTACCTGTCCTGACAGAGTGCCTATCTTCCTCTTTTTCTTTCAGTTTGTTTTCAGAGGCACAATGTGGTCTGACTTGCGCTACAAGTGCACCTGTAGCTGTCTCCATGTAGTGATAGGTAAGTTATTCAAATTAAATAAAAAAAGAGGCACTGCATTTATTAAGATTTAATCTAAAGTTCCTCTATGTCCTCCTGCAGGATTTGGTGCTTTCCTCCTCTTGGCTTTCCCCATAGCTGAGATCATTTTAGGTAAGTGATTCTCTTACATTAATTCCGTATTATTACATTACTTAAACCATACCCTGTCTGTTGAATGTCTTTCAAGTCCAAACTTGTTAAATGTAGAAATAAACCCTGTTTGAAGATATTAGCCTGAGATATTGTCTTTGTAAATGACTTGAAAAAAGTTGGAATGCTTGTTTTAAGAGGCTTGTGAAGACAGTTTTGTTTGAAAAATTGACAGATAGCCTGTTAAACAAGTAATTCATCCTTTATTTTTGACAGGACTTATTTCTAGACTTGCTAGCTGAATGTGGCAAACATTAAGAATATTTAGACAAACTTTACAAAAGTCCTTAAATTAAACAAATTCAGCTCTTGTGAATCCTAAGTGCCCGCAGTTCTCGTATGAGAGTATTTGTTATGATGTGTGAGAAATAACAGCCACCTTTTTTTTTTTCTTTTTTGCCTGTAATTCATACTTTAGAGCGGACTTTAAAAAAAAAAAAAAAAAAAACTCAACCAGGATGACTGTTTTTTTCTGAGGGACAGCATCTGAATACGTAGAAGGCCTGCAAAATTTAAATAAATAAACAAAGGCTAGGGTTACAATGATATCATTTTTATATGGTATTTGAGTGATGCCACTTTGTCGCATTGATAAATATAGTGGCAGTTCCTGGTTTGAACTAAGTTGGAGTTTTTGGTCTGTGGATAGGATACCTGTGGACTTGAAGTAGTGGGGCTGAAGGTGAACTGTTATTTATAAGGCCCAAGTCCCTGACAGCATCTTTGCAGAAGATTTTTGGTAGAAATACTGAAAAACCATGCTCACTTACAAACTGCAATATAGGAACAAACATCAGCAATAGAGAATATATGTTTTGGCATACTGCTTTTCTTGTGTGTTATGTCCACAGCTTTTCCTTAGGTCTTCTGTGCTCTGTCTGAACAGGTGCGGTGTACCTGCACGAGTGTCCTATATCTCCTCTCCTCCCGGTGTACTTGGTGGTGCTTGGGGTTTTTACACTGATGCTGCTGGCTCTGTGTGCTGTACCACGGTTTCACCCTACTGTTTACGACCACTGTATCATGCCTGTGAGCATTGTCACTGTGACGCTGTTCATACTGGCATGGTTCCTCTACGGTAAGAGTGCAGATGCTCTCGAGTCAAAATGAATCCTCTATGGGGAGTTTTTAAAAAGTGATGAAATAGATTTAAGCTTATTCTAATGCCTCTGTGAATTACAAAAGCAGACATCATCTATGAAAAGTTTAATTACTTCGATAATGCCTGAAATCACTGCTGCAAAGGAGGAGCTACATGAAGTGATAAAAACATGATTTTCAGTTAAAGATAATGTGAGAAGAAAAATCTGTCAAAACAAAGATTGAAGCCTGTATCTGACAAAATCAGCAAAGAGAGTCAACAAAAAGCTTCCTCGTAGGAGCTGTAAATTGTATGAACCCAGATCAAAAATAAGCCTGTTCTCAGTTCATTTTTAGGCCAGTGATTGTTTCTGTGTCAGCCATCAGCTATTTGATTTCTTTACTGTCAATGAAAAAGAGGAAAAGGAACAAACATAAGTGGAAGCAGTGAGAGAGAGAACAAATGAGGAAAGTTACAAAGATGATGAAAACACCAAACTAAGACAACATCACATCACAGCCAGTCTGGAAAGGTGAGTGTTAAAAAGGGATTTAGAAAGTGAGCATCTGAACTGAGCATCTCACTTACTCAGCAGGGTCAGTCCAAAGTCGAGGCAGTTTCATAAATCACAGCTTCACAACATACAGTCTAATACTTGTCTACTAGAAAGAGAGCAGGCTGTAGCAGTTCAGAAATTAATCAGCGATGAACCTCTTCTTGATGCTGCATTTCTTCTGCTTGAATTGACCAATCAGAGATCACACAACATGCCTTAGAAATTCCCAATGAAACCAGTTTATTTATCTTCAGCTCTTTGAGTAGGTCTTCCTAAGGAAAGTGAGCTGCATATTTAAATTCTTTCATTTCAGTCCTGACTTCTGGGACCAAAAGGCAGAAAAGGTCCTGGGATTGAAAGGTGCAAGTTCTTGTACTCTTCTGTTTGATACAGGATAAAAGGTGTGAGTGGAGCAGACCTGAAACAGATTTGTAGACAGGTGGACAAGGAAGACCAGCCAACATGATCATACTGCAAAAAGTGATGAGCCCCGGGGCTCCATGATACTCGGTATGCAGAGCATGAAAACTCTAAGGAAAGGGTTGCATGCAGAGCACCAGAATCCAGCACAAACGTAAATGTGGCAGAGATCGGCCTCTTTTAGGACTTTAAAGACACAAAAGTCAAGTTTCAGTTTTCATCTCCCACCAGCTGCTGAATATAAGGCGCATATCGAGTTGAACATCAATATATCTGTAGCAGGGTGCAAACTCAGTCAGCGTGCCCTAAACTAAGCTTGACGACAAATTTAAAGGTCTTACAAACAGCATGACTTTGGTTTTATCTTCATTTAAAACATGGAGCACCAATGCAGTCAAAGCACTCCATGTATAGAGGTTGAGGTCTGTGTCATAATGGTTGCTTGTTCTACTGCCAGCCACAACTCTTTGCTGTATGTCTTCACCCACTCTCTACTCCCCATATGTGCTGTCCCTACATGCAAAAAAAGCCCCCAAATGCAAGTTTTTTAATCATAAAATACAGTGTCGTACATCACTGTGTAACATATTTATAAAAATGACAGTTTGTTTGGACATGTTTGGATTGATTTAATTTATTTAAGGAATAAAAAACAGACTTCACTGCCTTTTCCCCTCCACAGGCAGTTACCTGATTTATTCTATCTATGAACCAAACTACATCAAACCCACCACCACCAATCCAGGGATCTCCACGGTCACTCCAGCGACCCCCAACTACACCAGTAACCCCAGCAGCTTCACTTCAGCGACCGCCAACTACACCAGAAACCCCAGCAACTTCACTTCAGCGACCCCCAACTACACCAAAAACCCCAGCAGCTTCACTTCAGTGACCTCCAATGACACCAAAACCATGATCAGTTCAGGCAGCTTTAACAGCAGCATCTTTACCCCAAAATACCCTGACAACAAGCTGAACTCCACCTTAGACCAGAGCCAGAACCAGAGTCTCCCAGTCGCCAACCAGGTGGGGATTATCACCAACAACAACCAGACTCTGATGAAGCTGATCCGGACTTTGTCTCTCAGCACCAGCAGCACTCAGACAAACAGCGAGCCCCTGAACGCACCACAAAAGGGTGAAATGAAGGCGGAAGACCTGTACTGTAACCGACATATGTACCTGTTTGCCTTTGGGACCACCACACTGGTTTATTTGTCAATAGCAGTTTTATGCTCAAAATCATCAGTGTCAGTGAAGTGTGAGTGATAAACTAAAAAAAAAAAAAAACATCAGTACTTGGACTGAAATTCTTATGAAACTATCTGAGAGACTTTTAAGCTTCCATATAATCAGCTGTGACCTTTTCTGCGACTGAAGCCCAGTCGTCAAGAACAGGAACTAAAGGTTGTAAAACTTCCTCACAGCTGATGCGAAACAGCCGTTAAATCTTACACAGCAGGTGTTGATATGAAGTGATTTCAGTAAATTCAAAGTGTTGTTAAAAGATACTATGAGCTTTATATGCTTATTTTTTCTGTTAAGTAATGAAGATGGGCTTCTTAAAAAGATTTGGCAAAGGCTTCAGACTTTCCCAAATCACTCTGAACCTAGTGAGTGATGTTAAAAAAATGCTCATAATTTGGTCACACATATTTCTATATATTTATGGATATTTTTTAAAGCTTTATATAGCCTATGAAAAATCAAGATATAGGTTCAAAAAGAACAAGTTATAATGACTAAAAAAGTAACACAAAGTTTTAAGGTTAAAAAATGCTGATCAACCTTTCTGGTCAATATTTTGTTGAAATGCTCTGATTTTCTTGATAGTTGTTTTTATGTAATAAATAATCTGTTTGTGCTTTTAAAGAAAAATAAAGTTCAATCTTTGAGATCCGTTTTTTTCTTACTTTTTTTTTTTTTTTTTTGTAAATTCAATAAAAACAGACTCAGTAAACTTTCTCTGTTTAGGCCCAGCTCAAGACTTATGATGCTAAAAGTTCAGACTGTTACAGGATCAGAGTGTTTACAGACTGTTACAGTTCATGCTGCCTTGCTTTTAGAGCTTTCTTATGATCTTGGACTGCCTGGACTGCAAGACACACTATTGCAATTTCAAAACTTCTCCACTAGATGTTGCTGCATGATAGTAAGACTAGTGATCGTAACTTTGGATTCGATGACTTCAGGATTAAAGACACTCATATAATGTGAGCTGACGTCAAAGTTTATTTCTATAGCACATGAGAAACAATCACACTTGATTGTAGCAAAAAGAAAATACACAACACAAAATAAAAGAACAAATATGTATTGAGCAAATAAATTTAACCTTATTGGCACACTGTCTTGATGTGATCAAATACCAAGCGTCTTAAAAGCTCTTAACTCTCTTTTAAAAAAACATAATGAGAATAGAAATCTGTTAAGTACCTTTTTAGTGCCATCCATGGCTATCATCATCAATTCATCCCTCAGCTCTGGATCTGTGCCTCAGCCAAACTCACGGTTGTCAACCCACCCTGAAAAAACCTGGAATTGGTCCAATCACTGGTCAATCCCTCAATTGTGGCAACAATTCTGATGTGTTGTCTCTCCTGCTGTCCTCTGTAGGGCCAGATGACTGGTCCTCTCTTGTTGGTTCTCTACATGCTGCCCTTGGAATGATAATGCACAAACATGGTCTTCACCAGCATTATTATGCTGGTGATGTCCAAATTTACATTTCTGCCTCACATTTGCATCCTCAACACACTCTTCCAGATCAGATGTTTCTTCACCTCATAGGTGGTGATTATATCTGCCCAGATCAATGTTGCAATTCATCCTCAAACAGACACTTTTCTTTTTTAAAAAAGGGTCAAACAGGTCAAGTCTAATGACACACTCTACATCAAGACACTTGCTTTTGTTTCTCTTTCCCACAGGGTCTCTCAATTGGCATGCTCTGAATTCTAACCAACCTGACCCCTGAGGATTAAGAGTCTGCCCCATATAGGCCGGGAGCCAGGTACACCCCACGCACTGTTTTTTGCTACCTTTTTTTCACTATTATTTCTTGTTATCCTATACCTTGGGCCATAACAAGTTCATACTGACCGCCCCAACAATTCTTGGGCCCCGTTTGGCCCCAGGGGCCAAAAAACCTTATTTTTGGGAAAAGCTTCTGGCGAAATGATGTAATTGCAAATATTAGGGTGCTGCAACTGCATAAATGGTCAAATAAGTCTGAAATTTTGCATGGTGTATCCTAACACATAGGGGAAACTACCAGAATAATAATCTGGGGCTTACTACCATTCTATTGCCAAATATCACCCTCTGAATACCCCAAAAGACCAAAAAATGTCTGTCTGCCTAACAAATTGTCATCAAAAGTGATCATTTTAAAGTATTTTCTTATACATTTCACTGCCTACCATGGATATGGAAAACTTCCCATCCCAAGGACATTTATTAAAAAACAAGATCCGGACAAGGAATGAAAAAGACTAGTGAACATCTCTTAACAATAGATTAATATTCTGTGCAACCTAATAGAGAAATATGGAAAATAAAGCTCAAACATAAAACACATTGCTATGGTCCTTTCTAACTGTACTTTGGCCACTAGTCATATCAATGCATTTTGTATACAACATTTCCCAGAATATCCACTTAGGAAGTTTTATTGTTTATTTCATCTATCCTTCTATTGCTTTCTCTTAGCTGCAGCTGTCTGGGATATTGATGTGGATACATTCATAAAAATGTTCTGCTCCAGGATGTGTCCTCAATGCCTATGAAATATACTTAGTAGGCAATGTGAGGATTCTAGTATAGTTTTGCTGCTCTGAGAGGGCTTTGTATTATGATGATGATGATGATGATGATGATGATGTTATATGTACTGAGATTCTGGCTGACAAGACTGTGACAATAGGTCAGCCTGAACTTAAATTGAAGCCTATAAATGTAGGAAGTTTTCCATATCCATGGTAGGCAGTGAAATGTATAAGAAAATACTTTAAAATGATCACTTTTGATGACAATTTGTCAGGCGGACAGACATTTTTTGGTCTTTTGGGGTATTCAGAGGGTGATATTTGGCAATAGAATGGTAGTTAGCCCCAGATTGTAATTCTAGTAGTTTCCCCTATGTGTTAGGATACACCATGCAAAATTTCAGACTTATTTGACCATTTATGCAGTTGCAGCACCCTAATATTTGCAACTACATCATTTCGCCAAAAAAACAGTGCGTGGGGTGTACCTGGCTCCCAGCCTAATAGACTGTATATATATATACATATCATACATATAATAAAATATTACAATCTATATACAGTCTATGGTCTGCCCACACAGGATTTACGAAAAACGGAGGTTTGAGTCAGCCAGTTTTGTTCTCGCTCCTCCATCATCCAATCATGTGCTCTCGTGGAGAAGGGTACGCCTAGATTACCCAGCATGCCCCGGTGATGTTAAGAAGGATCCAAACCACTCTGGAAAAACTAACACGGAACATGACTTTCAATTTTTAAGATGCGCTGCTCAAACAGAAAGATCCAAACCTCAGTCTTGTGTTTTTCCTTAAGTCACTTAAAGCAATTTGAGTTTTTTGACTGCCTCTAACGCGTGGGAAATCTGCACCATGACTGTAGAAGGTCTTTGTAACAAGGCAAATAGTAATGAAACAGTCTTTTTAAGTTCTTCGTGTTGGTCACCTAACACATATACTAATATTGGAACGATACAGTGAATATTAGCATGGTCCCATGGCGCAAGGATGACACGTACAGTCGTGAAGCGTTGCCAGTTTTTTAACTACAAATGAGATTTTGTGATCCTTCAGTCCTGTTGTTGGCCTGTCTTAATTTTGGGCTCCGGCGATTCACCGCAACGCCTCATCGGCTCGTCCTTCTCTCAGCCTCGCTCTCTGATTGGCCGCCTGCTTGCTGCTCGAGGCCCCGGGGCCAGACAGCCATAGATATATAATCGCTAGATGGTTTACCCACGCTGATAGCCAATGTTTATTCATGAAAATTCATGATTAAAATTATTCTTGAGTATGCAGGAACACAACTAAAACGCTGAACCACACAGTTTGATAATCGATTAAAATGAAGCAATCTATGGTTATTTAAATACTACATGCACAGTAGACTGTAATGTTATGAGTGGGCGAACTACCTGTAGCAAGATGTCTGCCATACGCGGACGTCGGTCTCCAGTGAACACGTCAGTAGAGCAAAAGCTATAGGCCTACACCAAGGTAGTAACATTAAATCATCTATATATATATATAAAACATTTAATCATTCCATGTTTGTTTTATTATATTTCTATTATAGGGATAACGATAATAATAAATAACAATAACACATATGTATTTATTTTCAATATAAATTTGCCATTTTAGATATTTTTGTGCAACTCTAGTTACGTTGAAATGAAAGAGCATTTCTGCCTCTTCAGCTAATGTAAAATTGCTGGGTTAACTTTGTAATACAAGCACATCCACAAAGACTGTCAAAAAAAAAAAAAAAAGGCTGTGGTCTAAGCCTTGATGATACACACAAAGCGACTCAAAGTTAGCCCTTGCACGCAAATAGCCGTGAAACAACTGTGCTGCACGATTAAGACTTTCTTTTCCTCAAAGAAATGCTGCCATTTCAATATTTCCAACCATCCCGACTCATAGCCACGTTATTAAAGTGTGTGATAAACAAAACCATTTGTAAACCTGTCAAGATTTCAGCGAGTTAAGAGTAGTTTTGACCATGCAGATTACTCACTTTCCGACAGCCAGGCCCGGATTAAACCTTCTGTGGCCCCTGAGGCTAAGCAAACCTAATGGCCCCCCTCTGTCCCGCGCGCGCAAAAAATTGGCAGTTTTTATTGGTCATTTTGTGGAAATTACTGCAGTTATGGGTGGTTATTCAATGGTTCCACTAGCCACCACCTCTAGCCAAACCACTGGGTTAAAACAACTGTGTGTCTGAACTCAATTCAACAAGAGGTAGTGAAAAAGTCTTCAAGGAAAGCACAGAGGCTGGTGTACAGTTCACTTTTTTACTGTAGAAAACCTCAGGCATTTTAAATTATAAGTATATAGCAAGCATTATAAATAAAAGTGCAAGGCGTGATATGAAGGCCCTATTATGGTTATACAATTTGTTTTTTAAAGGATTGCTACACTGAGATTTTTATTATTTTTATATTTGTTCTACATTTGTCTGCGTTTGTGTTTTGATCTTTATTTTCGTATTCTGTAGGGACTGATAAATGTCAGAGGTTTTGACACTGTGATTCTTGAATAAATGTTTTATACTATATTTTGAATTAATTCAGTCCTTTTGTGCATTTATTTTTGTCTTGTTACATTTTTTCCATTATTCCAATTTTGGGGAGCGTGGTAGCAATTTGACTGACTTTCAGCCATTTAGGGCCATGATGTGCTGTTTATATTTTATTGCTTTTATTACACAGTAGGTTGTGTCATTTTTATGTATGAAACATAAGCTTTTAGCTAAATATACTGTATATATTTCATTGTGCTGGGTGCAAATCACTTGAGTTGAGACGTTTTCTTCAAGAAATTTGCTACATTTCATAATCTGAATTCACTTATGCGTATTCTAAGGCACCAATAACTGTTTCAGATGTTAGGTAGATGTATTTATGACATTTGAGAAAGATTTTGTTTTGCCAGAATCAACATAGCAGTTTCTACAAGCAAAAACAGCAGTACCATATAATCGTTTTTTGTGTTACTCACACATATGTACATTTCTGGCTGGTCTTTTGTCTCACCCTGTAGAGAAAGCCACTTTCTAATACTAGTTCTGTAAGTTTCCCAACGTGTCCTCGTAAAGTCGAGAACGTCTTCACTCTGGACAGATGATAGATGCATATAGCATCGTTTCGTTCCTTTTTGATGCACTTTTGAAGGCTGTTTTCTTTTGTTCCTTTTCTTTTCTTCCTCCTCGCTTGTCTCGCTGGTAGACGCGCTCGTCGCCATGTTTGTGTATTTCTGATACTATGGCAACGAGACTCGGCTCCTATTGGTCCACGTGACAAAAATCGCTTCACCCCTCTGCATATTCGATTGCGCGTGTGCAAGTATCACTGCGCCGCAGAAAGGAAATAGTTCGATACCGAAACACTGATTACTAAAAATCGACTGGATGGCATGAGTAGATATTTTTTTTTAGTACTAACTATCAATAGAGCTATTTTATGAATCACAGTTTATGTTGTCCCACTGAAGTGGAACGAGATTCACTTTCTAGGCACTTTTTCCTCTGTCCCAATACAGCCTAATCCTCCTCACACCGGGCGCAGCTCATCAGCGTCATAGCGGCTTCTGCTCGGGCTGAGTGGCCCCCCATAGCCAAACGCCCTGAGGCTTCAGCCTCACTATGCCTCATGGTTAATCCGGCTCTGCCGACAGCTACCATAGAGCATACCAGAATGGTATACTGGAGTAAGACGGCCGCCGTGTAGGGACGCTGGTGACTCCGCCTCGCGTCATCTAGCCTTTCTTATAGATATCTATCCAGGCAGCTAACCATGACAGACGTTTCCTCCATGGAGAAAACCCCGATTATCCAAAATGACAGCAGTGTGTGTGTGTGTGTGTGTGTGTGTGTGTGTGTGTGTGTGTGTGTGTGTGTGTGTGTGTGTGTGTGTGTGTGAGTGAAAGCTGGCTGACTGTCAATGGCAGAGAGTCATCCACAGAGGGTGCTAGGGCTAAATGTTTGGATGTAAACACTTTTTCATTGTGGCTGTTAGTATGGGCTGAGAAAAAGCTCTCGAAAGTCATTAACTTGGTGAGTTTCGAGAGCTGAAGTTCCTGTTTAGAGCGGCTGCCTGTCTGCAGCAGAGTCTGCAGTATGTGGCCTCTGCAGGGACTTATTAGACTTTCACAAAGTCTCCTTCAGATTCATGCAGTTTAACCACACCACAGTTTTACCTAATATTAAGCATAAACAAGCAAATACAGTTAGAAAAACCACAAAACCAACAGCAGAATAGGTTTTAAAAACACCTGTGTGTGACTGTTCAGGTGAGCAGCAGTTTTACATCTATACTTACACCACAACCAGAAAACTGTTGGAAATGCAATAAAATTCACAAAATCTCCTTGGAAGATGTTTAATATCTTCACAATTTAATAAATCCTTCAGATTCCAAATGATGCTGGTCTTAGAATCAAGAAGGATCTGCAGATCCTTGTCATCTCTGTCGGGTTGGAGGGTTACACTGCTAATTTTGGGACTTCCCGGTGATGCTAAATATAGAAGTCGAGTGCCACTCGGGAATATCCCCAAACTTGTCCATGAAACCAATCCTTTGTCATTTTTGCTGTGTGCTCAGGGTTTTGGTCCTGGTCCAATCTGTGGTCCGAAGTGCTTTGTATCAGGTTTTTCATCAAGGGTCTCCTTGTACTTTGCTGCATTCATCATCCCGTCAATCAGAAGTAGTTGAGCAGTTCCTGTAGCTGAAAATCAACCTGACTGTGTGCTGCTCAAAAGTGAACATGTACAGATGTCTTTGTCTCAAAGATAAAAGCTTAACAGGTAAATGAACAGACCCAGAGAATTCTAGTAGTCTTAAAATGCAGCCTTAGTGATGGAGGTGAAAAGATTTATGGCTCTCAGCCCCGAGCCAAGAGTGAGTGCAGATATTATCTGTCTGGTAATCTTACTGACAGGAAGAATGAAAACTTTTCACCCGGATAAAACTTCACTAAACAAGCAGAGGTTTGAAACATGTCGGCTCACTTCCAGCTCTTTACATTCCTGATAACAAACACTGACAGCAGCGGCGTCTCAAAGGTTTATTTACAGCCAATCAGCAGAGGCAGAGACAGAGACATCCAAACAGCAGCCTTTTGTAGAGCTGTGGTCTTTTAGGAAGTTTAAAAGCCTTTAATTATAGACTCAGTGATTTATCCTGACATCTTCATATATCACCAGAGAGCAGCATCAACAAACGCCTGATAAAATGTGAGCGTGGTGCCAGCTCCTGTTTTCACCCCTGCTTTGTGTCTTTACTAAACGGCCGGAAAACAAACAATAAAAAACAGAAGAAGAAAAAGCTTTCTGACATTCTGAGTAAGACGTTTCAACACAGCAATGTCTAAACTAATGAAAAACAATGGATGCGTCAAACTGCCACAGTCTTCGCTTTAAGCAGATTAAGATATGAAGGGTTGAGCCCAGAGGGTGGATAAGTGAATTTTGAGCCCAAACCTGAATCTTTGTGAAATGACTATTTAAAATGTACACTCGTCTGAATACTGAACAAAAGCTTCCTTTAAAATCTGTCAGGCTGCTTTAACACAAAACAGACACATATCTGAATGTTCATTCCTTTTATTAGCACGTGTTACACTTCAATCAAACTCAATATTTACAAAATCTGATTGACACAATCAAAATTAAAGCCTGAGTCAACTTGTCCTCAGAGTTAATCAAACAGGAAAATGAACAGAAGATAAGCGATAATAATCAGACATTATTTGTCTTCACATCTTCCTGAGAAGCATAATGTCTGCACGAGTTCTGAAAACACGCCACAGTCTGCAGCAGTGTGAGAGTGAGTGTGTGTGTGGTATCAAACTAGAGGTCTATCTATAGTTCCTGAGGTAAACCAGTCTGTGAGGCTGGAACTTCTCCCGGCACAGAGGACACTCGGCCTGTGAGGAATAAACAGAAACACACGTATGAGCAGGTTACTTTAACATAGTGGGAGTGTCCAGGTAAAATGTGACACTAAACTTTTGCCTTTCACAGCAGATTGATTAAAATTGGACACAGTAAAAACAGAGCACACAACGGAGGTATCTGACAGGGACGGGGAAAAGAAACTCAATCTCCTGAAACAAATAAACACAAGATGATAATCAGCTGAAAACACGTCACGGAAATATGACAAAGTCTACATTGCCAGATAGACTACATTGACAAAGTCTTGAGTTCACAGTTAGTGTGGTGTAAATAAGGACATACGTGCATGCGTTTTGTCTGAAAACACTGCTAGCTGACAGTGTGAGACTAAATAAATTAAAACACTGTGACACCATGGTAACACTGATAAATTAGTGGAGTTTGTTCACAGGAAACTTGGTGAATGCTGCAAACAGACACCCTGTTTTTTTTTCAAACAAACTTCACTCAGAACTGCTTAGTGCAAGAAACCTCACCCTACTCCAACAGTTATTATAAATCACATTCAGGGTCTGTAGGGAGAATAGACAGACTGATTTAGTGACCTGTCAATGTGACAAAACCTAGTTTAAAAAAAATTAATTTGCTCTCTTTAGCAAAATGACCTCAAACGCTGTGTGAAAGGTTTCTTTTTAATCTTTAAAATTGCACTGACACTGAAGCAGCAGCTCAGCCATATATGTCAAAAACTGGTTTGACAGACATGAGATGAAAGAGTTTTTATTTGAATACTTGAAATGACTGACAGAGTATAGCAGGAATGTTTGGGGACCCCTGGCCTAAAAAAATAGCAAACGTATGCTAATGTGGCTAATGTTGGTGCTAATGGCTGACTGTAGACATTTTCTGTAAAGGTATAACTCTCACCTTGCTTTGTGACTACAAAGCTGTGTAAATGTAACACCCACAAGCTGTGTCTAACTTTCCCCTGTGGAAAAGCAGCCAACAGCATTTCAGCTAGAGACTGAATAATGCTTACATGAGGGTTTTCACAGACACCAGTGTGAGAGAAATAAGGAGTTTTCTGAACTGAATCATGCTAAACTACGCTAATCCAAGTTCAATGACACCTTACTAGATTAGCTCAATAGTAACCTCTCAAATCCACATGTAAATAGACTCTTCTTCAATATTTAAGTAACTAAAGTCACACAAAGCTAAGAATAAAGTTGTAATCCCCCTGTTCGCTGAGAAAAGCAGCAAAAAATGCAAAATGTAAATACAGCTGGAGCCTTCTGACTGCCTAACACGTCTTATTCTTAACCACTAGGCAATCAAAAGACTGAAGGTCCAGATGCAGACAGTCTGTATGAAGCCTCCATAAACCTCAATATCCACCAGGATCAGATTAGTAGGACTGTTGTATTCCTTATGTTTTCTGCAGTGTTTCTCTGAAAAACAAGTGAAATGTGGTTCAACATCCACTAAATGTCAACTCTGAGTCCCACAATGAGAAACATTTGTGTGACTGAACAGATCTGACACTGAGAGGTTTTTAATTTCGAATAACTCACAACAACATTAAATATTTAAGACTTTGCTTAGCTTGCTGTAAAACGAGTTTGGAGGAATATTTCGCTGAGGTGCCTGCAGAGAACCGTGAAAGAACCCTCAAATAACCCTGTTTTATTATGAAAAATATCCACCTGATTACGTGGCAAAGGTTAGGATTATTTTATTACTTATGATTAATCTCTAACCTTATTATACCATATGTCACTTAAGTGAAAACTCTGAATTTCTGATATTATCCGAAACCTAAAGATTTAACCTAAAGAAATAAAAGGTTAAAGTCCCCTCATCGAGAAACAGGAATCACAGAACTTTGGACTGTTATGTTTGGAAATGACTTAAATGGTTATCAGTTATTGAGAGTAAACTTTTCTTTGCAGCTTTTTAAAGTTATAGCGAGCTGTGCTAGCAATCTGACCTTGGTGTTGCACCACTCAGTGATGCACTCCCAGCAGAAGAGGTGTCCGCAGGGGGTGGAGGTGGAGTGTCTCCTCTCCTCCAGACAGAGGATACAGCGAGCAGCTCTGGATCCGGGGCTCAGTGTCCTCTGAGGACTAGAAACAGACAGTTCAAAGAGTTCAGCTCAAAGTCAAACCTCTCTTTCATGTTGATTTCTAACTGCAAAGCTTGCATTGCTCAGCGCCTTGTACTTCTTGTAGGTCAGGTCCATCAGGCCAGTTATGTAACTGACAGTAGAACTAGGATTAGTTATTTGAATCTTACACTTGGAGAAGGTTGCTCCTGTAGTTTGCTTTAGGCAGCAGCTGTGAAACGGCTGTGATAAAATGTATGATGAGTCTGTGCACGAAAAATTCATATCTTTGTCAGTGACAGGCTCTTTGCACAACTCAAGTGTAACTAGAGCCCAAGTACTAAAACGCATACATTTATCTTTATGACATGATAGAGAGGCTGGTGGATTTTATGTGGAGACCTTCAACCTTTCAAGTTTGAGTTCTTCCACCTGATCTACCTTAGGTTCCTGTAGAGCTTCCACTCCTGCCTGGCTCTCTGTCTCTGTCTGAAGTTGTTGAGCTGCAGACACACAGTGATGAGCAGCTGAAGGAGGGAGGCAGCCCCAAGCAGCCTGTAGCTGCTCCTGATGGTCCCGTCATCGCCGTTCAGCCCCATCACACGCAGCTAAACACAAGAAAAACACACACAATAAATCAATGTCAGAAAGTACAGCGCTACTTGGTCTTTTCATGTAAGAAGCTGACATCCTCTGTGGGAGAAAAGTGACAGAAACAAATAAGCCGCAGCTGTTCACATCATTTATTCTTACATCTCCAGTAGTTTTCTTGAATATTTTCTTGCGGTCGGGATTGTTAATGTCAACACATCAATAAGTTGACAGAGAATTTATTTGTATTGGTAAAACACATGAATCAACACCTACGTAGCTGATACCTGCCGCCCTTTTGGACAGGTGATAAAACGAGCCGCTGACGTAGAAAAGAGCCACATGCAGTCGGTGCAGGAAGGTCAGACTCTGCTGAAGGACAAACACGACCGGCAGACACACTTTCCTCTGCGGCTCTGACAGCATCCCAACAGCCTGCTGCGTCCACCTCTTCAGCCACACCTCCAGACTCCACCATCCAGACGCCACCTGCCGCCGATTAATACCACGCTGACTCTCCAGCCCACCCTCCAGCTCATTTTCCAGACACACCAGGACCTTATCCAGGAGGTATGGTAAGAAAGCGTGACAGAGGATGAAGAGGCCTCGTCTGGCCCGGGTGGGGATCTGACGTTTAGTGGGATCCACCTGGACGATGTTGACATACTCTTCTCCCAAAGTTTGGTAACCTTGACAGGATAAATATGAAGCTGTCAAATATCAAGTCAAACTTACATAAGTTTGGATTTCATGCAGGGAGTCGGTGTCTACCTGAGAGAGTTGTTAAACCGTAGTACGCTAGATCTGACAGCAACTCCAGCTCCCTCCTCCAGTCCAGCCATCTTTTAGATCCTACAGAGAGAAAAGATCAGTAAATTAAATGGTAAAAACAAGAGTTAGATTTCATCCATAGACAAGATAGTACAGTTTGATTCAAAAGTTGCTTTTTGATTTCGGCAAACAAACTGAGTGTTTCTTTCTGAGATGAGCAGCTTGTTTTGATTTTGAGAAGTAACACGCAGTTACTCCACCGTTATTCCAAATCAGAATCAGAATCCTTTATTCATCATGGGGGAAATTCTGCCATTACATTTGCTCTTGGAAATACAAATGTTTATGGAAGACAAATAGAGGTAAGATGAAAGTAGGATAAATAAGAAATTACAACAGTTAGTACAAGTGCAGAATATTACAAGTAAAAAGAGTTTGCAGCATTAAACTGTGGGTTCCTGCACAGTATATTAGACAGTATAACAGTACAATACTTTTACAGTTAAACAGAGGATTGCACAGTGTAGGTTAATAATAGGGGTGTCTCGATACAACTTTTTTACTTCCGATATGATACCAATATTTTAGCCTTCAATATCGATCAATACCGGTATTGATCTGAAATTGGCACAAAATTGTGCATGACAAGTTTTTCACTCAGCTGCAACGTCTTTTTTGGACTTAAACAAAAATTACTGCCACAAGGCCAACATCACTCCTACTCATTGCTACTTTGTTAGAACCTTAGTACACACTGTTGTTGTGATTGAGTGGGCTCAGTTTGCTGGATCTGGGCGCTGCTAGATAGAGGAACCGGAGCGGAGTCTGAAATGGACTGCTTGTATCGGAGTGCTGATATCGGAGATTTTAGATGCAGGCCAATATAATCCGATATATAAATATATATATATTTTTTGCTGATATCGGACTGATATCTGATATCAATATCGGGACACCCCTAGTAAATAACAAAGTATTATCAGTATTAGACTCATATATTATTGATTTTTTACAGGTTTAGAAACAGATTTCACAAATGAATATATTTACATCAGGTTGACCCTCCTGTTACCCGAGCCCTACAGAATAAATGACAGCTGTATATTCTACACAGCTGGGTGGCTGATTAGAAAGCCAGGTAACAATCCTTTCAATAAGATAAGATAATACGAGGATAAGATATAAAATTAAGAGGACTAAGTTGGATTAAAATGGACTACAGTTTTTTTTAAAACTTATACCAGGTCATATTCCAGCTGTTCCTTATTTCTTTATTTATTTTTTTTGTAATCCAAGTCTTCATGGAACCAGTTTTCCTTTCAACGAATGACTCTCTGTAAAATGATGTTAATCTCCTGAACTTTATTAACTGCTTCACTCACCTGCATAAGTCTGGAAAGCCTCGTTAACGTTGTTCCTCAGAAAGTTCTGATAATATTCATCCTTCTGGCTGGACCGGATCAACTGAGACTGGTTAGCAGGAGCCAGAGGCATCGTAAGATGACATTAGAGAGACTATTTCGGATCCGAACTAAGGAAAATATATGAAAGAAAAATAATATCCACAGATGTTTACATCCTAACCTGAGCCTTCAAACTGCTAAAAGCTAAACACGCTAAGAGTCGAGAAATCAACAAAACAAGAGCAACAAACTGACAGACACATGACCGCCAGAGACTCAGAGCGACACTTTGCGGATGGAGGGAGAACTACAGGCATACATGACGCTGCTGCAGTGACAGAGGGAGGATAGAGGTTATCAGCTTTTATTGATGCATTGTGCCTCTTTTGTTATCAATAATTTAAAGCCAGTTTAATTTGCATCACTTTTGTTATTTTACAGAAAATTTAAGTCGTTAATATTCCTCTGTTTTCTATTTCACTGTGACTAAACTCAACTAGGCTTTATGGCGACTTTCACACAAGTGTAAAACCCAAGGAAAGAGAAAAAGAAACTGGCAGCTTATAGTTCTTTATTCTAAGTAGAAGGAACTTAAAAATATTCAGCTCAAGTATCCTTGAAGTACTACTACTTTAACTAAATTCTGCTTAGGTAGAAGTCAATCTACAAGTCTCTAAATCTCCTCCAGAAAAAGTTGTTTATTTAAAAATCCAAGAGGTGCTAAATGCCTACCTTCAACACAAAGATGGGCAGTGAGGGTGGGTTAGAAAGTTAGATAAGACTCCAAATGATTTAGAAATCTTCTTATGTGGTCCCATAAAAAACAGGAAACCGTATAATTGTGGAGGCTTTTTGTAGACATATCTTTGCAGGTTTAAACTGTTGAATCTTTTTGTTGCATCTTTTTGATGGTCTCCCTTCATTGCTCTTCAGGGAGGTCACTGCAAATTGTCCAACTGATAGGATGACTTGTTCAGCATGCACTTTTAGCAGGAGCCTCTTTTTTGCATTTAAGCTCATCTGACCATCAGGTAGCAGCCACTTATCTAGCTGTCACACAGGGGATGAAACGCTTGCATCTGCTATGCTTATCTTTTGCACACACTCAATAACAGATGCATGCTGTGCAAAATGTGGGGTAAAATATTGTCCATACTTCATAAGGGTAAAAAAAAACTGATTTTAAAAACTACTCAAAGTTATGAGTACATAGACAGTCAGAAAATATTGTGAGTTACCTCCCAACCCTGATGTTAATGAATGGTTTTGGAGGTGCTGCACCCTTTATTTATGTTGTGATGGTAAATAACTGAATCAATTCTACACTACACCACAAATATCCACCACTTATAAGTTTCAATTTGATGCCTTCAATGATGCACATGTTCCCCGCACCTGTGAAATTTGCATTTCCTTTATTGATGTGATACCTGACACTGACACAGTGTTTCCACACAGCAGTCATAATGTGTCCTACTGTACAAGTTGCTACACAGCTGCTACCTGTCTGTGTGAGTGGGTTAAGTACATTCATTCATTGACTCATTGAAAGCTCCGGCTGCTCTGCTGTGATCTGAAAAGTTGCAGAACCAGTTTCTTTGTCTCCTCAGCGCTGCTCCCTGAGCCAGCAAAGTGTTCAATAACCGCTACAGAGGACATCCCATTATAAGCCCACTCCTATCCTTTTACTTTCCCCTGCAGTTGTACCAACCCTTGGACGCTCTTACACCTCGTCTTGCTCACCAGGAAGTTGAACTTTGCTCCCAGTGAGGGGAGGAGTCGGGTTTTCCTTTTCTTTTCCCTCCTCCCTCAAACTTAGGATCTACTTGTTTCTTGTTGCAGATGGAAGGTGGATGGTGTGGAAGCACTTTGCAGTCTGGACTAAACCGCTGACAAGCACACCTGGAAGGGTCTGGGATTTCAGCAGGTAAGACCCAAACGTTGAGCAGCTGCTGTTGGTCTACCTGCAGGTTTAAGGTGTCAGACTTCAAACTGTAGTCTGTGTTGACTTGGTTAAGTTAAAGGCATCAGACCAGAGAAGATTCAGAGGGCTGATTGTGACGCTGTGGTGATCACAGCTGCTGTAGTTTGTGTTAAACGTGTTCAAACAAGACTTTTATTTTGCTGAAAGCTTTAAAACCTCCACTCTGTGGCTGATCGGATAAGAAAAAATGAATCTCTTCCTTGATGTTCAGGTTATAAACCAGTCAGTCCAGATAAACTTTACCTGAAGTTTCTAATACAAGAGTATTCATTAAATCAATCACCTGCAATAAATCATTCAAAACTGGGTCAGAGAAGGAGATCTGATTCTGAAAGACTAACATCACCACGGCTGAATCCACAGGTGTGTGTGTGTGTGTGAGTGTGTGCCGGAGCATTTCAGTGTTAGTGGGAGAGCCATTCATGGATATCTAAGATCAGATTAATGCAGATGGATATCAAAAACAGATATTTTAGGCTCTCAATTCCAGACTTTTAGATTCTTTTACAAAGATGAAGGAGCAGGAACAGTGAAAACCCTTTAAAGAATGACTTATTGTACATCATGATGGAAGTCTGCCACCGCTGACAGTTTTAGGAGTCAGTGCAGAACGTAAATAAGAAGGCAGATCATGTAGTAAGGCTTCTTATGAAAGATAAGATGTTTAAATAAAACACTCCTCTACCAAGTGAGGGAGAGAGACCTGCTTTCTCATATAAGACACAGTCAGTATGCTTATTGTTATAGCCCATTAACACGATAACTCGATCAATTAACTGAACTGCCGCCCTTGTCATAGTTTAGGAGGTGACACGCTCCCTTTTAGCTTATTGGACCATCTCCTAGTTGACCTGATACATCACGTACCAAAACAATCAAGAAAAAAGTGAACAAGAGGCTGAGGGGTGGTACACAGAACAATGAAAACACGGACAACTTTTAAACTCTTTTGTACGTACTTTATTCAATTTCTTTATTTACAGTGACTGACTGAGTGAGGCATGTAAGAATACCACTACAGTCAATTACTCACTCATATAAAGTCATACCACCAGGAATATATGAGTAAGAAAAAAAACAAGACTATCTGTTTTAACCCCTCACCTTTGCTGCCCTCATTGATCATTTCGTAAAAAACAAAATTAAAGTTATGTATTTTTCAACGGAATTTCATATCACATATAATATATTTATGAGTAGTATTTTTATGGAACAGTTGTATATTGTGTGCTCACTGGGGCTGCAGCAAAATAATAGTATTGGCAATAAACGTTAAAAAAAAAAAAAAAAAAAAAGCTCAGGTGAGTAACTTTAATTTGTGTTGATTTTAGCGCCCCCCTGTGGACAAAGCAGTATGTTTTTGTCCTCTACTTGCTTAAGCAGCAAGCTTTGCAAAAAATTCTCATCTGCTGACTGTTGATGTTTAAATGTGCCATTAATTGTGAATATTGTATGTGGAAATTGGGTAATTTTCTCTAGCTGCTCAGTTGAAATCCACTATTTGCATCAGTTTCAGGCATTTAAAATCAAAACATAGAAATCATCAATCTTGTCAATGATGTTCTTGTTCATTTTAAGATATCATGAAAGAACATTAATAGGAATTTCAGTCTATTCCAAAGATGTAAAAAAAACTCCTCTGAGGAGCTTTAAAATGTAAAACATTGACGTTGTGCTAAAAATAAGTATATGACCAAACTGTGATAGTGATAGTTTATTACAGATGTTCCTTACACTGGTTTCCACATCATTAAATATCATAAAAGTAGCAGCAGCTGCTAGTGAGTTAGCTTTAGCAGCTCTCAGAGAGATGACGAGACACCTTAAAAAAACTGACCCTCAAAGATTAATTATGAATCCAAAAACAATGTCAACGTTCAAGTCTCTTCAGGTTACTGATCAACTGAACATTTATACCTTCCTGCTGTACTTTTGACAGTTTTTATTCAGTCCTGCAGCTTATGATCCACCAAAGCAGAATTTAACCACGTAGAAAATAAAGCAAAGACAGAAAAATATCAGAATGAAAGCATGACAAACAATCCCAGCAAGGTAAAGTCTTCTCAGTTACAGGGCTGAAGATGTGGATTAATCATAAATTCAGTTTTTCCATAAATATCTTGATATTGTCATACATTTTGTTGCATGTCAGATATCCAGAGACAACACATGGCGAGCTGTAAATGATTTATTTATAGACAGTACATTTGAAACGTTATGATACCAGAGGTTCACAGCAGTGTCTGTGAAAAACCTCATTTTAAAAGAGGCCAATATGAGTGCATCACTTATTGATGGTTACCTGTTTTATTGCAGTAAAATGACCCTCTGTGTTATTAAAGGTGAAGCTGAGAACATGTGCAGAACAACAAGAGTATTAAGGAAGCTGTTACGGTGTGTGTGGGTGGTAGGTTGTTTATTATAGGACATCCTTCAGACACACAATAAGGCAAACACACACACAGACACACACACACACAGAATAGAAGGAAGCAGGGGAGCTGAAGCGACACCTGCTGAGTCGACACACAGCGAGTTATTTCTGTAATCACCTCAGACAACATCTGGTTTAGCTGTAGAGTCACACACGTTACACACACAAACACACACACACAAACAAACACACCTGCATGGTGGTTGTCTGGGATGCTGGAGTTTCCATGAGAGCCTGAGGCGATTTTGAGGCAGTTTGGGAAAATTGCAGGAGTCCCTCAGTCAGACCTGACTGTGGCGGTTTGCTGTGAGGGCTCTGGATGCCTGTGAGGGCTTTCAGAGACATGACCTCATGACGCTCATTTGCAGAATCACTCTTTTACTTTACTTTATCCTCGACTTATCACACTTGTAAGAGTCATCCTTAATTCTCTAACCCAGTGATTCGCGGCATGTCTAGTGAGAGAGAGCCCACCACCAGCTTCTCCTCATCAGGGCCAAAGTCAAGCCCTAAGCAGAGTCTATTTTTCTCAGTTCACAAACGTCAGACAAGAATGGATTTGTTTACAAAAGCCCACAGAAACATGAGAAGTGAGATTTACTCAGAAAAACCTTTGAAACAGTTTCCATGCTACATTTGTGAGCAAGTTTTGCTGAGGACACTCTTAAGTATCCTTTACTTCTTGTTGTCATTGTGTGTCACATTGTTGTGCAGTTTGAGCCAACTGAAGCCTTACTTTAAATGTTTGTAGTGCTTTAAGATACATGACATGAGGTGAGTTATCCAGTAGGTTTCTCTGACAGTTTGATTTACCTGCCGTCTAAGGTAGATTTCTCCATGTGTAATACCTGAGGATGGGAACATCTTACATCACTGTGATCAGAGAGCACCTGTACAGCTCTGTAAATCTTCTGAAGCCCTCGAGGTAATAAGTCTAAAAATCCTGACAGAGTCCTGTAACACTCTCCGCACAGACTGTTTGAAGGCAGAGAAAAGCTGTCGTACCATCTGACTTTTTATGAGGCCATCAGGTAGAACAAACAGGGCTTTGTTTGGAGCTGATTAGACTGTAATAAAAATGAGGGGTTTGATACTTGCAGAGTCAAAACTGGTCTGATCCAGACAGAGATACAAATTCAACTCAGGAGAATCCTTCATTTTTTGTGTAGAGCTGCTCAGTATTTGAAAGATTAATATTACATTTTCATCATTTCTGCAGCTTAGAAAGGGACATGAAAATACACAGAAGTTGATTCCAGATAAATGTAACATGTTTCAGGTGCTGAGAAACGATTGTTTTAATCGAAGTCTTGATATCAGAAGTGGGTTCAACAAATCTGAAGTCTGTCTCAGTTTATGTGTCACGTTGGCTTTCATTGCCATGGTTGCATTTGTTGTACTTCCTTCCTCAACCAGCTCACCTTTGAACGGCAATTGAGTTTTTCCCCATATAACAATGGACAGCGTACACACTCCCCGCACATAGGGATTTCTGATTGTAAATATTGAACATGTTTAATAAAACTTGTCTTCTGCACAGATCAGAGGGAAGAGAAAAATCACAATTGACACACCTCACACCCCAGGATAACCTGGAGTGAACTTTCCACAGTTGGACATACTGATATGTTTGTATTTAAACCAGTTAATATTATATATGATTCTTTTGAAGGAATGGATCAATAATATACTTACTTAAGGTTTGATTGTTTCATGAAGTTTAGATAAAAACACATCTGTAAACTCTCTGTCATTTAAAGATCATGAACAGTGTTTCAGTAGAAAGTCTGCTCTGACTGTGTTTGAGACTTTCCTCCTTTGATTTATGAACATAATCAAGGAGTAAATTTCATCTAGAAGTGTGTTGCTTCATTTGCATCCCCTCTCAGGATTAAATCACAGCTCAGTGCCCTATTTCTTTCCAATGAATATCAAATAGGACTGATTTACATTTGGGTTAATCAAAAAAACATTTTATGTAGAATTGTTTCTCAAAAATCTCTCTGCGGTTTATTCAGATTCTGTGTTTTTAAAAGTCAAATATGGGAACAAGACCACATGGTTCAAACATATTAGGAAGTCTTCAGAAGTATTAACCTTTCTGTTAAACTAATGCTGCGTTCACGGCCTTGAAAACCCCCTTGGGTGCTTTTACTTATTCTGTGTGCAGGACTCACAGAAAGGTCAGCTGTTTCCTGAAGTAATGTGATGATAAAGGTGTAATTTGTCTCACCTTAACAAGTGCAGAAGAACAGAAGAGTAAAATGTCAAGACACTTCTGATCACATGTAAAAGAGCCGCATGTTCCTGTTAATCAAAAGATGAGATTTTGTGGTGTCAAGGCAAATAAAGCTCAAGTGTAATTCAAGGTGAAGAAAGAGCTTCAGTGTAGAGATGCCCTTGTGGTTTACGCCACTAAAATTACAGTATGTTGAATTGGAGTATTTCTTCCTCACACCTCCTGGTGGGTTGGGCTGGGCTGATTGTAGTGTCACCAGGGTCGGTTTACAGTGACAGTATATTATACAGGCTGCACTGTAAGGTAAGGGTACGAGCAGCCTTCTCATTATTCAGGTTGGTACATTTATCCCACAGCCCAACAATACATGTACTCAAGAAATGAGGCGCCAGAAAGGAATGGTGCGGAGCATGGTTATCATTGTGAGCAAGAACTATAAAATCACAGAAAACTTACTGAAACTGTAGCATTTCCACTCAGGAGACCTTAACAATCTTCTAATTCTTGCTTGTATGATTCTTCTGTTGTGCCGACTGCCATGATAGGAGAAACATGTTCTGTGTGTGATCTGCTTTTGTTTTTTAGCTGTGTGGAAACTCAGATTTCATATTTTTTTCTTTTTGCATTCAAAAGAAGAGAGAGGTTAAAAGGATATTCCGGTGTAAAATTACTTTAGGGTCAATCACAACATAACACCGAGTTAGACACCCCCTCAAGAGATGAATGTTGCTGACCGCTTGCTTCTCTAGTTATACCAACTTTAGTTACGACCACAGGATAGAAATACACAGCAGTCTGAGAAGCCATAAACAAACCTCAACCAAAAAGCCACTCTATAGCCACAAATAATGCTCAGAACAGCACCTAACTTCATCAACAGAACATAAAGGGTCCCAGCCACAGCACTAGCCACCAAACATCTTTTCTGTAGCAAAGAGACTAAACACAACTCACCTACTCTCTTCCAGCAGCCGCTTGTTTGTAGCGAGACCTCAGGCCAGTCCATTACGTACTGCAGTGGGGTGATGCAGCTCAAGGAAGAACATTTATGACCCTGCTATCAGACCGAGACGCTAAGGCAGAAGAACTACCGCATCTGCAGTGCGAAATGATTAATATGGTGATTATTACTTCAAGGAAATGATAAAGTAATGATCTTAAATCTTCTTCCTTGAGCTGCGTCATCCTGCTGTTGTCTGTGATGGACTTGCACGCTCTGACCGGTCACGTCTCCAGGTCTTTGCACACTGAGTCAGTTTTTTGACTCAGAATTTGTTGCATATTTTTAAAGAAAAACTATCTCATATTGTGTAAATCGTCTTTGCAAGCTGACTCTTAAACTGTTTTTATGTAAAATGCTGCATCGCTGCACCAAAAAGCACTGTCGCTTATAGAGGCTGAATTGTCAGAAGATCATTAGATTGACGTTTTAGAGAAGGTGCTCTTCATCATCATCAGAGGATTATTGAAACTGCATTTCTTGAACTTGCAAAGGCTGCAGCCCTTCAGCTTCCTGTTGTTGGACGACACTTGTCTAATCACATCCTTCAATGTTGAATTTTTGTTTCTAATTCATTATCATAATTTCAAATTGCTTTTTGGGAGAGCATGTGTGTTTTTGTGTAAACAGTTTTTTTTGTTGCAGAGAACTCTTATGATGTTGACTTTATACATCCTGAAATCCCCTGACTCATTAACGTCCGCAGTGATTCATGTTTCCAGCGGCTCATTCTGGCAGACGAACAAGTGGCAGCATGTGAGTGTGTAATAATGTGCAGCAGCACCACCCAGCAGTCATTACATTAGAAAATCAATCACAGCTTTAACACAGAGCGGTGGGGATAGTAATTAATGTGTCTGAGGTGTGTAATTAGCTCTGCAGCACATGCAGATGAAAGTGATGGCAGGTTGAATCAGGACAGAGTATTTACATCCGGAGACAAAGAGACCAAACGTTACATTGAGTCTCTGAATAAGTCATGCAGAGAATCTCATTAACCTGCGGCCAGGAAAACAAAACAAACGCACCGAACTGCAGAAACGTACCTTTAAAACACTTCTGACCTTTTCAGAGCAGCTCTTTATTCTTTTCTTCCACCATATAATTCCCCCTTTTTTAATGCTGCTCCTCTAGACATGGTTCAGTTTGACCTTTTTGGATTGGGTGCCACATGCTGACTGCTCTGGACCAACTGGTTGACCACAGAGAAAGGGGACGAGTACATCTGACTTGGAAATGAGCTGAGAGAAAACTTTACTCTTGACTGTCAAAATGCCTGTTTGTGCAGCGTACCCTCAGGAATCTGGAGGGGAATATTTATCAGGACAGACTAGCTAAATGAAATACTCACGTAAACACCTAATAAGATAAACTTTTCCATTGTGAACCTATAACATGAATTCTGGTTTTGTATTTAAAATGAGTCTCAGTTACTGTGCATTCAGAGGGTATTCATAATGCCACACTTTTTCACATTTTCTTGTGTTACAGCCTTATTCAAAAATAGATAGTCATGTTTACCGCAAAATTAACCACAATGACAAGTTTGTTTGAAAATTCTGCAAATTTATTAAAAATAAAAAAAACAAAATATAACAAAATAGCAGGTGTATTTTTAAGGATGCTGCGATGTGCGATCGCAACTTATAACGCAAATTCAACCAATCACCGCGAGTTTAGCGAGGCGCTACAATCACCGCGAATTTCCCGCAAGTCTGACCAAAAAACTTGGCCCGCTTTCGCCCACGCCTCTACGTGAAATATACGTCATCATATTCACTTCCTTGTTTACAATGAGAAGAAGACATGTGCGACGCAAAACGCTTACACTTACCGACAAATATCACCGCCAAAGTTCGTGCTAGTCAATTTCCAGATGTGTTACATGACAGCGGAGGTAAACTCTTCTGTACTGCCTGCAATATTGTGGTGGAACAAATGCGAAAATTGTCGCACGACAGACACTTTTAATGCAAAACATACGAGGAGAACAGCTGAAACTCAAAGAGGACAGAGGAAGCAAGTCACAATGACAGAGGCTGATGCATCCAGAACTATAGCAGGAGCTGAATGTGTCAAGGTATGCGCAGATGTACTCTTTCAAGCAATATAAGTCAAGAATAAAAATCTTGTGGATGCATGCTCTTATTGTGTATCATCTTGTGTTTGTGTGTGCGCGCGCGCACGCGTGTGTGCGATGTGTGTGTAAATGTGAGTGAGGGAGTGCGGCACGAGTATGTGTGAAAAAGTTAACAACCAAACAAAAAAAAGCTCACAAATGAAAATAGTAATTCTACTTGGTGCTTACATTTGTGTTTTCTCTAAATTATAAGATAGACTACAACCCAAGTTTGGCTGCCCTGTGTGCTGGTCTCTGTGTGGTTGTGAGTCTGTGTGTGCACCTGTCTGTCTCTGTGTGGCTGTCTGTGCTTCAGGTATTTCTCAGAGATGCAGAGCACTCTGTGTGGAAAATATCACACATTAATCTATGGTTTAAGGCTAAAAACTCACAAAAGACTGTTGTAGCTAATTTGCAATTGCCCTTGTTCCTGTGATTTTAGTAAAAGAAGCCTCAAATGATCGCAATCTTCACCACACTTTTTAGAAAAGCTGCCACAAAATCAGGCATTTTAGGCCGCAACAATCACAAAAAAGCCTGTGAAATCCTGGGACTGGGATTTGTGTTTTTTGGGGGGGTTTGTCCAAGCTGCTGTCTCTGCTTCTTGGACAGTAAATAAATCAGACCTTCACCTTTTTCATCCTAAATATATCGCGGCCAATAAGGGCAGACGCTCTGCACCAGGAGAAATGTACTGCGAATGCAGAAAAAAGACGACTTTCTTTATTTGCAGTTTCTATTTGCTTTTGTGTGGTTTTCTGCTCCATATCAGTTGTGTGCTTATTTCCAGTACTTTTGCTTTTCATGCAGTTGTTTTGCTGTTTGTTACAAGTTTTCAAGTTTGTGTTGCGTTTCCACCATTTAGTTTGTTTTGGACTGTTGCATGTATCTTTTGAAGTTTCTGTATTTGCAGTGTGTCTCCCTTGGTCTCCTCCAGGCTGTTGCGGATCATTTGCCCATTTGACAATATTGTTTTTGTAAAAAATCCCACACACTGCACTTGCTCAGGGCAGGGAGAGGAGCAGGAGGAGACAGGTGTGGATCTTTGTGAGTCTGAAAAGCCAAGGGACAGAAAAAGCTTAAGGAGAGAGAGGATATAGAGATCATGAGCGCTCACAACTGCTGGGCTGATAAGCGAGAGACATCGCTCTGAATTTTGATAAAATACAAGCTTAAGTCTGGATGTTTTAAAGGATGTTATATAATAGCTGAAAAAGACTGAATGATTTGATGGATCTGCAGTCTGTGTTAAAACTTAAGCGGTAAAAGAGTTTAAATCCATATGTTTTTAAGAGCTTATTAAGTTGCCAAAACACATTCATTCATTTATTTTATTATTGCGTCATGTACAGAAAGTGCCCAGCCTGCGTGGGCCTACAAGACACCAAAGAAAGGACATATAATAGCAACAAGATGACGGACAGATAACAGACATAACAAATTAAGCATATAAGCACTCCTGACATTTTTTCCAGGCTTTAGAGACAAAATAAGCTAATTTAAAGACATTAAAGTTGAACAGCCAGTTCATTCTTTCATGCAGATGTGATGCAGATGTCAACTTGTGGGTAAGAATTAGTGATAGCGATATCAGTATCACCCAAAATAATCTTGATTATGATTTTTGTCATAAGCAGTGAACCCAGTATGCCATTTTTGTTAATGCAAGCAGATAACATCTTTAAAATTTTCATTTGTACAGAGTGACAGAGGTTTCAGTCAGACTCTCCTCATTTAAAGGAAAGAGATGTTGAAGATGTTGAAGGCAGACGATGTTGATGTTACTCTTCACACTCCCTCCTGACAGCGTCTGCTCTGTCAAACTTGGTCACACATGACATTTATATGCTGCAGAGTTCACTGATGTGGTGCAAATGAAAAAGTTGTAGTGTGTGAAAAGACTGAAGCTTTTTTTCTCTTCATCTGTCAGACTTCTCGGCTATCTTGTCCTGGTAAAAGAAATCCTTCTCACCTCCTGTTTGGCTCCAGCACAGAGGAGAGCAGGGTTAACACACTTTCTAAAATATTTTCTTCACACTTTTCCTGTTCGGTCTTCACAACTGTACAGAAATAAAGTAGCCGTATATTTGAGTAACCTCTTGGCTCTTCTGCGACGAACGCACAACAAACTCTCTGACTTTGCAGGACAGCTGTATTGCTGTGCTTGGCAGCTACAAATGTGAGTTTGATGGGAAAAGCCGGTTCTCCATCCTTTGTGGAGGCTTGTTTTTCAGCAGGGTGTTGGTTTTCAGCCTCTTTCAGCTCAGTCACGGGGGATTTAACAGCATCGAAACCCAGCACCTCACCTGGGATAAAGAGCTGAGAGGATGAAAACTCTCCAGCCTGCAGGGAAACAGGGTGTTAGTGCTGTGGCTGCTGCTCTTGGTGGTCCGTGTGGGTGTGCATGCATTTATTCAAGCAGAGGAAATGTTCACTGAAATGAAAGTGTCTTCTTGGTGTGAGATATAAAACTGAGAGTATTATTTTTCAGCATGAAATACAGGTTTGGACTGAAAATCGCAGCCAGACTAACAGCAGGATCAATACCAGTGAAATATGTGGGGTTATATGAGGCATCAGTGACCAACCAATCAGCTGTTTGTTAATGCCAGTGTGGGAATTTTATGATTCACATTAGTAAGGAGTATTATATTTATTATATTCATCCTAACATAGTAAAAAAGGGCCAACTAGAAGTCCTCTAACAGATAGGGATACCTTTAAAACGCTGCACAAAGTAAACATGGTGATCTTAAGTAGCTCTCTAAGCATTTCTAAGATCTTAAATAAACACAAACATTTCTAAGTTATGGTTTTTACATGACCAAATAACTGTCAACACAAAGCAAACACAAATGTCCCAAATATGTTAGCACTGTTTGCATGTTTGATCATTAAGAGTTTGAGAAAAAGTCCAAAACTCTGTGATGATTCTAGTTTAACAAAATCAGTCAGTCAGTCAGCGTAGAGATCAAATGCTAAGAATTAGGTATCTTTCTTAAAAAATCAATAACTCTGAAGGCTTTGGAGCAGGCAAAAAAGAGACCAAGTTCACAACCCCTACCTGTAGAAGATGCTGAAACAAAGTCACAGGGTCACTAAAATCCCAGAGATTCATCCTGTTTGTTCCTTGAATGTCTGGACCAAATTTAATGTCTTTATGTCCAATAATTTCTCTTTTTTGCAAATAGTAGCTGCCGTGTCTTTGATCCCAATAACAGCCCATCTTCTGCAGTGGAAGATTGTGACACAATGAAAAATAAGCCACATTTTCCTGTTTGAGCAGTGTGTAATTTTACTGTCAGGTACCTCACTTTGGTTACACTGATTGCACGTTTTAGTGAAACCAGCTGAAACGCTGAGCAGTGAATGGATGTCTTTGTGTGAGCAGAGGGCGGTCAGATAGAGTCTGGGAGAAAGAGCCATTGTGCTGGTTTGACTGTTAACGTAAAGGGCCTTTCGACTGTCAAAGATGCTGTATGTGCACGTGCTTAAACCCTCACCTTAAACCAGTCATTCGGGGCTTCTTTAGCTAGTTGACAAACACACACACTCCTGAACATCTCTGAGCATACATCGTCTGTATGTTCACGTCTTTCATTCATCTCCTGAAAGCAACAGCAGCAGTTCCACAGAGGACACCTCTCCTAACACGTTAGTCACAACAACCGCCGGCAGTCCAAACCACAAGCTGAAACACAGAGCGCTGACTCACACTCTGAACACACTCACAATGCGTTATTCAGCCTGTCATTGTGGTGTGCAGATTGTAGTCATGAGAATTATCCTTTACTCCATTACTTTCACATCAGCCGCTGTGTTTGGTGTCACATCTTCTATCCCCGAGCTGTACATTATATTTGTGCTTGCATTTCGCTCACATGACCTGACGCGAAAAGCTCTTGCTCTCATGGTGACTTCATTCACGCTTGGTGTTGTGAAACAGAGGTTAAGTGCGTGACCTGCTCCAGCTTGTCTGCACTTTGCAACAAAAAGGGTGTCGACCTGCAGGTTAGTGTTACTGCCTGCAGGAACTCTTTTGTTCCACTTCTACAGTCATTATTCTTCGGAATAGCCCGCTTAGCACGAGGAGCTAGCTGCTTGTGAGGACTCATCTGTGTGATGCATTGGCTCAGTGCGTTTACATACACAGTCAGGTTGAGCTGAGATTATGGTTTGTTTGGGCAATTTAACTGGACTACTTTTCCATCTGCACTATGATAGGTGGCGATATGAACCCTTTTAACTTGTTACTATTGGACCTTCTTCTCGCTGATGTAGTACATACAACAGACGCATTAGTAACTGGCTACTGCTTGTCAAACAAACAACAACAACAACAAAAATAAAAAAACACAATTTGACAGCTTTAGTGTGACACAGCAGCTTTGACCAGCTATTTGTGAAACCGTCAACTTTGTCTCAATTGGCTTTGAACACAAGTGTGGTGACAATTTTCTGGAATCCATTTTACGGTGAACTTCATGCTCTCTTTTATATCGCTACTAATGCTGATCCAGAGGAACCTAGGGTATGAGGGGGCTCAGGGTCTCCCAGAGAAGACTCTGTATTAGCGACAGTAACAGGTGACTGAAGCAGCCTGCTAAGCTTGACTTGGATCTCACGTTTTGTCCTTTGTCCTCTAATTTACTCGCATGTTCAAAGAAAATGTTTTGGTTGCATGACTTGATGAATATTCAATTTTTTTGGCTTAAAAACACAGAATTAGACTGGTGAAGGCAGAAAGATAGGAGCAGCCATGAAGATCACTGTATATGTAATAGGGCTGGTCAAGAAAATGAAAATTTATGGATACCGAAATTTTAGACAATAATCAAAATCATTTTGCCCATGTTGGTATATTCGGTGTCAAAAAACAAATGAATAAAAGTTGGTTTGAATGTGTGTAGGTAGGCTTTGGTTGCATGTCCCTTTAAGATGCTGTCCTAAGTCAGAGATGTGACTCCACCCCATCCAGTCCCTAACAAAGGGGAAAAGACAGGTGAGGAGATGGAGGACGGTTCAAAAGTTGTAGTGGCTGGAGCGGCGGCTGAAGTAGACAAAGTTAATGTGGAAGGGGGTGAGCAGTTTGTGGAGTAGTTATCATCCATTTATCGTTATCGAGGTGAACTGCTAAATATATTGTGATATTGATTTGAGACGATATCACCCAGCTCTATTATGTACTCACACATCGAATATAATAGTAAAATCTGAGCATAAAATTTTGATTTTGATCTGAAACTTACCAATAATAAAAAATAACATTTAAATGGGATTGTGGATAAAGACTGACAGCTATAGTTTGCAGTGTGTGAAAGTTTCATTCTTCTTACTGTGTGCAAATCCATGAACCAGAGCATTCAGACTATTCAGATGTTTTTGTTGTCAAGACAACACCTCATAAACATAATATTTCCCTGGAATGAAAAGCATTTATGAAGTTTAGTATTTCCATATCTTTGTGCCAGAGACATATCAGTAAGTGGGTAAAGACATCCGACAACGTGTTGGCGCTGGAATTTCCACTTAACATTCCAGTGATAGCGAAACACAAAACAACCCCCAAACACACACCTTTTCCTGTGTCCAGGTAGGGTATGTATATGTGAGAGTGTGTGAGTGTGTGTTGGTACCAGGAGCACGCTCAGACCTGCAGCTCAGACAATCTGACCGTCAACCTCAAAACGGATCCCAACACGTCCTGAAGCCTGCCCCAGTGTGCTAACCCTGACTGCATCCCTCACACATGCACAAACACACACACACAGACAAACACAATGTTTTGTCCTCAACAAGGCAGCAGATAAAAGTCTCAATTCATCTCAGAGAGGCTGACAAAAAGGAGACTGTAAAGCAGAGAAGTGACCTCATTCCTGTTTATCTAAACTCTGTGTAGGTGTGTGTGTCTGTAAGTGTGTTTGTGTGTCTGTGTGGCAGAAAGGTGAGTTAACAAAAGCAGTTCAGGTAGGAGAGGTGGAGTGCTGTGAGGTGTGGTGTAACTTGCTGGAAGCTGTCATGCTGCATCACACGTACGGCTGAAGTTAAGTCTCAAACTAAAGCAAGTGAACGTCTTTAACTTGTTTTTAAAAATGCATAATCTGGGCTCAAGATTTTAACCTCTTAATGAGACACTTTCATTCCGCTGCATGCCTCTTATCCGCTCCTCCGCTTGCAGCTTTGTGTCATTTTGGCAAAGCTGTCTGAATCATTTAAAATGCATGACCTGATCGGTGACATCTAGACCTGCAGCTACAGACAGACTCTGAGGTTAACTTAAGTTTGAGGGAGCCCAGAGGGCGGGGGATCGACTCTGATTGACCCCCGACCACGGCCGTGCATGAACATTCTGGGGGCAGGGCTGAAACAGTAAAAAGGGAACAACTCCACCTTTAGATGTTCTTTTCCCACTGAAAAGTTTCCACATACAGATGTCACTCAGCCAAACTCACTCCCATGATGAAACCTTAAATTTGACATGTTAAATAAAATCTGGCGGTTACGTTGTTGAGACCTGTTCAGACACATTCGATGAATCTTCTTTCCAGGCAGAAATGTAGAGAGAAAGAAACTGAGTGACAACCTAAGAGGTTTCTAATTTGTGCAGGTCCGATTTTTACAACCAGCCATAAAAATGTCAGCATCTGATAGATTTTTACTCCTTTTCTGCTGTTTTGTGGCCTGAATAACATTCCAGGTCGATAGTTTTAGTGAAACTGTCTCTCACCTCAGCACCAGCATGATGCCAAAAAGCCTACTGACAGATCCACTGATCTGAATGGCAAGCACACCTTTCTGAGCCACACCTGGTTGTGGTACGTTTTAATTTAGACCACAAAAATCTCAAACCAGTGTGACATCTATAAGATAATTTATTCTTATGTGAAGGATGACAGATCTCTCTAGCCTAGTTTGAGAATACCTGTATGTACTGTAATTGGTTTCGTATGCAGAGTAACTCACTGTAAATCCTGATGTTTGTTTGTTTGCATCAGGCTAAACATGTAGCAGTTGCAAGACTTGGTGCATGCATGCAGACTTAGATGCAGAATCTATTTCATCAAACGACCTGCTATCAGCACAAGTACACCTGAAACTAAATATAGCCTAGCTTTATGCTGCTGATATGTTGCATCAATACAGCCACAACATTCACAAAAAATACAGCCAAACTAGGATGCTATTTGCACACTTGCTGAGTGTTTGTCTGATTTTAGCTAATTCAGGAGTCTGTGATTAATTCTTTGTCTAATGACTTGATGGATCTGATTAGATCTGATAAATGTTATGTAATTTAATCACACATCCCGTCCATCGAGTCTCTTCACTTAAAGTCTGGCTTTGATTTTTTAAAGTTTAAAGTATTCTCAGTTGTGGTTGTGATTATGAAGTTTTTTTGTCATCTTAAAGGACTTTTCTTCTGTAGAGCTTCAGTAGCTCATTAGCAATTCACCTCTGAGTCATGGGTGGAGACAGCGCGGCTCTGCACACTCCTTGTAGCCTAACATTGCCGGTGCAACAGAAGTGGCAGGTAACATAGGAGCTTTTCAGCCCTCGAACACAAATGTCTTTGGTGACATGATGAAAGCTAATATCATAATAGCTTTCTTACGTGCATTGCAATCCGCTAACACTCATGCTTATTCTACGATCGTCCTTTCTACTTCACTGAGACTGTCCTGCAGAGTGGATGGAGCTTGCGGTTGTGACGTCGTAAAATCCCACTGTGTCTGAGCCTGCCATTTGGGTCTGTGAGAAGTTCACAGCGATTTAAAAGCAGAAATACTCAGAAATGTAATTTTGCACTAACTTGTCTCTTGACATTACCTCTAGCATCAGAACAATGCCATATGAACATGTAGACAACAAGAAAAAAATGATTTATTAATTAATGCCTGAAAATTACCTTCTGTTATCAGAGTCCTCTGGATAAAAATGTTACCCTGACTTTGTTCAGACTTTTCTTATGTAAAAGTCATTGTGAAGTCAACGTGAACAAATGAATGAATGAACACGGTGGTAAATCTCTGGATAATTGAAGGCAAGATGGTGGATGGATGAATTACACTGTTCATGTTGAACAGGAGAGTTTCTCACTTTTCGCTGTTTGCCTTTTAGTACTCTGTTTTTTGGCATTTTGGCAAATTGTCCAGAGGTCACGTGTTTAAGAGGCTGAGGTGGTTGCACCAAAAATGTCTGTTGACCTGCTTTAAGCTGCGGTTTGTCTAACAGCCACACAATGCTAATCCCATGCAAACACTGACCGACCCAGAGTCTGTTCATGAAGTCAGGTTTGCTTTCATTTCATCTGATAATGTCAGGGTTAGTGCTGCAGTTATTGCTCATGTATTTCTGCATTTTTCAAGCACATAGGCCACCACAGGCCTTGTGTTTCTGACATGTTTTTTCTTTCCCTCTCTTTCAGGTCTTCTCTCTTTCACTGCTGCAGGATTTGGACCACGAGGACCAGAACAGTTTTCTAATGATGGCCTGTGCACGGAGAAGAGACTAGATGTCCTTATTTCTTTGGAAACTGACCAGCAACCTCCCTGAATACTCCTCAGGAGTTCCTTTTCCTGGGACCTCAGTCACTTCTATATACTGGAATTAAAAATTTTACATCATTTTGAATACAGCTGTGCCTGTTCAGCTTAAACGGACCACTGACCTGCACTTTGAGGAATTGCTCTCTGAACATTTTCTTTTTTTTCTGCAAATTTTAAAGAAAAATTCTGATGTGGCATTTATCGAGCGGTATTTTTGAGTACTTTCTGTGACTGGATTGTATCACAGCTTCAAACAGCACCACAGGAATCGCCCTCAGATTCACTAAGTCAGGAACTACACTTGGACTCATCCGTCAGTGCTCATGGAGTCTGTTGCAGCCAGGATGGCGATGGTGACTGACTCCCCTAACCCATCCCTGAGGTCGAGGACTACTGTGACGACAGACGGCGACTCCTTTGTGAGCACCGCCAGTATGCCTTGCAGCCACTTCCTGTCCGCTAACGTCATCAACATCGGTAAGTGATGCATCTGTGACCGCTGAGAAGCCTCCGTGCTGGAGTTTTGTGTTGAAGCCTGACAATGAGGTGTGAACCTGCCTGTGAGTGTGAATGTGTCAGGTCTCCTCTGTCTTTTGGTGCATTGAGCTGTTTGGCTTTGTGAATACTGCTGGTTTGTTGGGGAGAAGAGGCTTTCTTCAACCTTTTTACTGCGAGAAAATATTAATGAAAGCTGTGGATTTGGAAGCTACAGACTTTAATGATGGAAAACCTTTGAAAGTGATGACACTGTCTGGATCTGAAACCTTATAGATGTTTGATTCAGAGGTCCTGAACTCAAGGCTCAAAGATTTGGAAAGACCTCACTGGTTTCCATGACAGATAAACAAATAAAAGCTCCAATTAAAGTTTGAATTCATGTTGAAAATCAGATTAATTTCAGACGTGGACACTTTTATTTTTACAAATTAATTTCAGTCTAAAAAAAGCGACAGTTTCTGAAAACCAAACGGTTGCTTCTTGTTATTTTTTCTTCATCAACACTAATGAATTCCAGCTACTTTTTAAAGTTAGGACAGCAGTGGAATCACCCACCATCTGCATAAAGTCAGAGAAATGAGGAGCTGTTAAAATGCTCTTACCACAGCAGTGCCTATAATGTGGTGTTGGGTATCAGCAGGGTCACCGATTGATGCACAAATCTAATACTACAGAAAATCAACTCACCCCACTCCCACAAATGTCTTTTTGAGCTCAATCATCATGTGAAGATGATAAAACCATGTGAAGATAGTAAAACCAACAATCAGTGTTTTTCCACTATGATATCTGTATGTTATAGGAATATTATCCTCAGAGGGAGGTGATGGATCTGCTAATTGGTGTGGAAGAAAAAAAAAAATGGCATCTGAACATCTCCACCAAAAGCTCTCTGTGAATGTTTTTTTTTTCCGCATTGCATCTTCATCAAGCAGAAGTATGTTTTCATGCTGCAGAGCTGAACGCTGTATAAAAAAGGAGACCATTTCAAAGGTCGAGGGGTTAGCAGCAGACAGATATTTTATTTCTCCGCAGAGCCGCAGAGAAACTGCTGGAGAGGCTTGGCTTTATTTGTCTGCAGAGCTGAAAAAAAACATAAATGTCATCCAGCTGCAGAGTTTGGTGCACAGTCCTGCTGCATATGACACCGATGAGAGGCAGCAGAGTCATGGCTTCTTTCTTTATGGCTAATTAGTGTGTGTCTGATGTTTGGCACTTGACTTTATGGCACTGAAATGCAGCTAATGGCTCATCAGCAGCTGGAGTAAAACAGATAAACATGCAGATTTCAGAGCCACACTGAGTGATAATAGGATCTGTTGAGAAGCAGAGATAAACCTGGTGGAGCTGTTAACAGGAGCTGATTCATTAGAGAGCGACACACTGAGACTCGTGTCCATTTGTAGAGGATCCTAATGGCGCTACAGAGGTTTACAGATGAGGACACTCTGCAGATTAGAGCAAACTGGATGCAGTAAAGACACTTGTATGGTGTTTTCAGCTAAGTTCCAGTCAATAATGTTTTGCAACAATTATCTAGACAGTGAGAAGTAATTACACCCGCACTGCTTTATATATGGCTCACAGTTGGATCATCTCTTTTATCAGACCTCTGTGTAATAATAAAACCTTTGTCCTTCTGGAGTACCTGAGTTGGATACTGTCTCCACTCCTACTCTGCAGGACACAGAGATGTTACAGACACTGTTTTGACAGCATAAGAGCTTATGTCCCTTCAGGCAGCTCTAACATATCCAACATTTAGAGTTAGGGTTGGAGTTGATCCTTCTTTTAGGTGTTTTTGTTTTCTCCAGTAAGTTGAAAACATAGCACAAATACCTTCAAGATATGAGTGTTCTTGCTATCAAATTAGGAAATGAAGTTTTCTCGGTTCAAATATTTAATGAGGTGGTCTCTTTATTCAACGCTTGAACATCAACTGGATGACTTACACCCTTCCACACCATGAATTAGGCCTGCACGATATATCGTTTGAGCATCGTCATCGCGATGTACGTGTGTGCAATAGTCACATCGCAGAGCCTGCGATGTCGGAGGTGAATGAACTCAGTTAATTTCAAGGGTAGCTGACTGAGATACACTGCATGTGACTCTGCATGTGCTGTGCAGCGATCCACCAATCACCTTTGTCCTTTCCTCAGTTGCCAGTCAGACTCAGTTCTCAGTTGCCAATCAGACTACCCTGCCAGCTGTCAATCAAAATTGACCACTCTACTATAAGCGGTGCGCGTTTTGCGAGGTGCATGCAATTCTTGGAGTGTTGTGTGTGCTGTGGAACTCAGCAATATAAAACACATCATACCAGGGGTACCATGAATGGAAATTTAACTTAAATCAGCCACTGTGAACTCATGTCCTCAGGGATGTAAAACATAAGGCAGTTAAGCTTTAAAGATGAACATTAATATATAAGATTGTTGTTATGGTGCTGAACATTTTATGCTTTGCAGAAAAACACCTCCCAGCTATCCTGGTTCACTGCTTCATAACATAGCAGCATATCGGTGGTGATTTGAACCCTTCTGAAACACAGCGACAAACTCGTATTGTCCCATTTCATATATCTTCGTGTAGCCACACGTTATAGCCTGCTATGCTGTGATGTATCATCACATGCTTTATTGTTTCATACCTTATTTTGTCTTATTTCTCATGTCTTGTCATACAGTATCATACTGCGTTGTCTAATCTTGTATCATCTTTTACTGATGATTTACTGTTTTATGCCATATTATATCTTGTCGTATCATATCACATCATATTTTATCATATCATATCATATATATTATATCATGCCATGTCATGTCATGTCATATCATATATCAATTAATATAGTAATGTGTTACATCATACTGTATCACACCTGACTGTCATTTACTCTACTGTGTCATGCTTATTCACGATATATGATATTGTATCAAAACAAATCGGATCAAATTGAATCACATGCAAAATTAATGTAGACCTTAGATTTTTGAAGATAGATATTTCTTTTATTGAAAGAAACTCGTCTCCCTCTATGAACCAGAACCAGTAGCACATTTTTACCCCTTAAGTAGACAGAAAAGAGCCAAAGGTTTTATTCAAATCAGGCCCGGCCTCATTTATCAAAGTTGCCCTAAATTCAGAGTTAAAACTTTTCCCTGGTTCCTGGTTTATTCAGCCCACTTCTTACCCTCATTTTTGTCTTGTCTTAACAATCGTACATCTTTCAAAAGGGGGCTGCGTTTTAAAGTGAGAACATGCAGAAAGATATCTTAGCCTCCAGCAGAAAATGTAAATGATGTAAAAAGCTATACAGATAACACACTTTATGGTTTGTGCTTTTGTGAGATGCTTATTCTGCTTATTCGGAGTGACTTTGGATGCAGGTTTGCTGTTTAATATCCATATTTATGTTCTTTTGTCTTGACCTGTCATGCTGTGGAGAGACATGCAGATGATCCTCTCAGATGCACATGGTTTGCTGGGAGGAAACTTTTGTTTCTGCAGGGAGAGATTTAATTGGACCTGTTTGGTGAGGATGATTGTCAGCAGAGATTCTGCAGGGACGCTTTGTGTGGGTTCATGTTGTCATCACTGATGGATCTGAGAGCACTGGGGCCAGACTGAGCCCATGCTTTGTCAATAATTGCTCTGTTATTTGTTTCTTTGCAGTGTTAAACACAATTAGCCCAAATAGGTATTGATTAGGACTGATGCAGATCAGTGCTTCAAAGACTGATGAAACCTCCACTATAGACTGCACGAAATATTGTCTGTAATTATGGGGTCAAGCTCTCTATTGACCTAAACTATTCTCACAAATCAGTCCCTGCACTTTTGATTTTTTTTTAGCTTAAATCCACACAAGTACATGTCTCAGTGAATATAAACCGTCAAACTCCTTGATGGGTTAAATTGCATTCATGCTTATGTAAGTACCTGCATCAGGACTACACATCAAAATTCCGTTGTTGAACTAAGTCCTGCACGTGGATATTGACATTTTATTGATCAGTGTGCACTCTCTGAAATCAATAGATTAAACCATAGACTGTATATACTATACACAACTGTGTTCCGCCTTCCATCATTTATACAAAGTTGAAGCCAAATAGCTCTTAGTATTTCTGTTTTTTTTTCCTCCACTTCCTGAAACCAACATTGCGCAGTAGCGTTGTATGCTTTTGGCGGGAGAGTCGCCGGTGAAGCTGTGATGACGCTCGGCTCAAACAGCGTATCCACCGGGTGAGCTACGCAATCTTCGTATGCCCATAGGCTGTATCAAGTGTCAATTGTAGAAAACCTGAACCCCCTAATAATGTTCACCCAGCGAGGAGGCAGATGGCGTCCATTCTATATACAGTTTATGATTAAAACAGACATGTCCTGCCACAGGACATGTAGTAACCGCAAGGTGTGTTGAAGCTGTTGTTAGAATTGTATAATTCAGAGCTACCAGCATTTGCTTTCACATTTCCACAGGGGAGCCTGTGTATATAATACCTTGACTCTGTTCATGAGATGTCAAAGAGATTTGACACTGTGTGAGGGAGTTGTTCTGATGTCCTGCTTCCTGGTGAGCTGTCACAGCCTCCTCCTTTGGTGATCAAAATGAAAACCAAAATGGCATACTTCCTGCTGGGTTAAGAGGATGAGTGTGAGGGGATTTTTTGTAGGTTTTGGTTTGATATGTCTGTCAAAAAA